GTTCTTCCAACCGAGTATTTGTTTCAATGAAACAATTGCTTCTTGAATATCTTTTAAACGCTCATTATTGCATGCTTGTACTAATTCACCAAGTGCAAATCGTAGTTGAAAGAATTTCAGCTTCTTTTCGCTTAAACTAGCATCATTACGAGCATGATATTCCTTCAAGAAGCTATTACGAAATGACTTGCTTTCATTTTCACTAATGCCAGCTTTTCGACATAGTTCTACGAGTCGTCCTTCGAAACTAGCTATATCTCGTTCTGGTGTACCAATCGGTTTACCCATGGAATCCATAGAATAATGTAGTGAAGGTGTATCTATGAAAGTAACACCTGCTGTTGAATCCCAGAATAAGTTGCCAGGATGTGCATCTCCATGTACAATTGCTGCCTTACTTTGTTCACAAAGACACTCTTCTATCAAATGTTCTAATTGATTATGCACTTTGTCGATATCCAAATCAACAATATCTTGAAGCTTTGCGTGTTCTTTGGCTACCACAGATACTAGACGTCGTGCTCGATTAATCGATTCGATTAAGTAACTTCTTAATGCAAAAACACCGGAACTATCAGGTTCTGTATGTAATTCTGCAAGAGCACGTGCTATATCAACTGATGCATTTTGTAATTGATTCAGTATATTCTTTCTGGCACTGATTGTCGTCGCTTTTGTGATTGAATCAATGAGATCAGCGATTGATTGTCCTTGCGCTACTCTTGAGACCAAAACACCGGCATAATCAGAATCCTTGATTTTGGCTGCAGCCAATGGAGCTGGAATTTTGAAGCGAGTGAACTCAGGTTTGCGAAGTCGAGACAAAGATGATAGTTCTCGAACGAGTTCTTCGGATGTGGGAAATTTCTTACAAACAGCAACCATTGCAGATCCATCATAAACGAAGTAGATTGCTGCACCTGATCGACCTTTAGCTCCACCACCTGAATTTTTTTGTAATTTGACCTGCACTCCACCGAGAACAGCTTCAGTGAACTTGATTAAAGCATCATCAGTATTGTCAATTTCTTCAAGTTTATCTAAAAGTAAACTCATCCCGGATGAATCTACTGATCCATCTGCTGTTCTGCATTTGATCGCCATATCCAATAAGTCTTCAATCTTCTGATCGATTAAATATCGATGTTCAAATTGAGATACCATGAAAGCTTGTTGATAATCACACACCTCGAGAGGAACCATTTCAGAGAAACTCTCATTTTCGTTGGGTAATGTTTGTTCCACGCATACTTCTCCTGCAAAATGTATCGATGATACGGCGTTAGAGTTCGTTTTAAGTTGAGATCCACTCATCAAACATTGAGCTTCAAGCGATGAATTATTATCTGCATCCATATGTACGGTTTATTATAGTAAAATGATATAAATTTAAATTGGCTTATGTTCAATTTACTAGTTTCTAAAGAAAAAAAAATATCAGTTAAAGATTGATTATAACGGAAGATGAATGCTTTAAACTATAAAGCGAAATATTTTTGCCTTTAAATATGACTTTTTCTCCTGTAATTTATAGTTTCAGAAGCCAAAAGAAACTTATTATATGTACATATATGACATTGTTTGCATAGTGACCACGCGTTTGTTTGATTTGCGTCAGTATTCTCGATACACCTACACCGTCTTTCAGATTAATAATCGCACCTTTTCTTACGTGTACAGAACGAAGAAAAAGGAGAAATTGGATTTAACCCATCGATAATGTCATAAAATTATTTATTAGATGAAGAAAAACTATTTTATAATCATCGTGTTTCTGTTATATCAATAGAATCTAATTGAATATGTCGACGAATTTGTTCATCGTCTGGTTCATAGATATTTACAATAGGAATACGAAGTTGATCAAGTTGATCACGACCACGACGACGTTTAGGTAAGACAGCATTTGTATATTGATTTCGAACAAATGAAGAAATATCAACAATACGAAGAATATCACGACCATCGAGAAAACTATCAATTTGTCTAAGACCTAATTGAATTGCACGACGACCAAGTGTTGGTTCACCATGTGGTTCATGATCAGGATCCCATTGTAAACGAACTCGACCTTTTAAACGTATTGATGGATCAGAAGGAAGATCATCAATATCAGAATTAACAGATCGTGCAAGATAATTATCAAATGCTGAACGTCGAAGCCAAATAGCAAGAATATGTTGTTGATTTGAACGTGATGCCCAATTTGATCGATACATCATCCAAAGAAAACTTGTTTTAATCCCTAAAATAAATGAAAGAATAATATTGACATAAATAAAAATATAATCTTACAAGTCATTCGTTGTTCATTATAAGTTGGGCATCCAGTAAAACAACCATTTTCACATGCATATTTTGCTATATCATGATTATAAGCTTGATGTACAATAACTGATTCATCATCAAAAGATGCTAAGATCCATTTACCACCTGGTCGACATCTTCGACTTGGCCATCGACGTTGTGCATCGATATATAATTCTGTATTCATCTCATATCTAGTTAACCAATCCATACTATTTTCTTTTCTATGATAATAAATAGATATTGCATATGCTTTTTATAACTCAGACTTATGCAATAACAAAGGACGTATGTGTAATTTTGTCATAGAGACACACGTTGTTCTTGTGCAATAACAATGAAGAACGAAAGAAATGTGACTTATTCATAATATATTAATCAAATATTTAAGATAAATTACATATCACACTTATTTTGAATTAGTCAGGACTTTTTTTTTCAACAAATTGAAGGTGGGTGTTGGTGATATTTATTTCTTAATGTGCTCTGCATTTCACCCACAAACTAAATATATCTAAAGTGATTTGTGTTAATGTCTCGAGTCCTCGTGATGTTATTATTGATAATAATGGTTATTTAGTAACAGTTCAAGAAGATATGAATTCTTTTCTTCGATTTTAATCCACTAAACCTAACAAAAATTATCTAGGAATTCACAACAAATGGCAATGACATTCTGAAAGAATGAATTGATAACAGTAATCAATAGCCATAATCTAACAATATTATCAAAGATTTCAACATCTATATCTGACATTCGTGGAATGATATTTCTGAATGTTGGTTGCTACTGTCTATGAGAACAATAGTCTTGTATTTTTCAATCGAACAAGTCTTCTTCCGATTACATATAAATTATCTTTCCGTCAGTCAACTAGTTTCAGAAGTCCACATGGAATATAGCGTGTGAATAATTCATTTTTCTATGTTACATCGAATTTAAATAAGTCACTTTATTCATCTCAAAGTATTGAATCAGATCGATTATGAAATGAAACATTTATTCTTCATGTGTAATAATTGACGAATGTAATCGATTTTGGTTTACATATGAAACAAAATTAGCTCAATGGACAATACCAAATTCGTCGATATTTGATATTAAAATTATGAATAATTATTTGATGTATCTTAGTGAATCGAATATGGATAGAATTAGACGTTTTCAACCGGATGTTCATCTCGAGAGTGTGGATGCGAGCGTGGATCTGATTTGGGTGTTAGTAACTACATCAAGTCACACCCACACCCACACGTACCCTCAAGATGTTGAGTCTGAAAACAAGAAGAAAATGGAAAATTTTGTATGTTTTGAGAAAGTTATGCTTTTTACAGGAAACAATTTCTTTAAAGTATTTCGTATTTTCCAACCGAAAGAAAATATTCGCTAAGGCCAAAAAGTAGATTTTCATCATGAGTAGCTCAAGTTTCTATCAAATAATATAATAAATGTAGAAACTTCGGATTTTATCCGAGAGTTATGTGTACTACAAAAAGTGTTTATGGAAATCATACGGAAATATCAGTATTTTTTCAATAACTCGGGAACAGCTCGTCCAATTAGGTTCTTCTTCGAACTCGACCGAGATCTTGATGAGATTAAGCTATGCACAAAGTTTCATGACAATCGGCTTAGCCTTTCAGGAGTTATCATGTAAACGGCCGAACGGACACACAGACCGATTGTAGTAGTGTACTCACTTTTTGAGTACACAAAAATAGATTTCACTTAGTTTTTGCTTTACCAGCACCTTGTGCAATGTCTAATTAAATATTTCTAGTGTAAAGGAAGAGTTGTCTGGATTTTGTAATGACGCAAGAAAAAACCTTTTATCTCTGTAATAGTTCATTTTTTTTCTTTCTTTATTAATAAATTATAATTCTATTGAAAACTACGCATTTTGTATGCTTACATTCATACGTGTATCTTGCTGTGATGAATAATATTAATAAGTTGTTATTTTAGTTCAACTAGAAGTGTTATGGAAATCACAGAATTCTAACCGCTCATATTTCGTAAAATACGAGCAAAAATTAATGTACGAGAATAAAAATTTACACTCCCCTTCCTTCCCTTGAGATGCGATAGCCATTTAGTATTTCATATTTTATTTCTGTTGAGTTAATGGTATTCCTTCTGGAAGATTTAAAAATATATTTTATTATGCTTAGTCGACTAAAAGTGCAAAACAAATAATTTTCAACTCGAGTTATCTTATCCTTCGTTGCATAAAAAAATAAAAAAATAAGTTCAATAAGCGAAAAAAATGTCTCTTCACATATAATCAGAAAATAAAAGTTTCTTTTTTTCTTTACCTATGACAGCTTAAGAAGAAAAGAAAATAGGATGAATAAATTCAGACATACGTACAAAACAAGTCCTGGAGAGTATGGTTTATTTTAAATAATATGAACTCACGATAATAAGTAACGTTCACATATACACTATTTTGTTTTTATAGATTCAAATTATAATCCGCTGTCTATTGGATTAAGTTTTCTAATGAATAATAAAATATCTTTCATATTCGATATTCTAATTCTAATTTTAATATCAATTGCTTTTCTAACTTCTATTATAATACTTTTTACAATCTTTTATCATCGACATCGTTATCCAATGAATACACCTATTTTTCTTATTTGTAATACTTATTTATCTATCATATATATCTGTCTTGTTTTTATTTGATATGTATGCTCATAATTTATATGGTGATTTATATGAGAATGTTTCATTTGATAACCAGTGGTGTTATATACGTGCATATCTTCTTTATGTTGGTCTAGCAACATTGTATCATTCACATTTATTACAAGCAATTTTTCGTTTTTTTCGAGTGGTTTTCTATAAATCAAAACAATTGCAAACAATACGATTTATGTTTCGATTGGTTCTTATTCAATGGTTAATGGATTTTCTTTTAATGTTACCTGTTTTATTTCTACATAATTTTGAATATGCACCACATTATTACTATTGTCAAACACTATATGTAGATATAAAAAAAATATTACTTCCTGCTGTCATTACATATTATCTACCAATGGTTGGTATTGGAGTGATTTATTTTTATATTTTACATTATATGAAAAAGACTAAAAATCAATCAGTTTTACAAAATCGTCATGTATCTAATCAACGAGATCTTGTTGTTCTTCATCGCATTATTCTTTTGATTGGAATACTTTTTATGCTTTCTTTTCCTGCGCTCATTATTTATCTCATTTATCTAATCACTAATTATCTATATTCATTAATTTATCATTTGCAATGGCTGACATATGTGTGTTCATTATCAATTCTTCAAATAATATCAGTTTTGTTAACACCTCAATTATACAAACTATTTTCCTGGAAACAAAATCAACGTATTCATCCAGTAAAAGCAATTCAGATTCGTCATAATACTTAGATTATTGTTGGAAGACATTTAAAAATAGTATTTATAGTAATCCTAATATATCTGCAATCTTTGAAGATGTGAGATAAAGGCAATGCTCTTACTCTAATCGATCAAATCCTTGTTCATGTTTATATATGTTGTACTTATAGTGTTTAACTCTGCTTACAGACTAAAAAAAATAAAAAACTATACTTGCCACCCACATCTACACTTATGTCTACGATGAAATTCGCCATCAGTTGTATCGATGTTTAAAATCCATATGAATATCACATAAACAAAATTGTCCACGAATGCTTAGAGTGAATAAGAATATGTGTGGATGGATGAAAGGACGTGAGTATCAGTATTAAATCTATTCTTCCACTCATTTAATCACATTCATCATTGTTAATTTAAAAAAAGAATCCCATCGAGAAAATTATGCAGCACTAACATGAAAACTATTATTTATAAATAAGAACAAAATAATCATGTCGATTGTGTAATATCGTAACATTTTAAGTTAAACCGACAAAAATAGTAAAAATTCTGACGTTTAGTTATAGATTTTTGTTCTTCAAAAAAGTAATTATACCATCATGAAAAATCAATGACGCGTAACAAGTATAGTCTCATCTAATAGAAAGAAAGAAAAAAGTAACATACATAGCCATACAAAACACGTGTCAGTATCTATCATCGATGTCGAATAAAGTCAACATTTCGTTTCATACATTGCCAGTAGAAATTATTTACCGAATTTTGCATCATCAAAATGATTTTACTATTCTATGTTCAATGTACAATGTGTGTCACCGATTCAATAGAATCCTGGATAGCTATCATCGATATCAGGTAAACATATTTTTACTCATATTAGTTTGTTTTTTCATCCCTATAAAATATATAGATCTAATGTAATATAAATGAATAAAATAGTTTCATCGCTCTTGAAAAAGTCATTTGCAATATTAGAGGAATTTTTGAATGTTCGACTGAAATCGTTCGTGAAAGATGGGGGAAAATATGTGTTTCTTATAGAAACCATCATGAGAAAACCCGATCAACTCCATATGAATCAAAGTGCTATCACAGTCTCTAATAATAAGATAGCACAATTTGTTATTGTCTAAAACAGAAGAACACTATGCGATCTAACTCAACAGTCAGATTTAGCTGTTTTCTCTCCAAAAAACTTGATTACTCTTATCCTCTCTTCATATGTCTTATATATCTGTTTTGTATGATTTCACATAGTCACTAATCACGCTAGATCTCTATCAACATCAAATCGAAGATGTCGGAGCACAACATCTAGCTGTTGGATTACGAAATAACACGGTATCTCTTATTCTCTTATTGTTCGTTCCATTAATATATCTATATTTTTCATGCAGACGGTCACTACATTAGATCTCCAATCAAATTCCATCTGCAATACAGGAGTACAACATCTTGCTGATGCATTAAAACACAACACGGTAACTATTCTCCTCTCGTCATCTGTCTCTTGCATACTCATTGGTATTTGTTCATTCAGAAACTTACCACACTACATCTACAATACAATCAAATTGGAGATGTTGGAGCACAACATCTGTCTAGTGCACTGAGAAATAACATGGTAACTCTCATTATCTGTCTCATAGGCTTTAGTGTACTTTTTCAAATAGACACTTACCACACTAAATCTAAGATGCAATCAAATTCGAAATATCGGAACACAACATTTAGCTGATGCATTGAAAAATAATACGGTGACTACTATTCTCTTTTTTCTGTTTTGTATCTCTATCTGTACTTTTTTACACAGACACTTACCACACTAGATCTTCAATACAACTGCATCGGAGATGTTGGAGCAAAACATCTAGCTAGTGCATTAAGATATAATACGGTAGCTTGCAGTTGTTCTTCACCTATCGCATATACTAATTTGTATACTCCACACAGATACTTACCACATTACATCTTGTAGGCAATCAAATTGGAGATATGGGAATACAACATCTAGCTCATGCATTACGCAATAACGTGGTAATTATCATTCTCTCTTCATTCATCTCATATACCTATCTCTATTTTTTTTTATACAGGCACTTCTTACTCTGACTATCGAATTCAATATAATCGGAGATATCGGAGCACAACATCTGGCTGATGCATTAAAATATAACATAGTAGTTCTTCTTCTCTCTTATATATCTGTTGACTAATTTTTACATAGATACTCACTACACTAAATCTCTGTAACAACCAGATCGAAAATGCTGGTGCACGTAGTCTAGCTAATGCATTACGCACTAACATGGTAATTACCGTTCTTTCTTCATTTATCTCGTATATCTATCTAAACATTCTTTCATACAGACACTCACCTTACTAAATCTTCAATACAATCGAATCGGAAACGAACTTAACAATCAAATCGATGGATGTATTGAACGTAATAAAATGCTAGCAAAATTAGGCGTAGTGCCGTTGTCAGTATGCTGCTGACGAAAAAAAACTAGTTAATGCATGTATAAATCGAATTGCTTCTACTTTTTTTCGAGGAATGAAATTGTCCAATTTTATATGTAATGATGGTTCTAGAATACTTCTCTAATTGTTGATTTTTACTAATTATATAACATACACTCATATATGAAAGAGAAAAAAGGTAAGTACCATCTTGAGGATGTGGGTGGGATTATAGATTTTATTAAATATTAGAAGAAGAAAAAAAGCGAAAATTTATTTTGTCTTTATAATATACAAGTGGAAATTAAAGTTCATCATGTTCGTTTGGATTATTTGAAATAAGTTGTGCAATATTAATAATTTGTTCTTTTGATGTATTTTCTCGAGCTTGAATAACTAATTGTTGAACTTCTTTAGCTTTGTTTGAATAACTATTATTACTGAGCATATGTTCAATATCATCTTGAAGATTATTTGAAACTTGACGAGCTATACCCATTTCAATAATTTGTAAAGCATTATCAAATTGATCACCAAAAAAAGGCCATACAAGTATTGGTTTACCATTTAACATACTTTCTAAAAGAGAATTCCAGCCGCCATGTGAAAAGAAAAATGCTATTGAAGGATGTGATAATATTGCACGTTGTGGAGTCCATTCAAGAATAAGTTGACGATCAGGATCAAGATTATTTAATGATGATGGAAGAGATGTTTTTGTTTTTAATGACCAAATAAATGAATGATTTAATAAAGCACGAGCAACAATATCAATAGTAGTTGATGGTAAACGAGCAACTGAACCGAAAGAAATATAGATAACTGAACTAATAGGTTGTTTATCAAGCCAATTGATAATATCTTTAGCCTAAAATATAAATTTTATATAAAAATTTTTAATTTAATTTTATACATTATCTTCCATTGATTGTTGACTATTAAAAATAAGAGGACCAATAAAACGAATAGGTGCTAAATTTCCAGATGATCGATAAAATTGTTCAATATATTTTCCATCAAATTCTTTTAATGAATTACAAATAAAACCATTTGCTTGTTGAGTATTATTTTGAATATAATGAAATACTTCTTTTAATTCATTATTATTATTTCTTTCATCATTATGCATACCATTAACAACACCTCGAAGATTACTCGGTAAAAATAAATGAATAGGTATTGATAAATTTAATGAAGGTAATGGAGCAAATGATCGAACAATAATCATATCAATAGGGAAGGAAATATTTCGTGTAATAGGTGATTGAAAATTTGAATGAAACAAATGATTTAATGCTGTACCCATTCGATTGATTACACTATTGAATAATCGAATATGATCATTACCAGGAATTATCTGTGAAATATTATTTAAATTGATTTGAGAATCGTGAATTTCAAATTGAGGAAAATTATCATTTCCATCAATTAAACCAACGATATCCAGTGTTTTACTATTGTTTAAATCAGATAGAAATCCTTTACGATCAAGTTCATTGATTTTATTTGCTGAAATCAGATATGTAACATGACAATAAGATGATAATTGTTTGGCAAGTTCTAATGAAGCTATAAAAATTTAAAGAAAAACAGTATTATATAATTTATAGTTTTTTAAATTAAAAGTATTTACGTAGCATATGTCCGAAGAAAGGTGGAGCAATAACAAGAATATGATTAGGATTTTCTCTTGATAATGAACAGAAAATTAATACGAAAAATAACGATAAGATGAACATCATTTTGTATTATAAAATATATTCGTTTATTCGATCGTATTTATATATATTCTCGATGAACAGAAAGAAAAGAAACGAACGTACTTTAACGCACTTTTAGTGTTACACTTTGAACTCATTGTTACGGTATAATAGACGAACGATTAAAATAGTACGCGATATCTACATCGTCAGTAAGAAAAAGAAAAACTATGGCTAGTAACATGTTTTTAAATTTATTGGTTAATCAAATTCGTATTTTGTCTATTTTCCAAATAATGAATCTGGTGACATCTATTTCATAATTTTATGCGTCCATATAATTCCATTAATTTATAAATGTTTATTAAATAAACAAGATGTTTTACAAAGGAAAGGGGTCTGTGCGTTGGTATATCTGTCTTCTTTTAATCTACACTCACAATTTATTCTGTATTGAAATAAAAAATCTCGTGATTATTACAAAAAATTGCTTATACATAAAGAATTTAATCAAGTTTAAAATCAGTAATTGTTATTTTAAATACTTTCGGCAATAATCGTGACCATACCGCATTCTTTTAATGATAGTTGAGCTGTTTTGACTTGAAAAAGAAATTTCTTCTTCATTTCTTGATTAATGTCATTGGTATTCGCTTGTAGCATTGCAATTTTTTCTGCTTTAACTTTTGGAAAAAGAATTTGGTATAATCCTTCTGCAGTTCGGATAACAAAGTATTGCTTTGTTTTCGGACTGAATTCATCAGTCGATTGATTAACAATATTTCGAAGTATTTCTAATTTTTCTAATTCATTCATACCAACATATGCAGCAAGATAAATAAGTTGACATTGATTTAAAATCGATTTGACATTGTCACATAATGGATTTTGACTAATATCTTGAGTAATAAAATGCATACGTTTAGAAAGGTGCGGAGGTAACACTTGTTCACTTATAACTGATGCTAATTGATTTGCTTCTTCACACATATCAATATTGTAAATATCTACAAATGGTCCGTGATCACTAAGAATGATCATTGAAGAAGTTGGTATCGGACCGGATCCAATAAAAGCTACTTTTGTAACTAACAGATCATTTTCGTCATTTGTAGTTGGACTTTTAGCTAAATGAACACCAAATTCTTGTAATATATTCATTTCAAACTGGATTAATTTTTCGTAAGTGTGACGATGTTTGAAATGGTCATTTAGGTTCTGATTTTTATCAGCTGCGCATATCCTTGCAGTTCGTAGTTCACCGGAGAATCCGTGAAAAGCAAATAAACGGCCTAAATTTTCACATGCTGCTGCTAGGTCGGTGTCTCGTTCCAGCATATAATTCAATATTGATGAAGACATTTCATTTGAAGAGCAAAATGTGACAAGTTCATCAAACATACGAATAACTTCAGGAGAATGTTCGGTTATATTAAGTTGCGAGAATGTATTATTCAATTGAATAAGTCGATCACGAATAATGTTGTCTGCTGTTGAAACTTCCATCGTTCTAGAACAACAAAAATAGATTTTTGGTTAAAACTATTATGAATGTCCGTACGTACCATTAAATATATTTATACTTTGTACTCTTAAGATTGTATTGGCATGCGATAATGAATGAAATGAATTCTCAAGGTAAACTATACGTTCTTTATATGAGATACTTTTCTTATCATTGTTTCTGTTGACTTTATTATATGACAACACACTTGCATAACAAATAACAAAATATCTCCTTGAGGTCTTCGCTCGTATGTAAACTGTCATAAATTATGTCAGTTTTAATATTTGATATAAAGAATTAATATTTTGGAAGTATCGAACGATGTTGAGAAGAGTAGTGTGGGTGCTGTCTCTGAAAAAGATAATACCCAAGCCCACATCCACACCCACACCCTCGGAATCAATGATATATCAATTGACTTTAAATTCGTAGGTGTTCCACTCATTTTCTAAATATACGATAGAGAAAGTATATTTTATTTAAGAGAAAAAAGTGAATAAATATCAGATTTTTTTTTCTCAATATTTAATCAAAATATATCTGTTATTTTATTCTCTTGTGTTGTTGTCGTACAATAAAAAATACCGGTATTCTGTTAATGAGGACGATATATTTTTATCGTTGGTGTTTTGCCATTTTTTTTTATCTTCAATATAGGCAGAAGAACGAATATAAATATAATCTATCACATTTTATTGTATGAAGAGGATTCTTTTTTTGAAGAATATTGACTCAAACTTGTATCGAGCTACTGGCATTCTATTAGATATATTTTTTTTTCTTAAAATACGTGATTTTTTAATTATTTATCAATTAACAATGTTCTCTTTCTCATAAAGAGTCTAGCAGAAATAAATTGTTTGCTTGATTGGTCGAAAAATTAGGTAAAGATATAAAAGGAGTTTTTTTAGGATCAATTTTTTTACAAAAGAAATTCCTCCATAAGTGTTGACGGCAGGGTTATCAAGATCGAGGAACTAAAATCTGTAGCCAGTTTTTGAAATGGTTTGAAGGAATAGTTTACTGATAGTGAGGACACATCGTTTATGCGAGAAAGAGCTAAGCGAGTCTCATCCAGACAGATAAGACCTCTAAAAAACGCGTAAAAATGCGTTTAAAATCCGTAAATACACCGTTTTTACGTATCAGAAACATAAAAACGCCGTTTTCACGAGTTCTTAACGTGTTTCTACGTAATTTTTTGGAAAGCGTTCTACTGCGTTAAAATCTACTCCGTAGTTGCTCGTTGAAACGCGGAATTCAACGTGGTTTTACACGTTGTTTTATGAGTTTTAACGCTGTAAGCACATATTATCGACGCGTTAATCACAGTAGACAAAGCTAACGGAGATAAAAATCGTAAAAATGTGCGCTTTTCCCGATTTTATTTTCGTTAAAATTTCAAAATTTGTACGCCGTATTTCTCCGTTTTTTTTAGTTTTGTCTGTTTGGGCAAGACCAGCGTTACTTGTTCAGTAATTGTGTGTAATGCTAGACGTCATAGAAATTTATGATTATTGAAAATATTTTATTAATGAAATAGTCAATAAACGAGCATTTGTAAGAATCAACAAAGATGTATTATAAAATATAGTAAAAAAAAAGCATTGAATATATATATATTTAATATTTATTAAATGAATGTCCACATGATGAACAGAATTGACTTGTGGGAGCTTGTTGTGGTGCATTACATTGAGGACAAAATCCTGTTGATTGTCCAGGATAAGGTGGAGGTGCATAGTTACTTTGTTCACCAGGAGCTATTGTTTGATATGGAGCAATTTGATTACGATGATGCGATACACTTCCAGGAGCAATAGAATGACCAATATCTATTACTAACTAAAAAGAATGATATTAACAAATTTATTCAAAGCTAAATCTACTGACTTGATAAACTACTCGAAACTGATGTTGCTTTCCATAATATCCAGCATAAGTTGTTTTAGTATCTAATCTCCAACTACATGGTATTGGTGATCGAGAAGAATATTTTCTTGATTCTTCTGCAATTACTCGTCGTATATTATCTCGACGTCGAGATATTAGAATACGAAATGCAATAGAACAAAAAATTATTCCAAAAATAGTTATACCTATTGCAACACCAATTAATGCAGGAAATCCACGGCGTCCAGAAGAATTAGCTGCTGTTACTCCACCAACAATAAATAATATTAAACCAATTATTATACTCAAAATAAAAATAATGCCTACAATTAATAAAGCTTTACGTTCTGCAGGTACATTATTAATTCTATGAATTGATTCTTCAAATTCATTTTGATTAATTATTCCATTAAGACGAACTGGATATGTTGAATCAAATTCTGATTTGAAACCTCCAGCTAATAATACCAAAAAATATTAAAAATAGAAATTTAAAAAATGAATAATTACTTCGAACAACAGGTATATAGACTGAATTAGAATTTACCGGTACCTCAATCATTTTGTTTTTCTGATATATATCACATACAGATATATTTAAAAAAATCTCTTAAATACTAAAGACCACATGACGTGTATAAGCTGTAACAAAATAAAACACACAGATAGTAACTATACAACAGTAGAAAAGAACAAAATTATATATTTGACGAAGATATTTGTCAACACGTATTTTTACTATGATATCATATAACAACAAAATGACGTCGGAGAATATTCGTTTGTCTACATACAACATTAATTTTTTATCTTTATAAAACGGCAGAACAAGATATAAAATATTAGTCATATATTTTTCTATGAAAATTACATCAACATAATCTTGCTCGATCTCATTTGGATCGGCGACAGTCCCTTCAAAAAAAAAACGTTCGAATAGCTACGGTCAAGCAGCGTTGTCACCTTTGCTTAAGAGAATGCAATCGAAAAGTTATTACTCACTGTTCAAGTTGCAATATTCCCTGTTGTCCAGATCATCAAAAAGTCATTTGTAGCAAAATATTTTTAGGATAAAATAATTAAATATAGTTTCTGTTTTATAAGTTATTATTCTATAACATGTTGATAATATATAAAGGCGAATAATAAGTAGTAGTCCTACAGTTGACCGTATGAAGATTAAATGATATATTTCCTTCATTATTAAAATATGCTGATCGTATATGAATATGTGCTGAATATCAACAACATTTACTAACAAAAGATATTGATACTAGTATAGAATTATTGAAGAATAATCGTATTAATATTTTACTTTCTTTATTATCTTATAAACAAATAACTTCACTAGTTTCACAATTAAAAGATCATAAAATAATGAAAATACTTGAATAAAATTATCAATCACGAGAAATATTATTTCCTTGGGCTATGTCATTATGAACTGGTGATATTTTAGTTCCATATAATACATCATATGAATCAGTATCATATTTAATTGATGAAATATTATTATATTTGATATTGAACGTCACATTTGACAATAATTATTTTCACAAACATTCGTTATCAAAACTAATTCTTTTTTTTAATGAAAAATTTGTGAATATCAATGAGAAAAACATAAAAGTTTCATATGCATAATTTACTAATTCAACGATAAACATTAGAAAGAACTGAATAAAACAATGCTGCAGTTGTTTTTTGTTTTTATCTATCACCAGACTTTTATATCGAAATAATAGAATATTTAAATTGTATTATTCTTCTCTTTTCTGTTCATTAGAGATTTTCAATATAAATATGAATAAAACATTTGATTTTGATATTATAGTAGAAGATTATATATTTGTTTTGATATTTTATTAACGATGATAAATAGAGAAATAAGGCAAGATTAAATATTTTAGTCCATAAAAAATTGCAGGATTAAAAATTAGAAAATGTTTTTGTTTGTTATTGGTTGATATAGATGAAAATGATTGTGTTTAGTTACTGGGAAGAGAAACTGATGAACATGAAATAGTAACAGCACTACCAGTACTGTTATTTCCCTAGAAAACAAAATTGAAATTATAATAAGAAAAAAGAGAATTGATTTTGATAACATACTTGACAACAACTTTGATTTGATTCACATCCATTATATTGATTACCAGAAGCACCATTTGTTGCTTGATTATAACATGTATGTTCTGACAATAGAAATAATATCAATTAGTTATTTCTATAAGAATAAAAAAAACATAACATACGTTGATTAGTTTTGGAATGGGTGACTTTGAAAGCGTTACCATTGTTCAAATTGGAATGTCTTTTTCGGCGACTGTTAGTAGCTAAAATAAAATTAGAATTTTTATAAAATAAAAAAACAAATAATAAATTTCATGATGAAAGAAAAGAAATTCTATCTGTTAGAATCAATAATGATTAAACTTACTTGAATCTGAATTAGCATCATTATTACAACAGATAGTTTGACCACTTTGACATGTATTCTTTGTTGTTGTGCTTTGATATTGTTGATTATTTTCAGTATAAGTTGTTGGACTTAAGTAATAGACTGCTGGTTGCTCGTTGTCTTGACTATTACCCCAGTTATCTACATTATTGCCCCAGTTCGATCCAGAACCACCATTGCGTCTTTCTCTAAATTGTGATGCATTAGTTGCAATGACGATCACTGCAATAATCATAAGACATAAACATTTCGACATTTGCATATTGAGTATCGACGATTGTGTAATTTGATTGTTGAATAATGAATATTAAATGAGATAATTTTTGTTAAGATTTTCGGAGGTTTATATACGATAGAAATGATCATTGATGTGGAAAAAATATCTTCTGTTTTTGTTTAATATTCATACGTCAATCGTTTGATTTATTTTGAGATTCAAAAGAAATCTTTACAAAATATGATGATCATATCTGGATTTAGTCAAATATTATTGACAAGAGTCAATAATACAAAAGAAAATAATGTTTAACATGAGAATGGTTTAGAGAGTAGAGTAATGACGTTATCTTTTTTCTTTCTTTTCTGTCTAATTCATACAAAAGGTGTATTTTCTAAGAAGAAAAGAAAAAAGAAACGACGATAAAAATCATGAATAAGACAAAAGTTGTACTTGATAATATGAGAAAATAAATATTCATTTCAAACAAATTGAAATCTACAAAATAATAATATTTTGTTTTTGTTTCAAATACGAAATTTAAATCGTAGAAAAAGGATTGACTATGTATATAATAAAATTCAAATAATCTTTGTCACATAATGAATACATCAAATGAAATAAATAGGCAAAAAATTTCATCAACGAATATTTATATTGTGCTTTTACATCTCATAATATTAGTAGAAGATAATACGAATGTTTTTTAAGAAATAGTACTACACGAAGTTTTATTAAAATAAATAAGTACGAGATTATTGATTGAAAATTCGTATATAAGATATCAGTTTAGGAATATTTGAGAAGATCTGTTCATTATTAAATTAATTGAGAATTTGACAATAGGAAATTTTAGTTTAATAATTATCTAAAAGAGAAATTTCTACCGCGAAATACTGATATTTTTCAGGTTTCTACATTATATTATATTAATATTCAATAGTGATAGATTTTAAAATATCACTTGATATTCTATACTTTGTTCATAATAGAATTTAGCTTCATACAAGTAATGTATTATTATTTTCTAGAAACAAAATTATTTCGAATAAAAAATGAAATGAAGATTTATTTTTCTTTTTTTTGAATTTTATGTTCGCAACAAAGAAAGTCCTTCATTTTCAAACAGATACATCGAGTATTTTTCTCATATTATCAAGTGCACGTTTTGCCTTATTCATGATTTTTGTCGTCGTTTCTTTTTTCTTTTCTTATTAGAAAATACACCTTTTGTATGAATTAGACAGAAAAGAAAGAAAAAAGATAACGTCATTACTCTACTCTCTAAACCATTCTCGTGTTAAACATTATTTTCTTTTGTATTATTGACAAGAGTCAATAATATTTGACTAAATCCAGATATGATCATCATATTTTGTAAAGATTTCTTTTGAATCTCAAAATAAATCAAACGATTGACGTATGAATATTAAACAAAAACAGAAGATATTTTTTCCACATCAATGATCATTTATATCGTATATAAACCTTTGAAAATCTCAACAAAAATTATCTCATTTATTATTCATTATTCAACAATCAAATAAAACAATCGTCGATACTCAATATGCAAATGTCGAAATGTTTATGTCTTATGATTATTGCTGTCATCGTTATTGCAGCAAATGCATCACCAGCAAGAAAAAGACGCAGTGGTAGCTCTGGATGCAGCGATAACAATAGCCAAGACAACTCTAATGGAAACAATGGCAATCCACAACCCTATACGCTCCAACAAGGAGATTATTATTATACTAATAAACAATCTACTATCACAAACACAGAAAATAAATGTTCATCAGGCGCAACTCACTGTTGTAATAATCAAGCTAGTTCAAGTAAGTTTAATCATTTGTTCATGTTAACAAATAGAATTTATTTTCTTTCATCATGAAATTTATTATTTGTTTTTTTTTTATTTTATTCAAATTCTAATATTATTTTAGACAGTGATCGCCGAAAACGAAATTCTGGTTCGTCCTTTGGAAATCTCTTCGGTTCCAGTACTAATAGTAAACGTATGTTTTGTTTTTTCATTCTTATAGAAATAAATAATTGATATTATTTATATTGTCAGAAACTTCATGTGATAATGTTGCAACAAGTGGTTCCAGTGGTACTCAATATAATGGATGTGATTCAACTCAAGATTGTTGTCAAGTATGTTATCGAAATTAATTCTCTTTATTTTTATTTATTTCTTATAATTCCAATTTTATTTCTTAGGGAAATACCGTTAATGGTCTTGTTAGTCTTCAATGTTCATCACTTTCTCGTAAATAAACACAATCGCTTTCATCTATATCAACCAACAACAAACAAAAACATTTTCTAATTTTTAATCCTGCAATTTTTTTTGGACTAAAATATTTAATCCCGCTTTATTTATTTATTTCTCTATTTATTTATCATATTTAATAAAATATCAAAACAAATCAAATGTTTTATTCATATGTATATTGAAAATCTCCAATGAACAGAAAAGAGAAGAATTATATAATTTAAATATTCTATTATTTCGATATGAAAGTGTGATGATAACTAATAAAATTTCTTCGTTTAATTTTTCTAGTACTTGTATTCAAATGCAAAAATGAATAACATATTCTTCATCGTTTCTAACAGATAAAAACAAAAATTATTGTTTATATTTTTGTGCAAATCAATTTTACTCAATAATTCTATGATATGATTATTTTTGTTAAACTGAGTAATATTTGTTTTGATTTCAATGATTTATTTGTAGAATTGCATGAATTTATTTTATATAAGATTTACAAATGTGTGTGTGGTGCATAAGCAGCGGGACGTCTTGAATTTCGGTGGGGCTCATAGTGTTTTCTTATTCTCATCCGTTGAACTTCGATGTCGAAATTTTTATTAGAGCTGCAGTGTCAAAAAAAATGCTTTTTTGTTAAGTTCAATAAATCAAAAGAATCAGAGAATAAAAGATGGTTATGTTTAAAAAAAAGAACCAAAGAACCGTTTTATTTGTTCGTTTCTTGTTTTAACCGATAGAATCCATTTTCTCCTTGTACATGTAAGTTAGAAATGCACTATTCAAACGAGTATGTATCATAGGAAGGAAAGAGAATCACGAAGGCAGTGAAACGAGGGATAAATATTACTACCTAACACTTGTAAATACATATTCTTATCTCAAGCTATTAGTCTCTCTTGTGAAATCAAAGCATAACTAATATCCGATTGCAATTATGTCAATTCGACGTCAAGACTGCCACTACGAACAACACATATCAAAAAAAGGTATATTTTCTATGTCTCTGAAAGGACAGTAGTGACGAAAAGTGAATAAATGACGCGAAAACTATAGATTATCATGGAGTATCAAGTTCAAAACTAGGTGAGTCTCATAGGCTCCGCCGCCCTTGAACTTTTACATTATTTCTTGTATAAGAATAAGTATTGCTATTGTAAGAAGAAATGATATTGATTGCGAAGAAAAGTACATCGAATAGAAAGAAAGATGAATAACATTGTAAGATAAACGCAATACAATTCAAGAATTTATTAATAAAAATTGTCGTTTTTATTATGTTGGTGCTATTCAGAAGGTGATTTATGTATTGTATGTATAGTAAAACCGATTTTTTTAGTGTTACTTTGCTATTCTTAGATTCTTTCAAATTTTGACTAAATTCGAACATAGTTTAATAAATGATTTTATTCTTATCTCTAATTGAAGATAATTTCTATGAATACATATCGAAACTTATATCTCTTTGACCAAAGTTAACATGATTCGATTTAGATCTCGAAGAAGATACAGAAACTTTTTTCAATAAGATTAGGAAAAAAATAACTCATTTTGAACTGAGTATGTGCTCGAGCAATGATAATAAATATTATTACAAATCTTTCCAAATTTAAAAATATTCAGAATTAATATTGAATTACCAGTTCATAATGATTACTTCTCACTTAAGGAATTCGTACAAAATTTTCGAAAACTAACTCATTTATTATTGGGAATATGGTCTGCTAATGATAAATATCAACAACATAAATCGAAATTTTGCGAGGAGTACATGAATATATTGAATGGCATGAAGAGGGTGGACATTATCTAAATATTTGGTTATGAATGGTCTTTTATATTGTTTTTAACGCTGCCAATATGACTAATAATAATTCAGGACGAAAGAGCAGTTCTTTTTCTGTATTTTTCTGTGTTTTTTTTTTGCAAAAATTAAGTAAGTTTGATTCACAATCATAAAATAATGAAATATGAAGACTAAAAAACGGCTTATTCTAATGTTTGTACTTACATTTATTTGTACTTATCTTGAAGATTTAGGAATAATTAGAGCAACCATCTTGAGGGTGTGGGTGTGAGTGTTGTTAGATTAAGATAAGAGAAACCCACATCTACACTGTAAATAATTCTCTCATTGTTTTTAAATCTCAGAAATTATTCATTCGAAACTCTTATATCATTTATAAAAAGTATTTCTAATTGATTTATTGTTATAGTAAAAGAATCTTTTCAATATTTGAGAAAAAGTAATACCAGAAAATCATGAAGAGATTTTATAAATAGATCTTAATATTAATGAAGGATGTGTCCTTGTTATTATTTCTATACGTGGTAGATACAATTGACAAGTACTTAAATGATTAACCTCCTTTCTTCCAGGAAGAATGTGTCAATAATTTATTGTAGTGGATAAATAATTACACTAGAATATTATATAAAATTTAACATAATCTTATACTACAAAAGTTTTCTCTCTCTGAGAACTGTCTCGTATATAAATAACGCAATATAGTTTACATCTGTCATTCTTTAGTAACAAAAGTTTCTATTGAAAAACTATTTTTTATTCAATATTTATATTATAATCGAGATCAAATTCTGTTAAATACTATAAGAAATGTATGTTATATTATATTTATTTCTATATAATCAATTAAAATAGAGTTATATTTGCCATTTTTTTCCAATTAATTAAATTACGGTTACAATATAAAATGTTTTAAATTGTGTTTAGATATAGAAATAATATTTCATCTGGGTCGTGTCAACTTTATGTTTTCTAGTTAGCATGAAGTGCATTGAGAAAATTAAAAGGAAATTTATATCTTAATCAAAGCAGAAATAGTTTTCTGAGATTGGGTGACTTCCTGTAAAATTATAAACCAACCTTTCTTTTAATTTCTATATTATTTACTCTAACTAGTTTATTATAACACAGTTGAACAACCAGTCCAAACTATTAAGATTATAATGAATCAAGTTGCATTTATATTGTGTTTTATGACATTTATTATTTGTTCATTCACATGTTTATTTTCATGTATTATATTAATTTGTGTTATTCATCATCTTTATCATAATCGTTTACAACAAGAAGATCGAATAACATTTATTCATTGTATTAATATTTATTCATTAGTTTTGGCGTATATTGGAATAATAGCATCATTTAATATTCAAACAGTTTTAGGAAATTTATATGAATATGACTTTAATACATCATGGTGTGTAGTTTTAGGATATCTAGCTCCTACTCTAGCGTGTAGCCTGTTTTGGGCTTTTGTGAATCAGGTAATTCATTATTGATTAACTAGAACAATGAAAAATGTTTTTCTTTTTATTCTGAATGTAGGCATTCTTTCGTCTTTGTCGAGTTGTATATCCAACTGTGAGAAGACTTCAATCATATCAATTATATATTATTTTACCATTCATAGAACTAATTTTCAGTTGTATTTTAATGAGTTTGATTCTATTTTTACATTCTATTATTTATCTTCCAACAGATTATTATTGTTTTGTACCATTTACTAATGTGTATAGTATGTTTTGGCTTGTATTAAATAATTACGGAAGTCCGGTAGGAGTGTTATTGTTTATTTATATCCGCATTACAATTTTTCTTCGTCGTCAAACAAATACTCCAACACTTATTGTTAAACAACGTCAACATCCTGATTTACTTGTGATTCGACGTATTCTTATAACTGTTGGTTTCGTAATAAGTTTGGGAATACCTGCTATGATTTTTCTGGTGATGTTTTTTATTACAAATGAACAATATCCTCTTACTTTTCCTTTTCTATGTTTTTTTATTAGTATATCAATGCTAGGTTTATGTTTATTAACAATTATTTTTACACCACAACTAAAAAAGACTGTTGTCAAAATTGTTCAACAGAATCGCGTTACATTCCTGAATGACAGCTTCATAGCTTCGATTCCAACGAGACAATGACATATTTACTATATATGAAAACCTACTTATTATATCTAAACTATATTCTTTAGAACATATTTTTTATTTTTGTTGTATTTTATGTTTTAATATCTGAAACACATGATTCTTTCTCGAGATATTGAGAAATGAATAAAGGTAGCTGTGCTCTCTTCACATGCACCTCCAACCCAATTTTACCAAAAATCTGATGATGTTCATTGAATAGAAATAATATAAAAGAACATTATAAAATGGATTATTTAAAGAATATATTTTCTGACGTGAATCATGTATTTATAATTGAAACTGATATTTTAATTTTGATCTTAATCACATCTCAATATTAACAGAAAATTTGCCTAGAAATATCCTTTTTTCTCACTTCTTTTATCTAGAAAAAAGATATTTTCCAATGAATTTCATTGTTGTTTTCTTTTTCAAAATAAAATTATATAAAGAATTAGCAATTAAATCTAAATAATAATAATAAAAATATGTCACTGTTTTTCTATACGGTGTTTATTGATATTGAGAAGAGAAAAAAGAGAGATATAAAGGTTGTGGGTGTGTATGGTTGTGATCTCTGTACGTAAAAACTCATTCACGTTAACACTCACATCTTTAATAAATTTAGCTGCTATTAACCCTCCGGAGGTGTTCTCGCTTAGTCACACGAATGATGTATGTGGGTCCAAGTGGACCCACATGTAAATACATAAGGAAAACGTGAAATTTTATCTGAAATGTACTATATAAGATAGATGAAGGTCTATATCATGATCTCTTTTCAGTCACTGATGCATTGATACGCTTGTAGTGTACGTAACATGCTGATTTTTCAAGAAAAAAGAAGGATTATAATTATCGTGAGTAAAAGTTAAGAGAATGGTGAAAATATTTCGATAGATAAATAAGGATAGAGAAGCACATTATTTCTTACTGGCAGCAACAAACTAATCAATCTTCAATAGATAGACCTTCGAAATAATAGAGGGCATACGTAATACGAATTAAAATCATCTATATAACACGAATGTTGTCAGGAGGTCCAAACGGACCTATACGCTGGTTTTTGACTGCTGATAGTTCTGCAAGAAATTTCATATGGTTCTTATGTATCATTAGAAGACTAACGATTAGCGAAAAGATCGCTTCGAGTTGCATAGATCTTAAAGTAGAAAGAACGAAAAACACTACTGTGGGTATCTTGGACCCCCAAACACCGCCGGAGGGTTAAACTATTAACTATTTTCATCTTCATTATGCTTTCATAGTAATAGGTTAATATGAATTTCTTTTTTCCTAAATCAAATCTATATATAATCAACAAAAAAATGAACCTTCTAATGTTAGTTCTTATAATATTCCATCTTTAACAACGAATCTATTTCCCATAAAAAATAATTTCTGTTTAAAAAATTACTGAAGTACAAATATTGAAGAATTTTCAATTTATAATAAATTTCATAGTTTAATAAGTGATTTTATTTATCTTGAAACATTTCAATATTATATTCGCACAACTCATAAATCTGATTCGTTGTTACTCTTGTCAAATATGAAAGAACAACTAGATTCCAGTTATTTAATTTACACTCTTCCATAATGTCAAATGTTTGATATTTCATCAGAACGAACAAGAGGTGGACAATATTTTCATTCAGATCTCACATTATCAGAACTATTTAATTGCTACACACTTTAGATCTATTTGAAATCTATATCAACTATGTTTGAATTAAAAAATGATTTTAGATTTGTAAATCTACAAAGAATAAGAGTACTATCTTTAACTGAAGATAATCAAGCTAATTTCTATCAATATATATCGAAACTTATATCTCTTTCGCCAAATCTAACTTGGTTCGATTTAGACCTTGAAGAAGATACAAAAAAAGCTTATTGATTCAATACAAAAAATCTTTCTAATCAGATCAGGAAAAAGAATAACTCACTTTGAACTGAGTGTATGCTGGAGCAATGATAATCAATATTAACATCTGACATTTTTATCGGAATTATCACATATTTTTCCAAATTTAAAAATGTTTAGAATTAATATTGAATTACCAATTCATACTGATTACTTCTCACTCAAGGAATTTCTACAAAATTTTCGAAAACTAACTCTTTTATTATTGAGAATATGGACAGCTAATGATAAATATCAACAATATAAATCGAAATTTTGCGAGGAGTACATGAATATATTGAATGGAACGAAGAGGGTGGACATTATCTAAATATTTGATTATGAATGGCCTTTTATATTGTTTTAACTGTGCCGATATGACTAGTAATAATTCAGTGCGAAAGAGCGGATCTTCTTCTATACATTTTTCTGTGTTTTTTTTGCGGAGATCAAGTAAGTTTGATTCAAAATCATAAATTAGTAAAATATGAAGGCTGAAAAAGGCTTATTCTAATGTTTGTACTTACATTTATTTGTACTTATCTTGAAGATTTAGGAATAATCAGAGCAACCATCTTGAGGGTGTGGGTGTGAGTATTGTTAGATTAAGATAAGAGAAACCCACACCCACATCCAATTCACTGTAAATCATTCTCTCATTGGCGTTAAATCTCAGAAATTATTCATTATTAAGTGCATTCAAGCAGTAATAATAGAATTTCTCGGATGTTTTTTTTCACTTCTTTCAACATCTGCGGAGAAGTAACACGAGAAAATCATCAAAGCATTTTCATAAATAGATCTTAATAACTAACAAAGGACGTGTCCTTGTTATTATTTCTATATTAAATACAATTGGTAAGTAGTTAAATTATAAAGCTTCTCTTTTCCTAGATGAATGGCTTATTGTAATAAATTACAATTTTATACTACAAAAAGTTTTCTCTCTGTCTAACAACTTTCTCGTATAAAAAACAACGCAATAGTTCACATTTTGTCATTCTTTAGTAAGAAAAAATTTTCTATTGAAAAACTATTTTTTATTCAATATTTATATTATAATCGAGATCAAATTCTGTCAACTACTATAACAAATGTATGTTATATTTCTCACTTTTTTCCGACTATATAAGTTACGGTTACAATATAAAATGTTTTGCATTGCGTTTAGATATACAAAAAAGATTTCATCCAAGTCGTGCCAATTTTATGTTTTATAGTTAACATGAAATACATGGGGATAATTAAATGTAGATCTTAATTAAAGCGGAAACAATTTTCATAGATTGTGTAACTCTTTGCAAAACTGTGAATCAACTACATTTCATTACAAAACAATCGAATATGCAGTTCAAACTATTAAGATTATGATGAATCAAATTGCATTTGTATTGTGTTTAACTACATTTATTATTTGTTCATTAACATGTTTATTTTCATGTGCTATATTACTTTGTGTTATTCATCATCTTTATCATAATCGTTTACAACAAAAAGAACGAATAATTATTATTCATTGTATTAATATTTATTCATTAGTTTCGGCCTATATTACAATAGTAGCTTTATTTAATATTCGAACAGTTCTAGGAACTTTATATGGGCATGATTTTAATTCATCATGGTGTACATTCTTAGGATATCTAGCTCCTGTTCTAATCGGTGGCATATATTGGGCTTTTGTAAATCAGGTAGTTTATTGCTGATTAATATACTAGAACAGTGAAAAATGTTTTCTTTTAATTCTTAATCTAGGCATTTTTTCGTCTTTGTCGAGTTGTATATCCAACTATGAGATGGCTTCAATCATATCAATTATATATTATTTTACCATTCGTAGAATTGATGTTAAATTGTATTTTAATGAGTCTAGTTCTTTTTGTGCATGATGTTGTTTATCTTCCAAAAGACTATTATTGTTTTGTACCATTTACTAATGTGTATAGTATGCTTTGGCTTGTATTCAATGGTTATGGGAATCAGATTGGAGTATTATCATTTATCTATATACGCATTACAACTTTTCTTCGTCGTCAAACAAATATTCAAACACGTATAGTTAGACAACGACAAGAACGTGATTTTCTCATCATTCGACGTATTCTCTTAGTTGTTGGTGTTTTAATAAGTCTTGGAATCCCTGCTATGGGCTTTTTAATGATGGCATTTATTACACATGAAGAACATCCTCTTACGTTCCCTATTTTTTGGTTTTTTATTAGCATATCAATGATGAGCATATGTTTATTAACAATTATTTTTACACCACAATTGAAAAAGATTGTTATGAAAATAATTCAACATAATCGCGTTATACCTACGAATGGCAGTTTGATAGCTTCGATTCAAACGAGAAAATAATACATCTATTATATATTAAACTCTACGTATTATATGTAAACTATGTTTTATTAGAACATATTTTAAAGCGATAAAGAAAAGTGGATGTGGGTGAAGCTGTGCTCTCTTCACACAGATCTGATGACGTTCATTGAATAGAAACAATATAAAAGAACGTGATAAAATGGATTATTTAGAGAATATATTTTACTGACGTCAATCATCTATTTATCATTGAAATTGATATTTTATTTTAATTCTAATCATGTCTCATTATTAACACAAGTTTGACCAGAATTATTCTTTTTTCTCACGTCTTTTATCTAAAAAAAAAGATATTTTCAAAAGAAAATCATGTAAAGAATTGGCAATTAAATTTAAATAATAATAATTAAAATATGTCGCTGTTTTTCTATACGATGTTTATTGATATTGAGAAGAGACAAAAAGAGAGATATAAAGAGTGTGGGTGTGTATGGTTGTGATTTCTGTACCTAAAAACTAACTCACACACACACCCACCCATCTTTAACGACGAATTTATTTCTCATAGAAAAATAATTTCTGTCTGAAAGATTAGTGAAGTACAAACAATAACTGAAAAGTAAATAATCAAAGTATGAATAACAAATTTGTATACACTAGAAAGAGAAAGTAAAATGAAGTGAAACAAGAATGTAGTTGATCAATGAGAAATCTTTTTCTTCTATCTACACAAAATGTGACGAGTTTCAATGGATATGTTGATGATCTTTTTTGCGTTTCTTTGTCCCTTATTTTAAAAGTAATAGCAAAATAAAAAACTGTGATAGTATACAACACCATATTGATACGAAGAGAAAAAGGTAATAACGTCACTTATGCATTCACATCCAATGTAAAATCTGAATATAATCAAATAAAACATATAAATGATGTCATATTCGTTGGAAAAAACCAACAAATATTATTTGTCATGATTACTCACGTAAAAAAACAATAGAAGACAAAAACCTAAACGCTTGATTGAGTTAGTTATGACAAGGAAGAAAAGAATGAAAAAGATTTTTATTCTTGATACAAAAATCAAAATCATATAAATCAATAGTTACCATGGACGCTGAAATACGTCTTTCCCCTGTAGTATCGCATTATGCTGATCCTCTCGAGATTTTGGCTGGTAATGATGAAATCAATCAATTAACAGATTCAAATCCATTATCAAATCGACGTCCAACTCGATTACATTATTGTTGTGATTATTTCATTAATTTATTTGGTATTTTGATTATTCTTTCATTGATGATTTATCAAATTGTTCTTGCTTGTTATAATTGTGAACTAATAAATAGCAGTCTTGCTAGGATTCGTACCTCGTTTTTTCTGAATACTCCATTTGTTTTAGCTATACTGATCTACTGCGTTATAAGAGTGTATAAAAAGTACATGCTTGTATTCCTGCACGTGTTTACAACAGCTGTTTCGTGCTCGGTGCTTCTTTTCTTTTATTCGTTATTCACAGGAATGTTTTCTCTCGAATTTCAAGAACTGATGGAGATCAAACGCGAATTAAATAATGCAACAATTGTAAACTCATTACCTTGTCCAATGAATCATTATCAACATATGTTTTGGATGAAAATAGTTCAATTATGTTTCATCGGTTTGTGTATTACTGGTACGAAGATTGTTAAATCATATGTGGATAGTGACCAAATATCTTCTCACTCAGTGACTATGAATATCAGTTCAGACGAATGTATAAGAATTTACGAAGGAAAAAGATGTAATGAATTTCTTTTTCGAATCGCTAATTATTGGGAAAGTTTTTCTGATAGAATATTTCAACGTCATAAAGGAGAAATTGTTGTGCATGTTTAATTATTTGTTGTAATATATTCTAATTAAAATAAATATCCTTGATTTTAATCACAATTAAATGTTCATGTTTTACTTCCTTCGATGAATCAGAGAGCTATGATGATAGTATCTGCATTTTTCTTTTCGATTAGTCTGTCATGCGTGATAAGACTGACTAATTTTCGTTTTTCTTCCGATAGATAAATAAATGTAAAGGTATTCGTTGAATACATATATTTGAAAAGACAACATGTGTGAAACATATTTGGATAATTTTCCAGATATAGTATTCGATGAAGTTTTTTCATATTTATTCTGTGATGAAATCTTTCAATCATTTTATTCAATTAGTGACTATATAAATAATGTTGTAAGTAATTATAAGCAATATTTCTTGGATTTATCCAGAGAAGATATTCGAAAATCGGCATTTGATTCAATTTGTTCAAATATTTCTCCATCACAAATCATTGGACTAAAACTTGGCAAGACAAAATTTAATCTATTTGATCAATATTTACTTGGAAGAAATGGTGAGCAATCATTTACTAATCTTCGTTCGTTGTGGCTTGATCGAACAATTTCATATAGTGAGAGTCTCTCACGATGGATGCAGTCAAAAATTAATTTAGATAATCTTCATTCATTTCATTTCACTTGTTTGCATGATCATTTATTTGCACAAGTACGCAATTCTTCATTTGAAAATCTTTCTTATCTAATCGGAAATTCAAGCAGAAAATTTCGTCAATTATCCAATGGTATACCAAAACATTTAAAAACTTTACATATGTTTTTTGATTCTATTGATGATCTTAATGATTTAATTGGTTCGAATGCGCATCAATTCTATTCGCTTGGCGTTGGTTTTCAATGTCAAATAGATAATCTTCATCAATTCTGTTCATTAGTCAAAAATCATCAATGGACACTTTTAATTCAATTCAACTTAAATTTACAAGGTAAGTTTTTTCGAAAAACATATTCTCATTTGAAAGTAAAACCGTTTTATATATAGGAATAAATAATATTCATTTCGAAACAATAAAATATCTCTTATCGTCAATGTTTCGACTCAAATATTTGACGTTATTATTTAGTAAACAAGAATTAATTCATCAGAGCGATGTGCTCAATGGTTTCCAATGGGAATTGTTCATATCCGAAACGCTGATTTATTTGAAGAAATTTTTTTTGAAAATTCCTCTTACTGAACAATCTAACGATGAAATCAATTTTTATTTTAACACATTTCAATCATCATGGTGGATCAATGAAAAAAAATGGTTCATCGAATATTTTATAGTAGAAAATGCTTTTATGACAGTACCATATTTTGCTCCAAAAATAATCGATAATTCAGTTGTTGACTCATTCTTTATGATGAAACGATCGGAACTATCTTATTCGAATATCCGAGAAATGAAACTTTATTTCGATAAATTAAATCCTATATATCTATCCACTGATCAGTATTATGGGCGATTTTGTAATGTTAATCGTCTATCATTCAATGGACAGTTAACAGGAAATCCTTTAATCAATATTCGACATTTAATTAATGTAGAAAAAATTGTGTATTTTCAAATTTCATCAACAATTACACATTGTGATCTGTTAGCAGAATTTATCCAAGATATGACAAATCTTTCGTCTCTTCATATCCAATGCGTCCATGCTCTTCATATATTTGATTCGATTTTATCACCATTGGTTTCAGTTCGACGTCTTGATTTATTTGGTTATCAGACAAGAACAAGAAGTCTATTGGTAAAGCGTGTACGCTTTCTATTTCCTGCCTTGATTCATTTAACTATAGAATATCATTCGAGGCGACTATTTCGTTATGTATTGAATGAATTAGTTCATCTTGAAGAGATTCATTTTCATTTAAAAGATCATGATCATGTACCAAATCATCATTGGATAGAACAATATACTCGATTAATTAATCATTCATTTCAATCAGAAGTTTTTAATGTCAATCATAAAGAAAGAATATTTGTACTATGGATTAATCGAGAGAAAATCAATAATCAATCTATCGATCACAAATGTCTTATCCAATGATTCCATAACTGTGAATACCTTACTGACACCTATTTGATTTCTTTTTTAATCTTGATCTTAGTTTGAAAAAATAATCGAGATAAATTAATAACCCACGCTCATTCAAAATCTACAACTATTGCAGCCTTATTGCTTCGCCGAAAGACGACTGCCTGTATATGATGCATGCATGTCAATGACGTTTGTATACACAACCGGTAAACATGGATTCCAGTCTAGTAGTGAAGAAAAAAAAGGTTTTTTTATCAATGTAAACATTTGACAAAATCAAAGAGAAGAAGGGGTGTGGGTGTATTCTATGACAGATATTAACACACCCACTCGCACCCATACACACACCCACTCCCACCACATTAATGAAAAGCGTTGATTCTATAAAAATCACACAGTAGAATCTTGAGGGTGAGGGTGTCGGTGTGAATATTAAGCTAACCACCCACGCCCTGATCTGAAAAGTTTTCTTGAATAGTTATCATGCCTCTAATAGACGCTGGTTCATATAGATGACATACAATATATCTACGATATTTTCTTTCGCATACAACCGTCTCAGCTGCCACTATATGAGGGCGTGGGCGTGAGTGTTAGTGCGGATTTGTGTGTGTGTTAGTATGGATTTGGATGTGGGTGCAGGTATGGAGACTGTATTCACCTAGTATCCACACCCACACCCTTACTTCTAGCTCGTTGTAGATGATCATCAGTTGAAATAACGACATGTTGAATGATTATGGATGGTGCAAATACAACATGCACTACTCTTCTATACTTCTATCAGTTTACAGATAATAGAGACCCATGAAGAAGTATTGTGCAATAGTTGATGTGTCTATTAGACTAAGTGATAAAGATTAGAAGAAACTATGTCAACTTTACACAAACTAGATTCTTTGTAACATTATTCACATCTCTCCTCGTCTATCTGTTGTGTGCTTTTCATATTGTCTTATTTCCTTTAGTAAAATCGAGCAGAAGTGCTGAGATATGCAAAAGAAAGAATTGGGTATATGTTCTATGAAACATCAAATGAGTTTGCCGAACTGACACTGAAGAAATATTCTGATCGTTCAAAAGATTTCATCGGATGGTATAATATATCTGCACAAAAAAGTTAATGAAAGCATTCATATGGAAGGATGGGTGTAGACTTGTTCTGTTTGCAAACTCACACCCACACCCTAGAACACTTGCTCTTCAATAAAGTCGAATACAATCCTTTAGAGGATGCGGTAATTCATCCTTATTTGCACACATCTACAATAGGCTAAATCACTTGGACTTATGAAATATGTCGGTAAAAAAACTCCACTGGCAACGGATAAGTGCTTTACCTTTATTCTCATATTATTTTAATATAAAAAAAAGATTATTTTCTTTACGTGCGAACAGAATATATTAGAAAATTTATGTAAAATACCACACATTATTTATTAAAGTAAAAATGATTATATAAAAGTAGATGAATCAATTACAGTCAGAAGTGTCATCATCAAAGGTAGAACTACTAGACGAAGATCATATAGGAACTGGTGCATTGTTTGTTATTTGAGTACGGAACTGTGTGTACATAGTTTTAGCAATATTATTAATATCGTTGATAGGAAGACGTTGTTCTGGATTAAGAACAAGACATTGATTAATAATAGAATGTAAATTAGTAGAATACAATTGTGTCGACAATGGTTCATAATCGAGTGTTAAGATTTTCCTTTGTAATGAAGGTAAATCCAAATCTATTTCATAGAAAGGAGAACGAAGAACTACCATTTCATATAAAATACAAGCAAGTGACCAAATATCGGATTGAAAATTATAACCTCGACATTGCCCATCGATTATTTCAGGTGCCATATAATATGGTGTACCTACATTTGAATAAGCCAATATTGTTTTCGAATCAAAGTAACGACTTAAACCAAGATCACCTAATTTAATAGATCCATCTTTATTAATAAAAATATTTGCCGGTTTAATATCTCGATGTATAATTCGTTTCGAATGCATATATTCAAGACCACAAGTTATTTGACAAAAAAACTTCCAAATTGTTTTTTCATTTAATAATTTATTGTTCTGATGTAAACTTTCGAACATTTTTGATAAATCACCTGCACTAGCCAATTCCAAAACTATATATAAATCATTATTATCAATAAAATGAGATATATATTTGATTATATTTGGATGATCAAGTTGTTGCAATAAAAAAACTTCACGTTTACAATCTTCAATAGTTTTACTATCAGTCATTCGACTTAATTCAACTTGTTTTAGTGCGACCTTGATTCCAGTAATACGATGTCGAGCAAAATAAACAGTTGCAAAATGACCGCGATTTACGGCTGCATTACGAATATCAAAATTATTCAATGCTTCATATGTTGACTGTATTGACATGCCTCTGTCTGCTATGTGGTCAATACTCATATCTAGAAAAAAAATATTTTAATAAACGAATTCTTAAGCGTCGCATAAAAGGAAGTGCGTTGGAATGTTAAGAGACGAACGTAATTGTTTTTTCTGTTTTTTTTTATTCGTCAATGTCAAAAAAGATAAAACCTCTTTCGGCGACAGCGACAAAAAATAATCAGAATAGAATGAAGTAGGCGGATAGTGACGATAGAAAGTAACCCTTTCACACAAATATATTCTTTAATGCATGATAACAAAATAAAAATGCTCAGGAAAATATAACTAGAGATTTAAATAAAATATCGTCATGATACTGAAGACGATTCACGTTACAGAGAAGTGTGAGCTATGTAAAAATGGAAGTTATAGTTGTGCCAAGCCAAACGATGGCTTGGTCTCTTTTCTTTATATGCACTTTGATATTTGCTTTCGATACTCTTACCTTTCCATATTTATTCCTGCTTTCGATACCCTTACCTTTCAATATTTATTTCTTCTTTCCATATTTATTCATGCATATTTATTCCTTCTTTCCATATTTATTCATGCATATTTATTCCTGCTTTCGATAATCTTACCTTTTAATATTTGTCTTGCTCTTGGTACTCTTACCTTTTGATATTTGTCCTTTTCTGTATTTGGCTACTGAATGTCTCGAGTGCTATATAAGGCACGAGGAATATTCCGTAGGGAGGCAATTTCTTTTAAAGAATGAAGTATACGTATATGTTAAATCTGTTATTGTTCTTACACTGGACCTGAAATCGTCACAATAGTGAATATTAAACTAACATATTTTATTATACTTTTTCTCATTTAGAAAATGTGTTTATCAAGATTTTCATTTGACACATAAGTCATCATTAAAATGTATGGAAAAAGGAATGGATAGTATAGATATAACAAAGCTTTTGATGACAACCATATGTAATGTATTTTAGTTGTTATTGAAAATGTTTATATAAATACATTGACTTAAATATTTTAGAAACGATCAATTTTATTTATCTAATTTCTTTAATCAATACAATATTGTGTTTAAAGTTTATTGATTCTTTTTAGTAATTTTTCTTCATAAAAGTTATTTTATATGAAATATTCAAATAGATGATCTGTTCCCTAGACTGAAAAGGATAGGGTCTAGAAACGGGAATTATCTTTTTTATATGTATTATTTTTGTCGGTAACATGGCTAAATTGACCATTTTTTTGGCACAAATGACCATTTTTTTGGCACATTTGACCATTTTTTTGGCATATTTGACCATTTTTATGGCACATTTGACCATTTTACTTTGTGGTATAAATGACCATTTTTTAGGCACAAGTGACCATTTTCTTGGTACAAATGACCATTTTTTTGGCACAAGTGACCATTTTTTTGGCCCAAATAACCATGTAACTATGGTATATTTTTGATAATATAATTTTATTTGCTATTATCGTTTTATTTTAATAGCATAATATTCAATATATAATATTTTATTCAATCGTATGAAAAGAGCGCTTACTTAAATATTTAAAATATTTCTTAATTATATATATATATATATATAATATTTTATTGTATCAAAAGGGCGCGAACCTAAAAATTTAATTTATTCGTTAAAAAGGGCGCAAGCTTAAATATTTGAAATATTTCTTAATTATATATAGATCATTATTTTATTGAATAAAGTGAAATAATGAGGCAACGCTAATTTTTCTTTTAATATGGAGGAAAATCAAATAATATTAATAATAAAAAACGGAACATTCGTATGCATAGAGTATTATAAAGCTTTGGAAAAAATGTTTGCCTATTTTTATATAGCATATCATTTATCATCATAGACAAATATTTTTAATACATGTTTGAAAAAAACAATAATATGTCGAAACGTCCTGTACGATGACTCAATAAAATAAGACCCAGAATTAGAAGCTTAAAACCATACGCATTGTAATTTCATCATATTAAAAGTCTAGTTGATGCATTATTGCAAAATATTTCAATAAATTTGTTGGTTTAATAGTCTTGCTATAGTGCATATGGATAAAAGAGTTCAAAATCAATTTTGATATATAATGATAGAAAGATCTCCACTGTAGTTTTTTTTGAAATCCTACTTTTTATAAAATTGACTTTAATAAAGCTAAAGCATTTTTAAACTTTATTATTCATTCATCAAATATCAAACTTTTAGAGAATACTTGATTTCATATAAGATAGAACTTCAGTTTGATTCTCTGCTGAAAGTCAAAACTAACATTGATTAAATCTCATTCGTATATAAATGGAGTTATATCAGCATGCAGACCGCGACAGTCTAGGGTCAAGTGAATCGAATTTCGATGAACGCTACTTGTTTGTTATGGGTAACAGAAACATGGAATCTCATTTCTTCTTTATAATATTAATTGTTGATAAGAATATTGATCTTTTTTTGTGTACTCAAAAAGTGAGTACACTATAGAATCTGTTAGTGTATCAGTCCGTTTATACGATAGCTCCGGAAAGACTAATCCGAATGTTATGAAATCGAGGAGTTATTAAGTTATGGCAAGAATTTTCATTATTTTCCATATTTTTTATGAAAATACAAACTTATTTCAATTTTTACAAATCAGAATTTTGTCTCAGTAAACCAATCTATCATCAGCTACACTTCTTGAAGTACACATAACATTTGGATTTTAATCCAAGGTTTCCACAAGTATTATTTTGGTCATAAAAGTAAAAATAAACATATGATACTATACTATTTCTTCTATTTATGTAGTCGTACGAGAAAAAATGCCTGTTAAATAAGATTTTAGTTGTATTATATTTGAAGTTTTTCATAGATATGAATAGTGAAATTGATTCTATTTATTCAAGATGATTTCTGATGACTACTTTATTTTAAATTCATCTATATCCTAATTGAGTATAAATGCAAATATGATAATAAATTTTATTCGTCTTGTTTGTTCAGCAAATTTTTAATAATTATATTTCCATACTCACACATTAACAAAGAAACGGATATTACAACTATTTTTGTTTTAGAAATCGTACCTCATATATTATAAAAATGATTCCAAAGATTCAGTTTTTAAAGGAATTTATTATAAATTTTTTCTGCACTGTTTTTCTTCTTTTAATATATGCCTGTGGATAATCACTAATCCTTATCTATAGAATGAACATGCCCATGAACTATTAATTATCCGTTCAAATAGTTCACAACTCTATTATATAATTATTTGTGCTTCACGTACATTTTTCTACGAATCAAAATAATCTTCTTTAATAATAATTATGTCTTATTCTTATCAAAAACAATATAAAGTTTTCGAAATGAATTTGTGCTTCCTGTTTCTGACATCTTCATTGGAAATTGTCCTGATATTTGTAATTATTTTGCTTTTTTTTCATTATTTATAAATCATACTTATTGTCTTTAATAATCAGGATCGAAAAGATTCAACTTATCTGCTCTATTTTTTAATCACATATTTTATGAATTATGCAAGAAGTATACAGATCAAAAACAGGAATAATATATTTAAATGTAGTAGTCATAGTCAGAAAGATAGATATATACATCTTGAATGCATGCTGATAGAATGAAAGAAACAAGTACAATTTTTTGTCAGGTTTATCACGATACTCAAAGAATGTCTTTGAACAAATTTATTCTCTCACGTGAGAGTATATGGCCTAAAGTAATCTGAATATTAGTCTAGTTTAGCCTTATGAGGCATAATAGTTATTTCAATGACATTGACTTCGAGCGTAATTGCCGCTGATATATATTAAACATATTTTTTTTATAAGAAAAAAGTAGATCATAGTTGCCGATGGTGGGAATTACAAAAAAGTATCTTATTTACTTTCTAGAATAACATTCTGAGATTGGCAGATATTAAAGTAATTAACAAATGTGACTACATCTCGCTAGACATAATTGAGAACACATCTAGTAATATTCTGCCTATGACATATATTTTAAAAAAATACATTTTTTCTTCATACTTGAATCTGATGTTGTACGATTAAAAACTGATAGTCTTTCTAATTTAGATTAATTATTATTCTTGAAAACAAATGGCAAGTTCACTAGCACTTAATACTGGTTTATATGGTTATGGATTGTCTTATACGTTAGGTTTTATTGGACATACATGTAGTCTAATAACATTCTCATCAAAAAATCTTCGTCAAACATCAACTGGATTACTTTTTATTTTTCTTACATTCGCTAATATATTATATCAATTAATAACAATTCGTGATTTTATTACATTATATCTCTTAATACCAACAATACCAAGTGTAGAATTATGTCGTTTTTGTACATTTATTCGTAATTTTTCAACTTTTACATCAGCTTGGCTTCTTGTTCTTATTGCAATTGATCGATTTATTCGTGCACGTTTTCCACTTAAACAAACTCGATTATGTACATGTAAAATAGGTTTTTATTCATTTATTATTGTATGTATATGTTCAACTTTATTTACATGTCATGTTCTTCAATCAGAATTTATTTATTCAGATGTTAAAAGTAATACTTGTGGACCTAGTCGTTCACCGATTACTATTTATTCAAATTTTTATTTTAATATATGGCCTATTCTACAAGTAATAATTACATATTTCATTCCAAGTTGTTTTATGATTATATCTGTAGTTAGTATTTATTCAAAAGTTCGTTCACAACGAAATATAGTTCGAAGAGGAAAAAACGAAAAAATTCAACAACATATGCTTATTTTAATGATTTCAAGTGTTACTTGTTTTGCTGTTTGTACATTGTCATATTCTATACATCGAGTTGTATATTCACGAACGGGAGTTACTTCAGCAACAGTCGATCAAATTGCTATATTAACGGTTTTTTACAATCTTAATTTCTGTCTTACTTTTTATATTCATTGTTTGGCATCGAAACTCTTTCGACAAACATTCATTAAACAAATTTATATGTGTATTAGGAATCAAAACAGACAACAAATCAACAATCATATTCATCCTCTAGTCACAATAACTAGACCAGCTGCGAGACGTACAACTTGGCAGATTTAATTAAAACATTCAATTTTCTACCTGAAAATTAACGATCGATCAGAATCAAATCTTTTTATTTATTTATTGTATTGTTCGTATCCTTCAATCTTTAAATAAAAATCCGAATTAAACTCCTTTGAACATAACAAATAAGATTTGATCTCTTCAAAAGTTCTCCTTACAAAGCAAAAAAAGTAACATTATGATTAGAATACACCAGCTAGGTATAAAATGCCGATAATAATTATAATTATGCCAAATAATGTAGCTAAAATATTCATTGTTCGAGCATCTTTTGAAGCTCTTAATGCACCTTGAGTATCGCCTTGTTCTAATAAACGTCCAGCCTTCCATGAAAAACAGCATGCAATACATCCGAGTCCTACACCACAGAATAGTATACTCAAAATAGACCAGCACATGTACGATTCTATTTCATCGGGATTGTTAATTGTTGATACTAATTGACGTTGAGACGGTTTTTGGTTTAAATCATGTGTGTTTTCGTTAATTGTTAATATTGATTGACGTTGAGGCTGTTCTTGATTTGAATCATGTGTGTTTTTGCTAATTGTGGATACTAATTGACGTTGAGACGGTTCTTGATTTAAATCATGTGTATTCTTGCTACTTGTCAATATTACTTGACTTTGAGATTGTTTTTGGTTTAAATAATGTGCGTTCTTTATCAGTGTAAAAGCAGGTGATCCTGAACTTTGATCATTCATTTGATCACTCATAACTGTAGTTGTTGGACTATAAGTAATAGTAGCACTCATCTTTCGTAAAATAACTAATATAATTTATTGTTCAATTGTTTCTTATTTTGTACTTTTCATATGTCGTACAGAAAGTTTCTAAATAAAAATAAATAGAAATATTTCAAGTTTATCTATTCATATTTTAGAATTTTATGTTGCAAATACTAATAATGATACTATGATAATCACAGAAGTAATTAGTCGTCAAGAATATTTTTTGTATATATACGAATTTCAATACTCAATGGTTCTTTTTGATGAAAGATTCTTCTCTTGTTAAGTACGTATGTTTTTTTACTTACGTATTTGTATCTATTATTTCTTCAGTTATGTATGGCAGTCTTATGTTATATATTGCATTTAAAAAAAAATTTTTTTTTTATATTTCTTTTCGTTCGATATGTGTGTTTACATAATGAATGAGATAATATGTGCACGTCCTGCGTTCGAGTATATATGCCTTTTTATGTTGAAAACAAAATAACGAGATAAGAAATTTGCCACATTAATATGCGCATGATGGATTATCCGTGAATGAAATACTATCGACGATGAAAAATATATTTATTAGAATTGAAACAAAAGTATTTGTACTTCAACCTTTTTTAGTTGAAAGTTTAAGATACATATTCATACGTTTTTGTTTGCTGGAAATATAAAACAATGATTTTTGTATTTTGATTTATAAATCAGAATTTACATATATTTCTTTTCGTATTATGAATTTATTAGCTAACTAGAATAGATTTTCTATTGAAATATTGCTTCTAACTTTATTTTTTGATCAGATTATGTTATGTGAGCCATTTTAAAACACGAAACTTATTTTATATGTATGCATTAAGTAAAAATGCGAGATATCAAGATTTCAAGAGAAATATTTGAATATTTAGTAGCTAGATGAAATGTTTAGATTTAACGCTATGATGACTTTTTATTTAATACATGAGAGCGATTTGATATTTAGACGCACGTATACATTGTCTCAATGGTTTCTTCTCCAAATGAGCATTAAAATTAACGAGATAAAGTTATAACGAACATACAGAAAATCTATACATAATGCATTGCAGATAAAAGAACATCTGTTATAAGAAGTAAAGTAAAAAGTAACTGAGATCACCTATCTGGCATCCTGTGAACCACGGAAAAAGTGACACCAGTCATGTAAAGAGCAGGTTTTCTTCAGTTATTTTTATGTTAATTCAATTCTACTGTCGCACAATAGTGATATAGATTATTGTACTAACGTAATTTAAATTACTTAGTTAGTATAATATTATTCGACAACAATTTTTCATTTGCCATTTATCTCAATCGATAATTATTTTTCCTCATGGTTCTCAACATAACACAAAGGAAATGTGCTACAAACAAATGGACCTTTAAAATAATTGAACATTGATGTTCACATTATTTCAATATATATATATATTTGATGAAGAAGTATAATAAAAACTGATATAAGTATATGAGTAAGCTAGTATGTGCTAAGTAATTCAATTTATCATTATTTCTTCCATCCTATACCACTGTATTGAAACGAATGCGGAGACGCACCCGGAATTTTTACACCCATAGAATATACATTCCAACTATCCTTGCCGTAACCGCCACCAAGCGATTGGAATGAATTGGCACTTGCACCATTCACTTTTATACCCTGGAAATAAACATTCCAACTATCCTTGCCGTAGCCGCCACCAAGTGACTGAAATGAATTGGCACTTGCACCATCAACTTTTCTACCCTGGGAATAAACATTCCAACTATCTTTCCCATAACCGCCACCGAGCGATTGGAATGAATTAGCACTTGCACCATCCACTTTTCTACCCTGAAAATAAACATTCCAGCTATCTTTGACATAGTCAGCATTCATAAAATACGGATTTGATCTTGCTTGAAGAACCAGGTTGTTCAAATCATGGTCATCATCATTTATATCACCTGAATCATCACTCTCTTCACGTTCACCAATAAATGGCTTGTTCTCGACGATTGCTACTAGACACGCACATACCAATAAGATCGAAGCGAATTGCATCTTAACATAGAAATACATCTGGTTTATTCCGTCTGCTAAAATATATCATAAGATATTTTGTTCTTATTCTCATTTTCCTTTCATATTCTTTCGTTCTGTTTGGCACACATGTATATAAGTGTATGCTTTGTATGAAAACGATGTAATTCTCGTTAAGGAGAAACAAATAACAAAGTGCAATACCATCAGCACAAACACTCCTTCCATCAGAAATCTTTATAAGTTATTTCGAAAGGACATAGCTAAAATAAAGCTTTAATCTGGCAGAAATCTCGATAAAAAGCTATTTTGATTTGAGTTGAACGACAAATTTTATTTCTAATATCATTATAAAACGAAATGTAGACCTGTAACTAACCTTAAGCCAAAATCTTTTAGAATACAAGTTCTGTTATTATTCTGTAACTTACCTTGGTAATAATCATCGACAATTGATTGTGACTGTGATGTGAGGAGTTTATATGTAAGTGTACAGACACCTCGTTTTTTTTCTCTTTCTTTTTTTTGTTTTGTATTGACATGACCTACACAAACATCTTATTCATATTTTTCTCTCCGCCTCAATTCCTCGTTATTCGTTTAGTGAAAGAAAAAAATAATGACATCCAGGATTCTTTATTCATCCATACTAGTATGAAGAGCGCCCGTAAGCAAACAAACATTACCATTAACATAAAATCTGATCAATAAGAAAAGACTAAAAGCAGCAATTTACTAAAAGAAAATATTATTCACTGCCGACAGAATTGCTATCAATCAATCAATCAGAGAACCAAAAACGAATATATCGAAAAAAAAGTGTATCTAAATTCGTGCATATATTATTCACAATTCGTGGCGCAAACAGTGTCACTAGACTTTCTATCTACATGAACACTTAAGGATGTAAGTAAAATATTATCTAACATACACATTCGGAGTTTCATTTTTACTCGAATTCAAAATAAATAAGTACTCGAAGCACTATAACAAAACATATAAATGCAGCTCATAAGTGAAACAATACTTCTGCTTTCGTAATAATAACTTTGCCGTCACTTTAAATTCCAGTTATAAACGAAATCAAAACAATTTGTCGCTGTATTTGATGAATGATTATTGCTGAACAAGACACATCTGCGTGGCTCTATAATTATGCTGAAATAGATTAGATGACTACGAAATTAATAAAACAAAAAAAGTTTAAGCTTAATTAATGAGAGTGTGAGATAATATTCTTTTTATTTTCTATGATCCTCGCTTTCTTGAGGACCAATGTGGGCGATTAAAATGAACATTACATTGATATATGATTTATTATAAAGAAACAAAAATAGAAATATGAGATTTAATATATTTATTTAATGAACAGTTAGACATTTTCTTCAGATTCCATTTGTGAATTACGTGGTTCAGTATTATTGTCAGCTTCAATCCGATTATTTGTGTGACAACACCAATATTTCCATCTTTGCCAACATCTTTTTACTAGAACAAGTTTTACTTGACGACGAAAACGTGACGAGAATATTAGGAATATATAAAAGCTGATCTAAATGAAAGCAAAATCTTACAAATATGAATTAGAAAAGAAAATTTATTTACGACAGAATTCATGCTGTTGATAAAAGCAAAAACTGTCTGAATCAGTCGGCCAATTGCATATGCCATAGGCATACTTTGTGATGTAGGAAAATTAATGGAATAGATACGATAAGCATCAAAAGGCGATACCGAACAAACGAAGATAATTACACGCATAAGAACCATTGCTGTTATTTGTTTGTCTAGTTTACGACGAACAATTGGTAGTTGTCGTCGAACTATACGACGAACATTATGATAAGCTAAGATACTAAATGTTGATGCAATCGCAATAGGTAAGAAACCAATTAAAACTGGATAAAAGAAATATGTTGAATATTGAACTGCTACATAATTCGATAGAACACATCCCACTGTTGGTTGAACATCGTAAGAAGAGCCAAGTGCAATGCTATGGACGATCGCAAAACAAATGAATATAAACGCAAAATATCGACCTAATCTCAATGTGCACATTTGTCTCAAATTCAAACGATGATTTGTTGAGAAGAACTGATCAACAGCAGTAAAACATATCATATAAAAAGTTGCGAGGCCACATATTTGTCCCAATATATATCTTAATTTACACCAAATCAAGGAACGCCCTGTTCTGTCATCTCCATATATTGCTGTTAAAATAGTTAAACTAATGGAGAAAAACTGATAAATGACGTTGAAAATTGATTCAATGGTTATATAAAAGGCGCATCGATTAGTTCGAAATAGTTTCAGTTGAGTAAAAACAAGAAGAATCAACACATTACCAACAACTGCAAAACTAAATGTAATACAGCTAGTATAAAACGAGTATTGTGTTGCAAATTTGAGAATTCCATTAGATACTGATGATGATGACATGATACTTTATTTAAGATGAAATATTCTTTATTACTTGTGTTTTTCTTCTTTACCTGGAAGATCTAAAAATTAATATAAAAAAATGTGAATCTATTTTTCAGATTTACAGAGGATCTTAACAGAAACTACTGCTAAGATTGATAAGGGAAGTCTTTAATTACTAGTATAACAATGTTTTCTTTGATACAAAATACGCTGTATGACATATTAATTTTGAATACTTGAATTTCTCATTAGACCTATTCGTAACTCGTATAAAAGAAAAAAGAATGATGTTTTTTCTCTGCACTACCTACACATAAATAATAATAAGAAAATGTATGTTAATTTTTCATGTCAAAAAAATATGTCATTAAAAAAATGTATTTATTGAACGCATGTTCTAATTCATCTGCACAATACATTGTCACAAACCTTTCAAGATGTTAAATTTAATAAGAATATTAAAAAATGAAAAAAGGAATTCCATTTTCTATTTAATTAAATTACAATTAATGACGATGTTAATTATTTTACGTTTTATATCTTTTCGCTATAAAATAAATTGGTCTTTCGTTTATTTTTATACTCATTCTTAAACTTTGATACATGTTAATAGCATTTATAGAAATTATATATATGTGAGTTTTTCTAAAATTAATTAAATTCATCCTTCAGTATCGAATAGTAGGCTACCCATCAAACTGAAACTAGATGTCAATATTTTTCTCATTATTCAATAGAAATTTTCTAAAATTTTGACTAAAAACTTCAAATATAATTATAAGATTCTATAGAAGTCTCATTAAAACTGGAACATGTATCTGATTGAATGATCTTCTTTTCTTATATTTCTTCCCCACATACATACCCTCATGAAATATTTGATTATACTGATCTAATAACATTTAGATTTCTTTCTCTTTTTTTTCTAATTTTATCAGTTCCTTATTTATTTGTTTTGATAATGTTTGGAGTAAGAATTATTATTCAATACAGAAAAGCGATGAGTATATTATTTATGCCTAGCGATTGTCAAATGCGATCTTTATGCAGAATATTATTTTTCTTAAAAAAAAGCAATCATATACCACGCGAAGCTCTGATTCTAATTATAAACGAGACGCTTGTGCGTCGCTCAACTATTATGTTGAAACAGATTAGAAAAATTCAAAATTAATACGACAAATCTGATTATATTCATAAAACTACAGAAAGAGTATTAATCAATTTGAAAACTCAAGTTTTATTAATAAGAATATGAGATAGTATCCTTTCTATTTTCTATGATCCTCACTTTCTTGAGGGTGAATGAAATGAATATTACATTTACATATAGTTTATTAGAAAGAGACAAAATAGAAATATGAGAATTAATACATTTATTTAATGAACATTAGATGTTTTCAACAGATTCTATTTGTGAATTGCGTGGTTCAGTATTACTGTCAGCTTCAATCCGATTATTTATGAAGCAACACCAATATTTCCATCGTTCCCAACATTTTTTTACCAGAACAAGTTTCACTTGACGACGAAAACGTGATGAGGATATTATAAAAATATAAAAGTTGATCTAAAATAAACCAAAATCTTACAAATATGAACTAGAAAAGAAAATTTATTTACAAGAAAATTTATATTGCTGATAGAACTAAAAATTGCTTGAATCAATCGACCAACTGCATATGCCATAGGCACACTTCGTGATGTAGGAAAATTAATGACATAGATACGATAAGCATTATAAGGCAATACCAAACAAACAAAGACTATTACACGCATAAGAACCATTGCTGTTATTTGTTTGTCTAGTTTACGACGAACAATTGGTAATTGTCGTCGAACTATATGACGAACATTACGATAAGCTAACATACTAAATGTTGATGCAATCACAATAGGTAAGAAACCACCTAAAACTGGATAAAAGAAAAATGTCGAGTACTCAACTGCTACATAATTCGTTATGGTACATCCTAGTGTTGGTTGAACATCGTAAGAAGAGCCAAGTGCAATGCTATGGACGATCGCAAAACAAATGAATATAAACGCAAAATATCGACCTAATCTCAATGTGCACATTTGTCTTAAACTGAAATGATGATTTGTTGAAAAGAACTGATCAACAGCAGAAAAACATATCATATAAAAAGTAGTGAACGCGCATATTTGTGCTAATATGTATCTGAATTTACACCAAATCGAAGAACGTCCTGTTGCATCATCTCCATATATTGCTGTTAAAATAGTTAAACTAATAGATAAAAACTGATAAATTAAGTTAGAAATTGATTCAATGGTTATATAAAAGGCGCATCGATTGGTTCGAAATAATTTCAATTGAATAAAAACAAGAAGATTTAACACATTACCAACAACTCCAAAACCAAATGTAATAAAACCACTATAAAACGAAAATTGTGTAGCAAATTTGAGAATTCCGTCAGATACTGATGATGTTGACATGATACTTTATTTAAAATGATACGTTCTTAATTACTTGTGTTTTTCTTCTTTTCGTGAAAAAGATCTAAAATTAAATATAGAAAAAATGTTAATCTATTCTTATCATTTATAGAGAATCTTAACAGGAAATACTGTCACGATTGATAAGGGAGGTCTTTAATTACTAGTATGACAATGTTTTATTTGAGTTTCTCGTTGGAGCTATTCGTAACTTGCATAAAAGAAAAAAGAATGATGTTTTTCTTTGGATTGTCTACACATAAATAATAAAGCGAGAATGTATGATAATCTCCCATGTCATTAAAATATTTAATTGAACAATAATGTACTTATTGAACACGTATTCTAATTCATTTATGCGATACATTGCCAGGAGCCTTTTAAGACATCAGATTTTATTTTGTCCTCAGCAGAGATTACAGTTAATGCAGATGTTGATTATTTTGTGTCCTACAGCTAGTATTTAATATGCTATATTTATATTCTATACTTTCTCGTTATAAAACAAATCAAACCGTACCTTCTCAAAAGAGATACTTTTTAATTAAACAGCATAGTTATTTAAAGCTTCATAACTATTTAAAATATTGATAGTTATTTAAACAAATGTGCACGATTATTAAATTATTTCAGTAGCTGACTCATTTCCTATGGAAATTCTGGTCTGATCATTTACTGCGTGACTGACTCTGAAAAATCTATCAAGCTCTTTTTTCGTGATTATTTATCAAATACTTTAAATTGTTAAGATATTTTTAAATAACTCTAGTTTTGAATAGTTCATAAAATAATATACATTGAAAAGTCAAGTTTTTTTACGAATGAAGCAGATATTTGACTAATAATAATAATAATAAATATTTCATTTTTTTTCACAATCTCTGCTCGAAAATAATCAGCAACTTTAAATAAATAGCTAAGACTTATTTTAACTACCTGCTCATAAATATATATATTGCATGTAAATAAATACATGTGAACTATTTAACTAGTTATGATATGTTTATAAAAGAATGATATATAAAAAAAGTATCTGTTTTAAGAATGACTCAAATATGTGAGACAAGTAATAGTAACATGCTATATTAAATCAGGAAGATATATAGATTTTAGATTTTTTTTCACCATCGGCAACGGTTTAAATAGCTATGCATCAGAAGATAATGAGAAGATTAAATGGATAGTGAAGAAAATAAAGGCATAGGCAATAAATAGCTGAAAAGCTTTTAAATAGTGTAGACGACGCATTAAATAGCGCTGAAGATCAAATAGCTGATGAGGAGAAGATTAAAAACGTTTATAGCTAAACAGAAGTGTAGTACATAGTTTTCTTTGTTATTTTTCAGAGATTGTTTCTATAACAAAAATTGTATAATTTTCGAGAACGAACCAAATTAAAACGACGAGACAATTTTAAATTGGTCATTCATTTATTTCCATTCTTATTCTCAATCTTTCAATATATTTTAATAGCATTCATGGAAACTATATGCGAGTTTTCTAACATTAATTTAATTCATTCTTCACTGTCGAGTAGTATCACATCTATAAAATTGAAATTAGATGTTGCCATTTGTCTTACTATGCTCAATAAAAAATTTCTAGAATTTCAACTAAAAGCTTTAAATGTAACTATAAGATTCTATAGAAGTCTCATTGGAACTGAAACATTCATCTGATTGAATGATCTTCTTTTCTTGTATTTCTTTTGATGGTTGATGATGGTGAGGTGTACATGAGCGTTGAATGATCCATTCCACTAATACGTACATCCCACACTCTCACCCAAATACATACCATCAACTTTAACTATAATTTTTAAAGTAATCAAAGTGCTATATATAGATATGAAGGTGGATGAGTGTGAATGGAAATGTAATTGAGAGTAAGGGTGTCTCCAAGAAAAGCTTTGATAAACATTTTATCGTATTTAACAATTCAACAAATAAAACAAGAGACTATTCTAATAAATGAACAAATGTTTTGGTCATTATTATCAATTTTTAGATAATCAAAGTTTATTTTTAAAATGTGTTCATAGGACAGATTTTGATTTTCATCAACAACTTTATCAATCATTTCTTAAATTAGGATGTGGATGTGTGTAGTATTATTGTCCATCAACATCCACACCCACACCGTCAAAATGATTTATGTAATTTACTATATTTCTGCTAAACATCAGAATATTTTTCTTCTTATATAGTTGGATAGAGTATTGATTACTCTATTGAGATACATAGTTCTCACTTGATTTGTTTCTGATCTTGATGGAGAACCAACCGAAGTTTTAAAAGTCATCGAAAAATATTTTTTCACAGATTTCCGTTACTTTTCACAGATCGTTATAATTCGCTACAGATATCATTTTGAGATTTTTACATACATGTTGCATCACACGAATAGCCTTAAAAGATGTTTTTCATTAGCATAACAGAAAGTGCTAATTAACTCTCAAAACTGAAAAAGTAAAATTAAGCGTTCTCTTTGAATATAGGACGATTTCATTCACTACTTGGTGCAAACATGTCTCCGATAGATCTGTTCAATACAGGATCACTTTCGCGACAATCAGATATTATTGAAGGGAAATATTCTAAACATCACTGTGCAAAAATATTTTTTAAAGACTTTTAGAACTTCGCTAAATTTTCCAACAAGATAATGATCAATTCAAATAAAACATATGCAGTTCGATGAAGTAGTCAATGTTCTATACAACTATATAAAAAGAAAAAAAATACAGTAAACTACACAAAACTATTAAAACTAACGTAATTCTATTGTATGGGTAAATCATATTTTAAAATTGAAAGAAAAAGCACAAGATATATTATGAAAAGATTGTTTAATGTTGAGAAAAAATGTTTGTGTTTAGTTGAATCCATACGTGGCAAGACATGACTGTAATTTGATATCGAATCGGTTTCGATATGTTGTCTCACATGAATAAAGATTGTTGGAGGAAATTTTTGTTAAAAACTCAGTGAGAAACGTATCCGCATTAGCTTCTTTACATACTGTGTAATTTGATAATCCTTGTGTATTCGGTCGTGTCTTTTGAAAATCAGTTAAGCCTTGCCCAAAGAATTGGTCCGAATCAGCTGATATAATGTATAGTGATTCAACATTTTCGAATGTTGTACAAAAACCGTTTGTGTTATTGTTCTGCATCTGGACCATCAGCTGAGCTGCACTATTATCCCACCTAGATATACAAAAACAGTTAACAACGTATTTGATCATGGAAAAATATCCCGTCGAACTCACCAAGAAATAGCCGATTCAGCTTGATTGGTACAGTTCGCTAAGGATGTTATTAATTTATATATGAATGGTAATAATGTAATGTTTAACGCTTTTAACTTCATGTCGACTTGGCTTATATTGGCAGGTAGTTGGTGTTGTGTGCTTGATGGTATCGCAACATAATTTTTGATTCCACTATCATCAACACGTTGTACAGCAAGTAAATCTCAATTAGAAATAATGCACACATAAACATAAAGAAAGAACATTTTTAGAGGTTCGGAAGTTTAGTAAAAAATGAATTCTAAAAAATATTTGTAGGAAAGGAGGGGGGGCGAGAAGCGGTGACTGAGTCTTATCTAGCTTCCCTTTGATTACGCTTTTCAGATTCAATAAGTATTTAAAACATTACTATTTTTGAGCTGACATTCATCAATTTGTTCTTTACTTCTATGGAATATTGAATCTAATCAGGAGTAGAATGAACATTTTTTTTTACCTAAGAAGACGTTATAACTAGTGCCAGGTGGTTTTTTCAAATAAGGATAGATTCCTAACTTTGGATTTGGTATAAGTGTGGGATAATCAGATATTGATTTGAACTGGCCACCTACAAAAACAAAGACATTAGAATAAATTAAATCCAAGTTCATTTAAACTACTAACCAGATACATAAAGTGTTCCTATTTTTGATACAATTGAGCGATCTCGAGTGATAGCTGCAGCAATATTTGTGAAGGGACCGAGAACCAAAATATCTACTGGTCGCCGTGAATATTTCAATGTATAGATAATCAACTCAACTGCATCAAATAGAGATGGTTGCAAGAAAATGTTGGTCGACTGATTGAGACAAGAGGATGACGTCAGATAGCTATCAATGTTCGTAAGAACTGAGTTTGCTACAGTCCAGCCAGTTGATAATGATGATACACTTTAAGATAAAGAAATTAAAATTAAAATGATTAATATTGTGGATAATGACAACCTGAGTCCACTAGCGACTGAAATACCATCTGTACAGCCAACTAATCCCAAAAGACTGAGGACATTGCTCGACGAATACAATGGTGCACTGATAAAATAGAGACTTGTTTAAACATAGATATGACTTAAACTTACCTAAATCCATCTCCAACAGTTGTAATAGCGAGAATATCAACCGTTGGAACCTTTAATTACAACAACAACAACAATAATAATAATAATAAGTGAAACAAAAATATCTTACATTAATCAAATAAAGAATGGCCCATAAATCATCAATATCAACGTCAGTATCGATGATTACTGGTTGTCTACTAATATCCTGCCCAATGCAGTTTTGAACTAACTGCAAATTTTTAGTACTCACTGAAAAATAGAAGAAGAAAAATATAAAAAAATATTTTTATTCAGTTCTTTCAAAATTCGTCAAAGAATTATTTTGTGGTGAAATCTATGCTGTCTTTAGTTATCATCTATTTCCGTCACTATTGTCGAGAGAACTAATTATTTCATCATTCTCTAAAGTCTATACCTGTAGTAGTTGTAACTTGGGATGTCGTTCCACTATTGACTTGATTCGTTGTCACCGTCTTAGAAGAACCTGAAAAACAGAAGAAGAATAAAATCTTTAAAGCGTTGCGAAAACTATAGTGGGCGAAGGATGGTGTGAACTACTAAATCATTTACAACTTTTATACATTCTATACATGATACGTGTTTCTTATGGATAAATATATTTTAGATATATATTTATGTAATTACTATAAATTTTTAAAAACGATTTTCATGACTTGCTAGGGACTACTAGGTATTAACAGAGTTTAATGTAGACTGACAGAGACAATAGGAACTACCATGATCAATAGCTTCACTCTCACTCATATCGAGATAATGCGCCCTTTGAGAGTATTACAAATTTACCCACACCCTCAATATAGTTTTTCTACTTACCCGATGAAGAACTTCTGGTGAGACCAACTGGAACCGCAATAGCAATCACGAGTAACACACCAATTGCCAAACCAATACCAAGCCCAATTAGGCAAGGTTTTGAACAGCGCCCATCAAATCTACTCAAAATAATAAAACAAAACGGAGAAGTCTTGCAAAAATTGGAAGGTAATCACTTCTAATTTCAGTGTACTTCATGCATCAAGGAAAAACGTCCTTCCAGAAAATCATAGCTCTCACTAGTGTATATGAGCCATAAAAATGAGACTGTCTATTAGTTTTTTGTGGAGAAAATGAAACTGTGTAACTAAAAGTCGATATTTCACACAGAGTACATCAACTTAATTAATTGTTGGGCTTTTGCATCGCTACCGTCCAACGCCGAGATTTTTTGCACTGCAAGCCGAACAGTCTTTTTCTCGTGGTTCTTTTCTAATCATAAAGCAAGAGACTTAACTGAGATAAGTTAACCTCATCTATGCTTTTCTCAAAGATCAAATGCTGCCTCTCTTCTATGTTCCTTTGACGCTTCATCGGCAGAGATTTGTATTGTAGAACATGCTACCCTACGTGAAATCAACATGCTATTCTCTACAGTGAATGTATAGTTTAGTTCGAAAAATTATTCAGCAGGTTGTAAAAAAAATAAAAACACTTACGGCTTAGAAGTTTGATGCTTATTACCATTTTGTGCTTCCTGATGTTGGTATTCTTGATTGTGAGGTCTTGATTCAGATGATGGATTTATGTACCCTACTGTTCGTGTATTATTCGGATTATTTAAATTCATGACGATGCGAACGTCATCTGGAGTAGTTTCGGACACTGATGTCATTGTAGTTCAATACTGAAAAGTACTTTATCAATGCTTATTTATACAGCGATTTTTGTTGTTATACGGTGAGAATGAAAACTATTATGTTTTGAAGTCTGTATCAATCATTCTAAAAGTATTTAGTTCTTACTTAATTCATTAAATATTTTATGTTTCTTGGGCATTATTTGTAGATACAACTGAACCAACATGATAGTTTTTTCTTGTCTATTTCTTAAGAATTCTCTTTTTCAAGCTGATCTCTCTGCTAATCGTTAGTCCTATGTTTATACCAATAGCCATATGAAGTTTTGTGGTTATATCTCACACGGAAAAACTTGAGGTGAAGGTTTCATGCCGTTATAAGTGACTATTAGTCTTGTATGAACCGTCCTCTGCTTTTTAGAGTTTATAATTCAAATTCAAACAGGTGACTTTATTCGTGAGTGCTAGTGATCATTCGTATTCTTGTTCTTTCTGTGTCCGAGTTCTTATCATTTTATCGATCGAAACCCTTCTGCTATCTATCGTAGATTTTATTCACAAATGACAACATTTCTGACAACAATGAATCGAACTCTAGTTGTGTACAAGAAAGGAATATCTACATTTTTGACTATGTCTGACTACATAATATATGTCGCATTTATGTATATACTCGACGAAATCTATTGGAATAGTAAGATAAATGAATTTTTTAAGTATAAATTCGTCATTGTAGTATTATAAAAACCTTTCTGAGAAAATCTCTTCTAAACTACATATGCTTTCATCTTTCTTTGCGTTAATATCAACACATTCACGTTTAGGGAGATTATGATGAAGATCGTCACCACAAACATGAAAATCTTGAATCAAATAGAAACAACTCGCACTTCTCTCATTTTGTTTCATCATATGTTTATCAATAATATTATTATATCTATGATAAAAGAATCGAAAATAAAGCTGTAGTAAACTCTTCAATTAACCATTTAAGAATATGAAATATCTTTGCTGATCTACATCGTTCATAGGTAAATAATTTCTTTGTCTAGCTATAAGACTGATAAGAAAAAATATTTACAACCGTATTTTTCACCAGTAGAATAAGCTCTAATATTTAAAAATATTATTTATACTTTTTAAACCATAACCAAATAGTATAATTTCACTTACTGTTAAATAATACCTAACGGTACTTGTAGTTGAAAAAGAATGAATGAATAAAACATCGATAAGCACACTTTTTTTTATATCTCCTTTATCGAAGTGATCATCGATGCGTCACTCGTCATTGTTTTATCTCAACAAAAAAACGGCAATCAGTCCGAGAACGAAGCTTTTAGAGGACAATAGTTTTCGATTGTTTGCATCACGAATCGAAAAAAGCATATAAAATTACAAAAAATGTACCCATCAGCGCACGTTTTATCTTTCCTTCCTTGCGTTCATCATTAATGCATACACTCCTCATTCGGTTGAACGAAAAAATCAGCACGTAGTCAAGTAGAAGAAACGTCACGTAAAGCTACTATTGGTCGTTTATTTAAAGTATATTATTCGTGATAATATATATTGAGTGTGACATAGAGAATGATACTAATAGTATTTTGCTAATATCTCTGCCAATTTTCATCGCAGAGATTTCAGCTTAACTTTAAAAGATTTCTTACTCAATTTTCTACAAAAAACGTGAGAAAAAAGTATATAAAATCTATAATCGTTAAATCAAGGGTAATCAATAATATTATGCCCGACAAATGATCACTTTCTAACACATGATTTTAGGAAATTAATTATTTCACTACTACTGTATAACTCATGGAGAGAAAAAAATCTATGAAAACTATGATTCAAATCGATTTTCTTGTAAACATCAGAAAAAATGGATTAAATTTGATCAAATTTTTGGTTTTAATTTGTTTATTGAGTTTTAATCAGTTAAAATCCGTTAATTCACTCAAAATAATATATTATAATTGATTTTCCAATGAGAATCCATGATAGTCGATTAAACAGAATTGAATAGTACATTTTCATCAATTTTTCAAATATACATCGGTTTTAATCGATTAAATCGTTCAAACTAATATTTCATAATCGATTTTGCTAATGAAAATCTATTTTAATCGATTATTTCTCAAAAAAGAACAGATTTTAATAGATTCTTTAAAATATTAAGCGATTCTAAGAAAAAATATCACAGTTCGAATGCTTTCTTTTTTATCATAATTTAGTTGGTTTAAAGGATTCATGTCATTATATAAAATTTTATTTCGAAATTTTGATAAAAATAAAAGAATAGTAAAAAAATTGTGTTGTTGACGAAACATAACATGTTCTCTTTCTTCCTATCAGTTTCATTACTTTAGTGTGCAATTTGTGCTTGTTGTGTTAGTATATAAGAATAAAAAAATGAAATAAAAAGCATACTTACCTGCCACGGATGCATTCATGATCAGAGTGGTGAATGCTCCAGGTTGAGGCGTGAGCATTGCACATCGCTCTCGTTAACGTCTGTGAGTAAGTCCACATAGGGCTTACTCAAGTGGAGAATTTATTTCGCGGTCATTTGCGTTCGCGCATTGGCCATTGATAATAAAATCAAAATGAAAACTTTTACAAAAAAATGACGACTATTTTCATGATAATTGAAATATATATGTTGAGGGTGTGAATGTCAAGTCAATATAATATTCATACTCACATCCTTCATATCCATTTTTGTGTACTGCTGATGCTAATTATATATGTTAATTAACCATCTTCGGTGTGAGTCATGGTATGGATACTGTATTAATCTAGCACCCACACCCTTTTTTGTTCTGTTATAGTTTTCTTCCTAAAAATCTTTATTCACTACGTTTTGGTATTCTTCATAGCACTAATTTTAAGGATTTATATGCAAGAGAGAAAACTTTCTTCTAAGTTTTTAAAGGGAAACGTATAGTTTTTTCGAAAGAGAGGTATTTGAAGATTTCACTAAAGTCAATTGTTTCTGGTGCAGGAAAATGTTTGCATTATAGTTTTCAAGAAGAATTAGCCGTTTTTTTGCAAAGAGCAATCTTTTTATGATCTGTAGATTATTTCTCTTTAATATTAAGATTTTCTCCCTGATTTTAAAAGACTTCTTCTCTGATTCCACCTCCTCCCTAATAAAACTAAACTAAAGCCAAAGACAAATGATATTGGTTAAATATTATAACGAATGACAATGAAATATTTGATTATATTGATCTAATAACATTTAGATTTCTTTCTGTTTTTTTTCTAATTTTATCAGTTCTTTATTTATTTGTTTGATAATGTTTGGAGTATGAATTATTAATCAATACAGAAAAGCGACGAATATATTGTTTATGCCTAACGAATGTCAAGTGCGACCTCTATGCAGAATATTATTTTTCTTAAAACAAGAGCAATCGTATATACCACGCGAAGCTCTGATTCTAATTATAAACGAGACACTTGTGCGTTGCTCAACTATTATGTTGAAACAGATTAGAAAAATACAATGTTAATAGGACAAATCTGATTATATTCCTAAAACTACAAAAGAGTATAAATCAATCAAAAAAAACTGAAGTTTTATTAATGAAAATGTGAGGTAGTATTCTTTTTATTTTCTATGATCCTCATTTTCTTGAGGGTGAATGTCGGCGACTGAAATGAGTTTTACATTTATATATGATTTATTATAAAGAGAAAGATTAAATTAGAGATATGAAAATTAATATATTTATTTAAGGAGTAATTAAATATTTTCCTCAGATTCCATTTGTGAATTACGTGCTTCAATATTGTTGTCAGGCTCAATTTGATTATTTATGTGACAACACCAATATTTCCATCGATGCCAACATTTTTTTACTAACACAAATTTCACTTGACGACGAAAACGTGATGAGAATATTATAAAAATATAAAAGCTGATCTAAAATAAATCGAAATCTTGTAAATATAAATTATCAAAGGAGATATATTTACAATATTATTTATAATGCTAATAGAAGCAAAAATTGCTTGAATCAATCTACCAACTGCATATGCCATAGGCATACTTTGTGATGTAGGAAAATTAATGGTATAGATACGATAAGCATTAAAAGGTGATGCAGAACAAACAAAAGCAATTACACGCATAAGAACCATTGCTGTTATTTGTTTGTCTAATTTACGACGAACAATTGGAAGTTGTCGTCGAACTATATGACGAACATTATGATAAGCTAATATACTAAATAATGATGCTATGACAATAGGTAAGAAACCAATTAAAACTGGATAAAAGAAGAATGTCGAGTACTCAACTGCTACATAATTCGATATGGTACATCCTAGTGTTGGTTGAATGCCATAAGAAGAGCCAAGTGCAATGCTATGAATGATTGCAAAACAAATGAATACAAAAGTAAAATATCGGCCTAATTTCAATGTGCACATTTGTCGTAAATGGTAACGATGATTTGTTGAGAAGAACTGATCAACAGCAGAAAAACATATCATGTAAAAAGTAGTGAGGCCACATATTTGTGCCAATATGTATCTGAATTTACACCAAATCGAAGAACGTCCTGTTGCATCATCTCCATATATTGATGTTAACGTGATTAAACTAATAGATAAAAACTGATAAACTAAATTGGAAATTGATTCAACAGTTATATAGAAGGCACATCGATTGGTTCGAAATAGTTTCAGTTGAGTAAAAACGAAAATATTCAAAACAGTACCAATAATTCCAAAACTAAGCATAATACAACCAGTATGAAGTGAATATTGTGTAGCAAATTTGAGAATTCCATCAGATACTGATGATGATGATGATGACATGGTACTTTATTTGAAATGAAATATTCTTTATTACTTGTGTTTTTCTTTTTTTCTGGATAATCTAAAATTGAATATAAAAAAATGTTAATCTATTCTTACCATTCATAGAGGATCTTAGCAGAAACTACTGTCACAATTGATATTAAAAATCGTTAATTACTAGTATGACAATATTTCTTTTTTAATACAAAATATATCGTATGACATATTCATTTTGAATATAGGATATAAAATTAAAATTTAACGAAAGAATACTTGAATTTCTCATTGGAACTATCCGTAGCTTGTATCAAAGAAAAAAGAACGATGTTTTTTGTCTGAACAACCTACGTAAATAATAAAAAGAGAAAAATGCATGTTAATCTTTCAGGTCAAAAAAATATGTCGTTGAAATATTTAATTAACTCTTTGAAGATGGATAACACTTATATGCGTCGTCGTTTCTGAATTTATTGAAATCACAAGATAAGAGCTATCTATTTATTATTCTGTTTCATATTGCTATAAACTTCCAGAATGTATTATATACATACTTGTGATACATCTCAAACAGGAAATGAAGTTAATTAAAAATTAATCGTCAATTATTTTTAAGAACTTCTTTTTTTATAATTATTTATCAACAAAAAAACAAGCACGTCGACAAAGTATTAAACAATAATGCACTTATAGAACACGTGCTCTAATTCATCTGCGCAATACATTGCCAGCAGTCTTTCAAGATATTAAATTTCATTTTCTCCTCAATGAAGATTACAGTTGATGAAGATGTTGATTATTTTATGTCCTGCAGTTAATATTAAATATGATATATTAATATTCTATAACTTCTTGCTATAAAATAAAACAAGCAATGAGACAATTTTAAATTGGTCATTCATTTATTTCCATTCTTATTCTCAAACTTTTGATATGTTTTAATAGCATTCACGGAAACTATATGCGAGTTTTCTAACATTAATCTAATTCATTCTTCACCGCCGATTAGTACTCTACCTATAAAACTGAAATTCGATGTAGACATCTTCGTCACTGCTCAATAAAAGTTTTCTAGAATTTCAACTAAAAGCTTTAAAGATTATTATAAGATTTTAAAAAAGTCTCACTGGAACTAGAACATACATATGAGTGAATGATCGTTTTTTCTTGTATTTCTTCCGATATGCATTCCTTGAATAATAATAGTTCAAAATAAATACTTTTCATGTCTGTAAACTACTTATACATCGTCAGAAATATTTCTCTAATACTCGACTAAGGAGAAATCTTATGATAAAACATCCACGTGAACACTTTATCATCTCTTTTTTAGTTGACAGTTTGTTTTTGTCTAAATGAAAATCATTCTATTCTAGTTAAGTTACATCATTTGCACAATATATTTTTGTTAAATATTATTACATAGACATAAAAGAATGAGATATCTGAACAAACAAAATATCGGAAAAAAAATGAATTTGCTGTCTAATTAACAATCTTTGCAACATTCGAAACAAGCAATCTCTTCGATGGCACAACAAAAGCATAAGCACGCCAAACTAAAGAAGAAAATAATAGCAGTCATAATCGATCAAATTAAATTTTAAAACTTACCAATCGAAACAAGCACCACCACCTCGTAATTTTTTAGGAAAGTTATTTCGTGATGGTAGTTGTTGTTCAACTTTTGACGTGTCGTTTTTCACCGCTTCTATTTCTACTTAAATAAATAAAAATAAGTCGATATAAAATATTTCAATTCTTCGTTTAAACAAGATTAGAATTTCATTGATGATAATTTTATTAAAAAACTAAAAGAATGTATAACTTACTCATTTGATCTTGTTCACCATTAAATAAATTTCTGAGAATAAATTTCGAGATATGATTAGAATATTTTATTTATTTTTGAAACTTACGAAGAAGATGGTTGTTGTTGTATTGTGGTATTCATAGTTTAAATCGATCAATCTAACGAAATATGTATTGTTATTCTTGTGCGACCTATTTATGGATGAATGACGTGGATGTATTCTCTTTCTTTTCTTGACCGTTTTGCTTCAATGATTCGTCTATATAGAGTATAATTCACTTTATATATATATAGAAAGGTCACGAAAATAAAAGTGCCTTCGTCATTCTCTATCTTCTATATTTTTGGTAGATGATGAAGCTTGCTCGTCACAAGCGATTATTACGGGTGTGGTCTCTGAAGAAGATAAAACTCACTCACACCTACCCTCAACATTTCTCCTATATGTGCCGAGAATTTTGTATAAATGATAATTCGCATAGTAAGAATTATGTGAAAGAAAAAACATTGATAAATACGCAACAGCAGTTTTGTAAAACATGAAAATGCGCTTTTAAAAAGCGTTAAAACAAGGCGAAGATAAACGTCTAAATGGCTTCTTCAGTCTGCGTGATAAAAATAGCTGAAAGCCGTGACATAATGATTTTCCTTGGTATCTGACCTGTTTATAAATCTACGAATATAAGTACTTTCATACCCAACAGACAATGCAAGATTCGAGGTATATTCTAATAAATAGATTAAATAATCTACCGAAGATACGTTTTAACGCACGAAAAAAGATGTGAAAAGTAAACGGAAAATGAGTGTATTATCATCTTGAATATTATTCGTGTCTAACTGATCAACCTATTAATACGAATAAAACAGAGGCTTTATTTAGCGCACGCGCGATTGGTTTTCCTAAGTTTAATCTTCATTTTAATTATGGTTCTAAAGAAAAAATTAACTGGGTCCCAGAGTATAAATACCTTGGTTATGTAATTTCATCTAAACTAGGTTGGGGTAAATTTCTTAAACATATGATGACTAAGATTAGGCATAGGATCTCCTTGATTAAATCTTTCAAACTTTTTGGTTGTTCTTCTCCTTCTCTTCGTAAAACACTTTTCTTATCCTTTGTTTTACCCATTTTCACATGGATATATCCAATTTACCCCTTTCTTTCAGTGAAGCAACAGGGTGATTTGTCACACTTTTATTATGCTTCTTTAAGACGTGTTCTGTACTGCTTGTGCTGGAATGAAAACTTTTTTGCTTTTGCTCTTGATGAGAAGTCATTGGAAGATCGCTGTGCCTCCTACTGGGAGAAGTATTTAATTAGTCTTGCTGACTCGACTGATGGAATATTGTTATTTGAAAAAGCCAATCTGAACGTATCTAGGCAATGTTGGATTGAAGGGCATTTTTCAGTAAAATGTCTGAGAAGATCCAAAAGATTCGTGTCTAATCAATCAGCGGTAGAAATAGTAGTTAACTGGTTAAGTTCTATTCCCTCTCGTTCTTCTGTTCCTTATTACGAGATGGAAGAAATTCAACTCCTTGAGGATTTTCCTGAATCTTTTCTTTTCTGAAGGTAACTATCATTCTTACTCTCTTATTTATACATGCTTTCTATTTTCCCGTTGTACTCATATGCGCTTCTTTTTTTTGGTCTCTTTCATCTGTACTTTCGTTACTTCACTATTTCGATTTTTTTTTCCTGTTATTCGTGTTATTTTTCTTCATATTTTCTTGTGATATTTTCTCTTCTCATATGTACTGTTAGGATCTTAGGATCACAGTTTATCGCATAATAAAAAAAAAAAAAAAAAATGAGTGTATTTCGCCCATGATCGCAGCTCCCGACGACGAGTCAAAAACGGCAAGTTTCATCTTTTCTACACGTTTACATGCTTTTTTAGAAGATTTTGTCTGATTGAATAACAAAGTTTCTTTTGTTGCGTACAAGAACAAAGAATGATAAAAATAATTGAGATAAAGAAGGGCGGGTAACACATCATTCCGAATATGTCTTATGATATTTAATTTCTACTCAATTGCAATCAAATACAAAACACAATAAAACGTCTATTTATTGATGATTATTTGTGTATTGAAGATAGGAAGAACACACCGATAACTTCTACTATGTTTTAATCGTATCTGGATGTTTTTCATTTTCGTCTACAAAAAACGATAAATATGTATATTTTATACCCGATAACTTTCTAGAATTAATTTACCTAATTTATGTGAAACAAGTCTGAATATGTGATTACCATTTGTATTAAATGATGAAGATGATCGTCGTTTACTTAAAAGACAATAAATCGAATATATAATAACACCGACTAGATTGAATAAAGCATAGATTAGGAAAAGATATCGTTTCTTCATTCGTGTATATATAAATAAAGAGATGAGTAATCCAACACCACGGCCTATAATGATAATACAATACAAAATAGTTAAGCAACAAATATATCATATGATATTTTACCTAAACCAAACGATGTTCCGTACACTATACCTTGAAGTGTTCCGGATAGACCAGGTGGAGCTAAAAATAGAATTTATTATATGATTGAAAATAGAAAAAGAAAAACGAAATACCAATCTCAAGTGCTTGTTGAGCAATAAGTACATAAAGAATACCAAAATTAAAAAAATGCATTGTTTCCAAAGGTAAAAGAAGATATGGTCGACGGATGAAATAGTAACCAGTGAAGCGAATTATAAAAGCAATAAAGATTAATATTGATGATATTTTTGTACCGAGACATTTTATTAGTTTATGAGCAACAAATAAAGCTATAACTTCAACTGTTGATGTAATCAGTGACATATAACCAACAATTGAATGAGATACGCATGGACTAATTTCGTCGATATATAACAGCAAATACTAAAATATAGACAATAAGAAAAATTTAATATGTGTTTTAACCGTGCTATCTTATATTAAATATTTACCGGATCCATACCACCATAGGATGTTCCCCAGAGAAATGTAGTTGCCAAGAATACCATAACATCGAAATTTTTTAACAATGGTAGAATTGCACATATCTTGAATGGAGAATTTTTGGTTTTTGGTTTTTCTTCATTTTCATTAATTGATGTTTCATTTAATTCTTCTATGACAGATAAATCATCTTGATTTGATTTCTCCGCGTTATGTTTATCAGATCGAATGCGAACAAAACTTGTAATGATAACAGTAAGAATACTACTAGCAACGAACATAAAAATGTATACATAGTCGGATTTAAAATGTGCGTAAATACGACTAGCAATAAAAGCACACAGACCAAAACCCATTGTACCATAAACTCGTTGTCGACCAAATAGATTGGAACGATGTAAAGCAGCAAAACCAATTGAAGTGCCAATTGTTGTAGCATTCGCACATAGATTAAGACCAATTACGATTAAAAATGCATACAAAAGTACATATATTGTTTTGTCGAGGAAAACGTGAACCATGACAGAGATGATCGGTTGAACATTTGACATCACATTTAGCCAATTTAGTACTTTTGCTCGATGATAATACATGTTTATTGTCAAATGAATCTTAGAACAAGAAAAAAATCCGTATGAAATAAAAAATATCCCTAAATCTTACCTAGAACTTTATCTTTTGTATATTTTTCAATTGGTACACGATAATTGATTTCACATATCGAATGTTCATCATTACCTGTAGAAGATACATTGTTATGTTTATGTTTAGCATATGTTGAATTCATCGTAAAATTAAAATTAAATGATTTATCTGATAAATTCATATCAGTATTGCTTTTTCTCATTGTTAACGACGTACAATTAGCTTGATAAGTACATCCACATTGACTTCTTAATGCACATTTAGTAGCAAATTGTTTATTAGCACAAAAATTTAATGAATATTCCATTGTATCGGTTTGATATAATCCACCATGAATATTATATGCTTTGATAGATGGTAAGAAAAACATAATAATAAAGAGAATAGTTCCCAAACAGAGTGCTATATTAAAGATAAGACGAAAACGACGTGTATGATCAGCAAGAAAACCTACAAGTGGATTGGTAAAGAAGACTGAAAATGGAATAGCTAAATTAATATACGAAATTTCTACATCAGAAAGACCACGACTACGAAGAATGATATTCATTATTGGACCGAATGCGGCAAAACTTGCATAGGAAAAAAAGTAATGAGCTTTAAGAATAAGATAATAACGATGAATGAATGATGATGATGATTTGGACATAATAATTGATGATGTGAAAATCTGAAATATAGGATGAATGCATTCAAAAGTAAAATAAAGAGAACACAAAAACTTATTGTATACATTCTAGCCAGTAGACTAAGAGAAGAACAATTTAAACAATTATAATTACTTATATCATCTGACGATAATTCGAACACACCCACGGTAGCACAATCCGGCTACTGTCAGATTATTCATAATAATTATATCCACATAATACGACAGATTTTTCTATCTATAATCACAATGTCGTAACGGTAAACTTATTTTCTAGATACAAGAGACATCAGTATTGCTCTAATCGTTGATATACCGCAGTATAATTGCATTTTGATAAGGCTACGCACTCAATATGGTTTATAATCAAAATAAAGACTCGATTATAGAGTATATTTTTCTATTCTTGTGCTCTCGTTGAAATAATCACAAAAATATCAGAATAGAACAAAATATGCACTTTCTTGGTTACTCGTTTGGAGTGCTACTCAGTACTTTTGTCTTTCCTGTTGTTTTTCAATATTAATAGAAAATATATATTATATATTTATTATGTGTAATTCTTTCTTCTGTTTTGCTAATGAATGTAACACTCGAACATACTCACATAATAATAATTGCGATAACATGATTCAAGTCCGAATTAATATAATTATAACAAGAACTAATCTATATTGATAAATATATCAAAGAAAGGAACTGAAAAAAACCATATGAAAATAAAAGGATATTGAGAGGATAAAAACACGATATAGAAAAAAAAAGAAAAAAGGAACAGGAATGAATGATAATAACATGTTAGGTGTCACGTGTAAAGCACACGTGAGTATAGATATTACTTATACTACAAATCGCATTCACACTATCGATATATGTTGTAAATAAATGATTAAATATTTTAAAACAACGTTTAAATTGATTGTACGCGTCATTAGACTGTTACTATCTTTCTGGTATAAAAGAAGACTAATATAATAGATATTATCATTGATAAAAATCAGATGTGGACTGAAATCTATTGATGTTCTTGTTCAATACACATAAAATCCTTGTCCTATTCATTTCCTTTTTCAAATCAAACAAAAAATTAAAATAGTATCTTTGACAGATTATATACAGTATCGCTATTTATTCTATATTTACAGACAAGTCCTGTGTAATTTGATATGTATGTAAACGTTAATCACTTTATAGTTTTAGAATTAGTACAATTTATGATGATTACGATCAAATATGTAATGTGTTGATCAATTAGACGTATACGAGTGAGAAAAAGAAAGAAACAGTGCTATATTATAGAGAAAAGGGTGTGGATGAGTTTTATCTTCTTCAGAGACTACACTCACACCCTAGTTTGACACTAGTGGCTTTGACATGTACACAAATGTTATGCTTCTTGAGCAATTACCCAAAACGACATTAGCCAATGATTATATTCGCCTTTAAGATGCATCAAGATTTATTAACAATATTCATCTACAGCCCGATAGACAAAATTTGTCTGGTGTTTTATTAGTCAGCAATAGTCAGAGCTCGTTGCTAAAATTGGTAGCGTAAGCTTCATTCTATTAAACATTGTCGAATGTGTTCTTGAATATATAAATACAAAAAATAAAAAAAGTCAAATTTCATTAATGAGCATGTGAGATAATATTATTATTATTTTCTGTGATTCTTATCTTCCTGAGGGTGAATGTGGGCGAATAAAATGAATATTACATTTATATATGATTTATTACAAAAAGAAAAATCAGAAATACGAGAATTAATATATTTATTTAATGAACAGTTAGACATTTTCTTCAGACTCCATTTGTGAATTACGTGTTTCACTGTTGACAGGTTCAATTTGATTATTTATGCGACAACACCAATATTTCCATCGTTCCCAACATTTTTTTACTAGAACAAGTTTTACTTGACGACGAAAACGTGATGAGAACAATATGAAAATATAAAAGTTGATCTAAAACAAATCAATATCTTACATACATGAATCAGAAAATAATTTTACCGTATAGTTTGTAATGAAAATAGAGAGAAGAATTGCTTGAATCAATCTAATAATTGCATATGCCATAGGCATACTTCGTGATGTAGGAAAATTAATGGAATAGATACGATAAGCATTATACGGTGATGACAAACAAACAAAGGCAATTACACGCATCAGAACCATTGCTGTTATTTGTTTGTCTAGTTTACGACGAACAATAGGTAACTGTCGTCGAACTATATGACGAACATTATGGTAAGCTAAGATACTAAATAATGACGCAATTACAACAGGTAGAAAGCCACTTAAAATTGAATAAAAGAAAAATGAGGAGTACTGAACCGCTACATAATTCGATATGACACATCCCACTGTTGGCTGAATATCATAAGAAGAGCCAAGTGCAATGCTATGAGTGATTGCAAAACAAATAAATGCAAACGCAAAATATCGGCCTAGTTTCAATGTACACATTTGTCTTAAATTGAAATGATGATTTGTTGAAAAGAACTGATCAACAGCAGAAAAAGATATCATGTAAAAAGTGGTGAGCGTACATGTTTGTCCCAATATATACCTTAATTTGCACCAAATGAGAAAACGTCCTGTTGCATCATCTCCATATATTGCTGTTAAAATAGTTAAAGTAATAGATAAAAGCTGATAAATGAAGTTAGAAATTGATTCAACAGTTATATAGAAAGCACATCGATTAGTTCGAAATAATTTCAATTGAGTAAAAACGAGAAGATTTAACACATTACCAATAACTCCAAAACTAAACATAATACAACCAGTATAAAGTGAATATTGTGTAGCAAATTTGAGAATTTCATCAGATACAGACGATGATGACATGATACTTTATTTACAATGAGATATTCTTTATTACTTGTGTTTTTCTTCTTTTCCTAGAAGATCTAAAATTTAATAAGAAAAATGGAAGTCTAAAATTGCTAGTATGACAATGTTTCTTGTTTTATATAGAATATAAAATTTAAGTTTAATAAAAGAATCCTTGAATTTCTCGTTAGAACTATTTGTAACTTGTGTGAAAGAAAAAAGAATGATGTTTTTTCTCTGCACTACTTACACATAAATAATAAAAATGAGAATGTATGTCGATCTTTTATGTCAAAAAACAATATCATTAAACTATTTAATTAAACAATAATGCAATTATCGGACACGTGCTTCAATTCATCTGCGCAATACATTGCCAGTAGTCTTTCAAGATATTAAATTTCATTTTGCTCCTCAATGAAGATTATAGTTGATGAAGATGTCGATTATTTTGTGCTCTACAGTTAATATTTAATATGCTATATTAATGTTTTATAACTCCTCGCTAGAAAATAAATAAAACAACGAGAAATTTTTAAATTAGTCATTCATTTATTTATTCTCATACTCATCCTCAAAGTTTTATTTATATATTAATAGCATTCATGGAAACCACCTTGAGAGTATGGGATAATACTTTTGTATTCACTCTCACTTACACCCACACCCAAACTTTAAAAAAAGTCCATTCTGTTAGAGAGACTTTCAATTATGGAAAAAGGAAGTCTTCGATGTGGCTAGTACTTTAGCTAAATACTCAAAGATTGGTTCTGGTCTATTCTCCCAAAGTATTCCCATTAAGTATTAATCAATTTTTGCATGGAAATAGATCAGATCAGATACCTAAGCTGCTTTTTTGTAAGACTTGTTATTTGAAGCTATCATTATGGTTTATTCTGATTAAGTTCGAAGTAATTGATCTTAAACTTTTGTAAAAAAGAGAAAAAGTGAGACGAATTTCAATCCGAACAATATGCCAGATTTGGATATGATTGTCTCTCTCAAAAAAAAATATAAAATTATATCTTTGAAAACATGTTATAGTGTACCTCCACATATCCTTCGTCTTTGTGTGACTATTTTATGTATATCTTTGATCTATTCAATCGAATTATTTTTCATTTAAATGTTATAGACATCACACAAAAAAGAAGAATATTAACATTCCTTCGTTATCTTTAGTTTATTCATCTTTATTGATTACACAAGCACGTTTTTTTTCTTATATCAATAAAATTAATTTTCATGTAAACTTCAATTAAATGTTAGAGATTAAATCTCTAATTTAGTGTGTACCAAAAATGAAATCTTATCTGAAACATTCGGAATTTACTTTAAAATACTTTCAAGCTGTTGCGAAAAAATAACGACATTTTTTAAATAAAAAATAAATGTTTATTCAAATATCATCCGCTTTTGAAAGTGAAACTGTGTTGAAATCTTACTTGATTGAACTATATTAGAGCAAATAGTAAATGAAACAAACAAGTATCGTTTACTTTCAAACACCAGTGTCTCAGGGTCTTCCACTTCCTATCAAATACTGTAGACTGTCATAGTTGTTCGTGAGATTTCTTCGTTTCTATGCACCCTGATGCTAATGACACATACAAAGAAAAATCGAATAAAAGATTATTAATCTAGAAATGAGCTTATCTCTAACTCGATGTTTGCTGAAATACTTTCTAGAGATCGATTTATATTGATACTAAAATTTCTTCATTTCAATGACAATCAGCAACAATAAACTGGTGATCGATTGCATATGCTACAGCATATTTTTGATAATTTGAGAAATATTTTGAACAGTTCATACCGGCAAAACGACATCGATTTATTGTTAAATTATTCATACTATGTGACTGCCATACTGATTTCATTATGAACTTGATAATCTATACAGACAAACAGATCGAAATTCTACTAGATAGAGAACAAGGAATGACTGGTTCAATTGTTTTTTTTAAATAATTCTATTCTGAAACGATTTATGTACTTTTCGACTTGGATATGCAACAAAACTAGGATTATAGTTACTCAGGTGATTCAATTCGATGATTTATTATAGAGAGACAAAATAGAAATATGAAAATTAATTAGTTTATTTATTTAGCGAATAGTTAAATGTTTTCTTCGGAGTCTATCTGTGTCTCGCGCGTTTCTAAATTGCCGTCAGGTTCAATTTGATTATTTATGGAGCAACACCAATATTTCCATCGTTGCCAACCTCTTTTTACTAACACAAATTTTACTTGACGACGAAAACGTGATGAGAATATTATAAAAACATAAAAGCTGATCTGAAAAACAAAATCTTACAAATATGAATTAGAAAAGAAAATAGTTTTACTATATAATTTATAATGTAGATAGAAGTAAAAATTGCTTGAATCAATCGACCAACTGCATATGCCATAGGCACGCTTCGTGATGTAGGAAAATTAATGGAATAGATACGATAAGCATTGTAAGGTGATACCAAACAAACGAAGGCAATTACACGCATCAGAACCATTGCCGTTATTTGTTTGTCTAGTTTACGACGAACAATTGGTAGCTGTCGTCGAACTATATGACGAACATTATGATAAGCTAACATACTAAATGTTGATGCAATCACAACAGGTAGAAAACCTCCTAAAATTGGATATAAGAAATATGTTGAATATTGAACTGCTACATAATTCGATAAGACACATCCCAATGTTGGTTGAATAACGTAAGAAGAGCCAAGTGCAATGCTATGAATGATCACAAAACAAATGAATATAAACGAAAGATATCGACCTAATCTCAATGTGCACATTTGTCTTAAATTGAAACGATGATTTGTTGAAAAGAACTGATCAACAGCAGAAAAACATATCATATAAAAATTAGTGAGCGCAGCTATTAGTGCTAATATGTATCTGAGTTTACACCAAATTAAAGAACGACCTGTTGCGTCATCTCCATATATCGATATTAAAATGGTTGAAGTAATAGATAAAAACTGATAAATGAAGTTGAAAATTGATTCAATAGTTATATAGAAGGCACATCGATTGGTTCGAAATAGTTTCAATTGAGTAAAAACGAGAAGATTCAACACATTACCGATAACTCCAAAACTAAATATAATACAACCAGTATAAGTCGAGTATTGTATAGCAAATTTGAGAATTTCATCAGATACAGACGACGATGACATGATGCTTTATTGAAAAGAATATATTCTTTATTATTTATGTTTTTCCTCTTTTCATAGAAGATCTAAAATTTAATAAGAAAAATGTAAGTTTATTCTTGTCATTTATAGAGGATTTTAACAGAGATTACTGTGACAATTGATAATAAGAGTCTTTAATGATTAGTATGATAATCTTTTCTTTTTTTATATAAAATATAAAATTTAAATTTAACAAATGAATCCTTGAATTTCTCGTTAGAGCTATTCGTAATCTGTATAAAAGAAAAAAGAGTGATGTTTTTCTCTGCACTACCTACACACAAGTAATGAAAAGAGAATGTATGTCAATCTTTTATGTCAAAAAAATATGTCATTAAACTATTTAATTAAATAATAACGCAATTATTGGACACATGCTCTTATTCATCTGCGCAATACATTGCCAGTAGTCTTTTAAGCTATTAAATTTTATTTTATCTTTAACAAAATTACAATAAATGAAGATGTTGATTATTTTGTGTCCTACAGCTCATATTTAATATGATATATGAATGTTCTATATCAACTTGTTATAAAATAAATAAAACAATGAGAAATTTTTAAATTAGTCATTCATTTATTTATTCTCATACTCATCCTCAAGATTTTGATATATGTTAATGGCATTCATGGAAACCATCTTGAGGGTTTGGGATAATACTTTTGTATTCACTCTCACTTAAAACGACACCTATACTTAAAAAAAATCAGTTGTTGCAGAGAGACTTGCCATTCAGTATCAATGAATTTTTGCATGGAAATAGATCATATACCTAAGTTTTTTTTTTGTAAGACTTGCTATTTAAAGCTATCATTATGATTTGTTCTAATTAATTTCGAAGTAATTGATCTTAAACTTTTGTAAAAAAGAAAAAAAGTGAGACGAATTTCGATCCGAATAATATGCTAGATTTGGATATGATTGTCTCTCAAAAAAAATATAAAATTATATTTTTGAAAACATATTATAATGTACATTCACATATCCTTCGTCATTGTGTGACTATTATATATATATATCTTTGATCTATTCAATCGGATTATTTTTCATTTAAATGTTATAGACATCACACAAAAAAGAAGAATATTAACATTCCTTCGTTATCTTTAGTTTATTCATCTTTATCCATTACACAAGCACTTTTTTTTTCTTATATCAATAAAATTAATTAAGATGAATTTGAAAAAAATATTTTTTGAATAAATGAAGAAAATCTTTAGAATTAATTTCCCTATAAACTGTAATTTAGTGTGTACCAAAAATGAAATCTTATCTGAAACATTCGGAATTTACTTTAAAACACTTTCAAGCTGTTGTGAAAAAATAACGACAATTTTTAAATAAAAGATAAATGTTTATTGATATATCATCTGCCTTTGAAAGTGAATCTCTGTTGAAATCTTACTCGATTGGACTATATTAGAGCAAATAGTAAATGAAACAAACAAGTAACATTCACTTTCAAACACAAGTGTCTCATGGTCTTCCACCTCCCATCAAACACCGTAGATTGACACAAGTGTTCCTGAGATTTCCTCAGTTCTAGGCACCCTGATGCTAATGGCTGATACAAAAAAAAACGAATAAAATATTATTAATATAGAAATTAGCTTATCTCTAACTCGATGTTTGCTGAAATACTTTCTAGAGATCGATTGCATATGCTAAAGGCTATTTTTGATGATTTGAGAAATATTTTTAACAGTACATACCAGCAAAACGATATCGATTTATTGTTAAACTGTTCATATTATGTGACTACTATATTGATTTCATTATGAATTTGATAATCTATACAAGCAAACAGATCGAAATTCTACTAGATAGAGAACAAGGAATGACTGGTTCAATTGTTTTTTTTAAATAATTCTATTCTGAAACGATTTATGTACTTTTCGACTTGGATATGCAACAAAACTAGGATTATAGTTACTCAGGTGATTCAATTCGATGATTTATTATAAAGAGACAAAATAGAAATATAAAAATTAATCAACTTATTTATTTAAGGAATAATTAGATATTTTCCTCAGATTCCATTTGTGAATTACGTCCTTCGATATTGTTGTCAGGTTCAATTTGATTATTTACGTGACAACACCAATATTTCCATCGATGCCAACATTTTTTTACTAACACAAATTTTACTTGACGACGAAAACGTGATGAGAATATTATAAAGATATAAAAGTTGATCTAAAATAGACCAAAATATTGCAACTATCAATCAGAAAAGAAAAGTTATTTACAACAAAATTTGTATTGTTCATAGACAGAAGAATTGCTTGAATCAATCGACCAACTGCATATGCCATAGGCATACTTCGTGGTGTAGGAAAATTAATGGAATAGATACGATAAGCATTATAAGGTAATACCAAGCAAACATAGGCTATGACACGCATCAGAACCATTGCTGTTATTTGTTTGTCTAATCTACGACGAACAATTGGTAGTTGTCGTCGAACTATACGACGAACATTATGATAAGCTAAGATACTAAATAATGATGCAATTACAATAGGTAAGAAACCAAATAAAACTGGATAAAAGAAATATGTTGAGTACTGAACCCATACATAATTCGATAGAACACAACCCAATGTTGAATGAATACTATAAGAACAACCAAGTACAGTGCTATGAATGATTCCAAAACAAATGAATACAAGAGTAAAATATCGGCCTAATCTCAATGTACACATTTGTCTTAAATTGAAACGATGATTTGTCGAAAAGAACTGATCAACAGCAGTGAAACATATCATGTAAAAAGTAGTGAGGCCACATGTTTGTCCTAATATATATCTTAGTTTGCACCAGATGAAAGAACGTCCTGTTGCATCATCTCCATATATTGATGTTAAAACAGTTAAACTAATATAGACAAACTGATAAATGAAGTTGAAAATTGTTTCAATGATTATATAGAATGCACATCGATTAGTTCGAAATAGTTTCAATTGAGTAAAAACGAGAAGATTCAACACATTACCAATAAATCCCAAACTAATTATAATAGAACCAGAATAAATCGAGTATTGTGTAGCAATTTTAAGAATTCCATCAGAGACTGGCGACGTTGACATGATACTTTATGGAAAATGATATATTCTTTATAATTTGTGTTTTTCTTCTTTTTCTAGACGATCTAAAATCTAATATAAAAAAAATATGAATCTGTTCTTATCATGTGCAGAGGATCTCAACAGACACTACTGACACGATTGATAATGAAGGTCTTTAATTACTAGTATACCAATTTTTCTTTTTTGACACAAAATATACTGTCTCTATTGAATGACATATCAATTTTGAATATAGAATATAAAATTAAAATTTAATAAGAAAAATACTTGAATTTCTCGTTAGAGCTATTCGTAACCTGTATAACAGAAAAAAGAATAATGTGTTTTTCTCTGCACTGTCTACACAAAAATCAGAAAAATGAGAATGTATGTTAATTTTTCATGTCAAAAAAATATGTTATTGAAATATTTAATTACACAATAATGCACTTATAGAACGCAGATTTTAATTCATCTGCGCAATACATTGCCAGCAGTCTTTCAAGATATTGCATTTCATTTTGTTCTCAATAAAGATTACACTTAATGAAGATATTGATTATTTTGTGTCCTACATTTAATATTAAATATAATATATTAGTGTTCGGTAACTTATCGCTATAAAATAAATGAAAAACATGAGACAGTTTTAATTGGTGATTCCTTTATTTCCATTCTTATTCTTGAACTTTTGATAAATTTTAATAGCATTCATGGAAATCACCTTGAGAGTGTGGGATAATACTTTTATATTCACTCTCATCCATACCCACACCCACGAAACTGTGGCTCATTCTTTCGAATATTTCTCATCTTGAAAAAACTAACATTGAGGACGTAACACAAAATACAGAGATAAAAACAAGAATATATCGAGCCTGATGAATATTCAGAAAGACTTTACAGTGACCGATGAAAACAAATACAATAACATGTATATTTACGAATACACTATTTATTGCTTTATATAACTCAATCTAAAAAGTACCGGAAATAAGATGAAATTGCATTGTTGTTTATGTCACATCCTGTAATATATAATGTAAGTTACAATAACATTTTGTTAGTCTTATAATTATATATACATTCATATTGACATGAAGAAATATCTGTCGCTGACAAGATAATTTATCTTATTTTAGATTATCAACTCACATCTGTCTTTATCAAATATTAAAAAAAGGATAGAATTTTGTATTCTTCTGTAAACACTACCTTGAACTAAAAATCAAATAGTCTATCCATTCCTGATAAATATCGCTTGATATTCATTGAATTTGCTCTTACTCTCACTTTTAAATGTTACTTAATACATTCATTTTTATATTTTTTATACATGAATATATGAAGTTTATTTTATCATCCTACTCAGTAACATGAAAAGCACACAGTATCACAGATTTTTGGACTGACAACCACATACTCACACCCGACTTTAAAAGTAGTTATTATTATGAATGGCACGTTTAATACTTTATTTAGATAGAGTGCTTAATTTGTGTGTTTAAACAATAATAAACTTGATGAAAAAAATGACAATACAAAAAAGAAGAAGATGAACAGAAAGTTTTTTTGCAAGAGATGCACCATTATTGTTGATCTTTGCCGCAATTCGATCTAACATATGTTTATATCGAGGATCGACTTCAGTGGATGCGTTAAGCTCCAATCGATTCATAACATAGGCAAATGAAAGTTGTTTTGCAGGCGCAGCGAAACCAATGCTCCCACCAGCTCCTAAAATAGAAGAAGATAAATTGATATGTAGATTGTATATTCTAAGTTACCGCTATGACCGAATACTCCTGGTCCAAGTGATGGAAGAGTTCTATCCAGAAGAAAAAAACCCATTGCAAGTACGGAAGTAACATTAAATACCGAATCAATTTCACCTGGAGGTGTGTTCGATTTCGTTGCTTCTTTCAAGATTTCTTCATTTAATAATCGTTTATATTTATTATTTTCTATATCTCCAATTAAAGATGCGTAAAGTCTTGCTACTGATCGAGCATTTGTTATTCCATTAGCAGCTGGAATCTCTGCTTCATGTGTACGCTGCTCGTTGAACCAGGCAAATGCTGAAGTATCAACAGTTTCATTTCCATTCGGTTTGACATTAAGTGGTGAAACACGATATTCTTCTGTTGATGGTAAACCAATGTAGAATTCGATATCTAATTTAGAAGCAATTTCATCTCGAATAAACTGTCCTATGGATCTTTTTCTTTTATCAACTCTTCGAACGAGTTCTCCCGCTAACCATCCGTATGTCAGAGCATGATAACCATGTTTCGTTCCAGGCGGCCATATTGGTGATTGTTGTTGCAACATATCTACTATCACTGTCCAGTTCAAACGCTGTTCGTCTGATGCGAATTCAAAAGGTAATCCTGCACGATGTGATAGGATATCTGCCACTGTTGTATTTCCTTTTCCACCCTGTCTATATTCTGGCCAATACTCTGTCACTAATGCTGAGTAATTAAGGAGACCTTGTTGAACACAAAGTGCAGCGGCCACAGCTACTACACCTTTCGACGTTGAAAATACCAATTGTAATGTATTATTGTCATAGGCTTTACCTTGGGATTGATCAAACGATCCAGCCCATAGATCAACAACTAATTTCCCTTGATGATAAATGGCTACTGATCCACCAAGATCTCGTTCTTCTATGAAATTTTCTTTGAATATATCTCGTACAAAATCCCATCCATTATCAGTTGTACCATAAATATTCAATTCGCCATGAACATTATTAAGAACTGATAGAATAAGAAAAAACCAAAGGCGATTACAAATATATGCCATATCCCAAGACTTCGTTTCTATTACGACTAAAAATAAAAAAAACAAAAAAATAAAAAATGAAAAATGATACGAGAGTATACAATACTTATATACTATCATCTCGATTTCAGAACATCAATCGAAAATACAGAATTTCTTATCAAGAAAACGTTTTGTGTACTTCGTTTGTGTGCATAACAGAAATCGAGAAGTTCTCGATAAACGAATATTAATTCCTGTTTAAATATTGGTTTTAAGCGATTAAAGATGAGGGTAACTATTCGGTTCTGTATCGATGTGAAAGAAAAGTGTCTAAAAACAGCTTGTAAATATTATACATATTAAAAAAGTACGATTATAACACTTTTCGTACTATTTCGTACTTTATTAAGTAGAATTTAACACTATTCTAAACTTTCTAAAATATTTTTAAATACTTTTTTTGCTAAAAATAGCTTAATTTAATATATACAATAATACAAAATACTTTTATCTAGTTGATTTACTTCTAACTTCATTTCAATGACAATCAGCAACAACAAATTGATGATCGATTGCATATGTTAAAGCCTATTCTTGATGATTTGAGAAATATTTTTAACAATATATACCGATAAAACGACATCGATTTAGTGCTAAATTATTCATATTATGTGCCTACCATATTGGGTTCATTATGAATTCTATAATCTATACCGGCAAACAGACCAAAACTCAACTGGATAGCGAACTAGCAATGACTGATTCAATAGTTTCTTTAAAAAAAATCCTATCCTGAAAGAGTTAACGTAATTCTCGACTTCGATATGCAATAAAATTAAGATTATAGTTACTCAGGTAATACAATTCGATAATTTATTAAAAAGAGAAAAATTAGAAATATGAAAATTAATTAATTTATTGATATAATGAACAGTTACATATTTTCTTCAGATTCTATTTGTGAATTGCATGGTGCAATACTATTCTCAGGTTCAATTTGATTATTTATCTGACAACACCAATATTTCCATCGTTCCCAACATCTTTTTACTAAAACAAGTTTTGCTTGACGACGAAAACGTGACGAGAACAATATGAAAATATAAAAGTTGATCTAAAATAAATCAAAATCTTACAGCTATAAATTAAAAAAGAAAATCTATTTACAACAAAATTTATATTGTTGATAGACAGAAGAATTGCTTGAAGCAATCGACCAACTGCATATGCCATAGGCACACTTCGTGATGTAGGAAAATTAGTCGCATAGGTACGATAAGCATTATAAGGCAATACCAAACAAACAAAGGCAATTACACGCATAAGAACCATTGCTGTGATTTGCTTGTCTAGTTTACGACGAACAATTGGCAGTTGTCGTCGAACTATACGACGAACATTATGATAAGCTAAGATACTAAATGTTGATGCAATGACAATAGGAAGAAACCCAGATAAAACTGGATAAAAGAAATATGTTGAGTACTGAACCCATGTATGATCCGATATGATACATCCCAATGTTGGCTGAATACTATAAGAAGACCCAAGCGCAGTGCTATGAATGATTGCAAAACAAATAAATATAAACGAAAGATATCGACCTAGTTTCAATGTGCACATTTGTCTTAAATGGAAACGATGATTTGTCGAAAAGAACTGATCAACAGTAGTGAAACATATCATAGAAAGAGTAGTGAGCGCACATGTTTGTCCCAATATATATCTGAGTTTACACCAAATGAGAAAACGTCCTGTTGCATCATCTCCATATATTGATATTAAAATAGTAAGACTAACGGAGAAAAACTGATAAATGAAGTTGGAGATTGATTCAATAGTTATATAGAATGCACATCGATTAGTTCGAAATAGTTTCAATTGAGTAAAAACGAGAAGATTTAACACATTGCCAATAACTCCAAAACTAAATAAAATGAAACCACTATAAATCGAGTACTGTATAGCAAAGTTGAGAATTCCATCAGAGACTGACGATGATGACATGATACTTTCTTTATTGTTTGCGTTTTTCTTCTTTTTCTAGAAAATCTAAATTTTAATATAAAGAAGAGGATGAATCTATTCTTGTCATTTATTATCTATAAAGCATCTTAATACAAATTAGTGTCACCATTGATAATAAAAATCTTTAATTACTAGTATGATTTATTAATTTTTAATAGAGAATTTAAATTTAATAAAATAGTACTTGAATTTCTCACTAGAACTATTTGTAATTTGTATAAAAGAAAAAAGAATGATGTTTTTTCTCTGCACTACCTACACATAAATAATAATAAGAAAATATATGTTAATCTCTCATGTCAAAAAATATGCCCTTAAAACATTTAGTTAAGCAATAATGCATTTATTGAACACGTCTTCTAATTCATTTGAGCGATTCATTATTGTCAGTAGCCTTTTAAGATATTAAATTTAATAAGAATATAAAAAGTGACGAAAGGGATTTCATTTTCTCTTTAATTAAAATTACAATTAATAACGATGTTGACTATTTTATATTTTATATCTTTTCGCTATAAGATAAATTGGTGATTTATTTATTCCCATTCGTATTCTCAAACTTTTGATATATGTTAATAGCATGCATAGAAATTATATATATGAGAGTTTTTCTAAAATTAATTGAATTCATCCTTCAGGACCGAGTGGCACCATACCTATCAAACTGAAACTAGATGTTAATGTTGTTCCCTTGTCCAATAAGAATATTCTAGAATTTTGACTAAATGCTTTAAATGTAACTATAAGATTCTATAGAAGTCTCATAGGTATTAGAACATGCATCTGATTGAATGATCTTCTTTTCTTGTATTTCTTTCGAGGGTTGATGAGGTGAAGGTGTACATGAGCGTTGAATGATTCATTTCACTAATACGTACATCCCACACTTCCACCCAAATACATACCCTCAATTTTAACTATAATTTTTAAAGTAATCAAAGTGCCATATTTCGATGTAAAGGTGAATGCGAATGTGAATGTAACTGAGGGTAAGGGTGTCTCTAAGAAAAGCTTTGATAAACATTTAATCGTGTTTAACAATTCAACACATAAAACAAGAGACTATTCCAATAAATGAACAAATGTTCTGGTTATTATTATCAATCTTTAGATAATGAAAGTTTATTTTTAAAATGTGTTCATAGAACAGATTTTCATTTTCATGAATTACTTTATCAAACACTTCTTAAATTACGTGGAAAAAAATCTTAATCAGTTTTCATCATCATTAATAAAAATGCAAGGACCTGCTGCTATATTTCCATTATTCTCCAGTAAAGAAAACTTTTTTCAACTTAATTAGTATTATCAAGGTGAAATTCATTATTGGTATATAATATCGTCGAAAACAAGACTTCTTTTTAAAAAAATACATTAGAAGAAAAACAACCATTGACATATATTGAACATACGAATATCCTTATTGATCCATCAATGCATTATGAATATACTATAAATTATCATAAAATAATTCAATATCTAAATGAGATTATTATTTTATCATGTAAAATTCTTTAATCGAAGTATATTTCAAAGATATTTCATTTATTAATGATGTATATGAGTAAGTTTTATTTGAATTTATTTAAATAAATTTCTTTCAGAGAAGGTTTCTTAATGAATATATCTAATGAATGAATTGATTTAATAAAATTCTATCAATTTGAAAATGAAACACATTTAAATAGTAATTATTTTCATCGGAAGATTTTTATGATGAAATTCTTAGAGAAAATGGATATTTTCGATACATCTTCACCTGTCATTCAAACAAGCAATGAACAATGTCAATATACAAATAATAATCAAAGAAAACTATTGATAAGTTAAACAAATTAGTTTTATTTAAAAGATTTCAAAAGTTATTCATATAAAGAGATAGGTGTGAGTACTAGCCGAATACACTTTTCATACTCACACCCGCCCACAAAATAAAATAGATATATGAGAATTAACATATTTATTTGATGAATAGTTAGATGTTTTCTTCAGATTCCATTTGTGAATTACGTGCTTCAATATTGTTGTCAGGTTCAACTCGATTATTTATTTGACAGCACCAATATTTCCATCGTTCCCAACATTTTTTGACTAGAACAAGTTTCACTTGACGACGAAAACGTGATGAGAATATTATAAAAAGATAAAAGCTGATCTAAAATAAGTCAAAATCTTACAAATACGAATTAGAAAAGAAAATTTATTTACGGCAAAATTTATATTGCTGATAGAAAGAAAAATTGCTTGAATTAATCTACCAACTGCATATGCCATAGGGATACTTTGTGATATAGGGAAACTAGTCGTATAGATACGATAAACGCTATAAGATGTTGCCAAACAAACAAAGACTATTACACGCATCAGAACCATTGCTGTCATTTGTTTGTCTAGTTTACGACGAACAATTGGTAGTTGTCGTCGAACTATATGGCGAACATTACGATAAGCTAACATACTAAATGTTGATGCAGTTACAATAGGTAGAAAACCGAATAAAATTGGATAAAAGAAATATGTTGAATACTGAACCCATATATGGTCCGATATGATACAGCCAAATGTTGGCTGAATACCATAAGAAGACCCAAGCGCAATGCTATGAATGATTGTAAAACAAATGCATACAAACGCAAAATATCGACCTAATCTCAATGTACACATTTGTCTTAAATTCAAACGATGATTTGTCGAAAAGAATTGATCAACGGCAGTGAAACATATCATATAAAAAGTGGTGAGCGCACATGTTTGTGCCACTATATATCTTAGTTTACACCAAATTGAAGAACGTCCTGTTGCATCATCTCCATATATTGATGTTAAAATAGTTAAACTAATGGAGAAAAACTGATAAATGAAGTTGAAAATTGATTCAATAGTTATATAGAATGCACATCGATTGGTTCGAAATAGTTTCAGTTGGGTAAAAACGAGAAGATTCAACGTATTACCAATAATTCCAAAACTAAACGTAATACAACCAGTATAAATCGAGTATTGCGTAGCAAATTTGAGAATTCCATCAGAGATGGACGATGATGACATGTTAATTTATTCAAAATGATATATTTTTTATCATTTGTGTTTTCCTTATTTTCCCTGGAAAAGATCTAAAATTTAATAGAAAAAAAATGTGTGAATCTGTTCTTGTCATCTATTATATATGAAGTATCTTAGCGGAAATTACTGTCACGAATGATAATTAAAGTCGTTGGTTAATAGCACAGTGAGGGCCTGAAAAAGCATGCACTTTTTGTTTTTATATATAAATGAACAATAAGGATATTCTAAAAATTTTCTCTTATATCTAATTTGGTAGAGGTTTTTTTCACTAATCATTTTGGTAAAAAGACTTTTTGATTTTCATTGAGAAATGATAATATTATAGCCAGAATATTAAACACTGGTAAAAAGTTTAGCACACTTTTAGTAATTGGCTAATGTTTACGTTATTTCACAACATCTGAAAAATGTTCTATATATATACCATTTGATGCAGAAGTCAATGGGGTACATTTCGGTATAAAGCACTTCTATTTGTATTAGAGTTAATTAATTATTAATTAGTTATGTCTAAATCGGAAACTCATATAAAATATTTTTTGTTTAATATAAGATGATAGAGATATATTGAAGAATTATTTTTCTTAAACAGGCATTCACTTTAAACGTCGATAATGATAAAAGATGTTTTAACATGCTATGTGAAGAAATAGTAGTAAGGAAAAAAACATTTGTGACGAAATCAAAAGAATAGTAGAGGAATTGTTCAAACGTAGATACTTTGTTATTGCAGAAGATCAAATGGATGATACGGATTTGGTATTATATTTATATGTTTCACTGATAGTACTACTATACAAATTCTTGATTCTAAAACGTTATAAAATAACTTATCATTTACATCATATGAATCTTGATTATTTACAGGCGTATTATAACTTTCAGAAATATTTAATAATGTATTCGTATCGGTTGTATTACTTATTTGAGGTTGAGTAGATGTTATATAAATGCAGAATATTGGTGATTGGAGTTGCTATCTTTCATAATCCTACATTTGATATAATAATGAACGTTTTTTCTGAATGTATAGAGCATTTATTATTTGGATCAATATCTATGACGAAAATTGTTGATTGTTAATATAATATTTTTGGAAAGAACATACTAGTCGATATTTGACTATAGTATCGTTTAAATTTTCATAAGAGTGTAATGGTTGTCCTAAAAAAGATTTCAACTGTATGGAAAAGATCTTCTAAAGCAATTTAACATTTGATTTTTTTACTCATATGTCTTTTCTGCAAACTAGAACATGTAGTTGTAGTTGAAAGACATATTGATAATTCAACCGATGTCAGTTGTTCTCTATGGTCAAGTGTGTTAATAACGATAGAAACAGTCTTTGTCATCTTTGAATTTATTTTAATAAATTTCTTTTAGAGAAGATATCTTGACAGATGTATCTAATGAATCAATTAATTCGATAAAATTCTATCAATTTGAAAATGAAACACATTTAAATAGTGATTATTTTCATCGGAAGATTTTTATGATGAAATTCTTAGAGAAAATGGATATTTTCGATACATCTCCACCCATCATTCAATTAATCGATGAACAATATCAATATACAAATAATAGTCAAGGAAAATTATTGATAAGTTAAACAAATTAGTTTTATTTAAAAGATTTCAAAGTGTTCATATGAAAAGAAGGATGCGGGTGTGGATGAGTGGGGGTAGGTGCTAGGTGAATACAGTACGCATATTCATACACACCGTTAAGGAAAAATAGAAATATGAGATTTAATATATTTATTTAATGAACCGTTAAATGTTTTCATCAGATCCCATTTGTGAATTGCGTAGTTCGATATTGTTGTCAGGTTCAATTCGATTATTTATGGAGCAACACCAATATTTCCATCTTTGCCAATATCTTTTTACTAGAACAAATTTCATTTGACGACGGAAACGTGGTGAGAATATTATAAAAAGATAAAAACTGATCTAAATGAAAGCAAAATCTTACAAATATGAATTAACAAAGAAAATAGTTTTACCGTATAATTTATATAGTAGATAGAAAGAAAAATTGCTTGAATTAATCGACTAATTGCATATGCCATAGGCATACTTTGTGATATTGGAAAATTAATGGCATAGATACGATAAGTAATATAAGGTAATAATAAACAAACGAAGGCAATTACACGCATAAGAACCATTGCTGTCATTTGTTTGTCTAGTTTACGACGAACAATTGGTAGTTGTCGTCGAACTATATGACGAACATTACGATAAGCTAACATACTAAATGATGATGCAATTATAATAGGTAGAAAACCACCTAAAATTGGATATAAGAAATATGTTGAATACTGAACCCATGCATAATTCGATAAGACACATCCTAATGTTGGTTGAATAACGTAAGAGGAGCCAAGTACAATGCCATGAATGATTGCAAAACAAACAAACATAAACGAAAGATATCGACCTACTTTCAATGTGCACATTTGTCGCAAATTGTAATGATGATTTGTTGAAAAGAACTGATCAACGGCAGAAAAACATATCATATAAAAATTAGTGAGCGCACATATTTGTGCCACTATATATCTTAGCTTACACCAAACATTAGAACCTCCTATGGCAACATCTCCATATATTGATGTTGAAATAGTTATAGTAATATAAAAACAAAAATAAACTAAGTTGGAAATTGATTCAACAGTTATATAGAAGACGCATCCATTAGTTCTAAATAGTTTCAATTGAGTAAAAACGAGAAGATTGAACGTATTACCAATAACTCCAAAACTAAATAAAATAAAACCACTATAAGTCGAGTATTGTGTAGCAAGTTTGAGAATTCCAGCAGATACTGATGATGATGACATGTTACTTTATTCAAAATGAAATATTCTTTATTGTTTGTGTTTTTCTTCCTTTGCTGAAAAATCTAAAAGTTAATATATAAAAAAATTTAACCTGCTCTTGTCGTTTATTATTTATGAAGCATCTTAGCAGAAATTACTGTCACGATTGTTAATGGAAGTCTTTAATTACTAGTATGACGATGTTTCTTTTTTCACAAAAATTGTTTTGTATCTACCCAAGTCATTTAATCCAACCTGTAAACCCTACAGGAAACTATCGGATTCGACGTCGGATTCTCAATAAAAATCTACCGGTACCAAATGAAATTTCATCGGATTCTTAACTAACGGATTACAGATCGGATAAAGTCAGAAAATATCCAATCATGAGGAAACATCTAATAACGTAAGGTTCCGATCTAATATCGTCCGAAATTTATCGGATTTGTGTCGATTGCAGATAGATTAAATGAAAATTTCTCCAGCACTATTATTTACTATCTCTCGAGATATTCAAAGATTTTAACAAGATTTGACACGGTTTCTTCTCTTTGAACTCGATTTAATCTTGTAACGGCACAATATATATACCAGAACTATTTCTAGAACTTCCTAATAAATTATCTACGATCATCTCTAGTATGGACATGTACATAAAAAAGATTTTCAAATGTAGCTAAAACAATGAAAAAAAAGACTTGTATATGTCGCATGCCAGTTTAGAACTTAGTTGAGATAGAAATTCTCCATCATAGCGTGAATGTTGTGATAAAATAATTTATTTGAATAAGTTTTTTCTGTTTTTGAGGATATGAGATTATTTGCTTGAGTATGTAATTTGAAAGGCTTCAATCTTTTTTTTATCTTGTTGAAGAAAACAAGATTTGCACGAGATGTTTATTTTGTAAAGCTCGGGACATTGGGACCATATTACTTTCTATTACTTTGTTGAAGAAAAAAATATCTGCAAGAGAGGTTTATTTTCTAATGCCTAGAAAATTGTCTGATTTTAGAAGTTTCAATGAATAGAAAGTATTTTTTCTTTGAGGGAGGGTGTGGGTGAGGCTTTTTCAAATATCTGAGAACTAATATACCGAATGTTCCGAGGATATTATTCAATTAGTAAATGAACTTTGTACTGAAGTTATGCTTTCGTTATATTATTTGTTATTTATTATCTTGATTCATATATCTATATAAAATAACTGAAAAAGAAAACAAACTATTCAAGATAGTAATAAAAATCTTGATCTTTTTATTACGGAAACAGATTCAAAATCTCCAAATTTTATAGAAAGTATATCTTGAAACCACTACACGGTAAACAGATGTTCCTAAATACAACGAATGTAATTTGAAAAAGAATTGTTAAAATAGAAAACTTTTTTTTGTAAATATTGACTTTTTTCAACATCTCTTGTAAAAGTTCAATAAAAAAGTAACTAACTTTAATTTATCAAGAATTAGTAAAGAAATAATATATAAAACTTTTAAACTGCACATCAGTATTCTATAACAAGGAGCGAAATATTTTGTATGAATATAACTCATACATAATCGATCATGTTTTGTTTATGCTGATCAATGTAGAATTTATCAGCGATGCTCATAAAAAAAATTTTCATAAAAGATCATATTAAGATGAATTATTTGATTAAAAATTCATCAAGATGGATTTCTAATAATCAGTGATAATTCAACAACTGTTTTTACTTCTTTTTCAAGCGTCGACGGCGTTATCACCATTGGGGAACAAAGTCATCTCTGCTAATTCAAAATAATTTGAAATTAAGAAATTGGTTTTCCCCCTTTATCATTATGCAAAAGTGTAATTAATTTTAAACGCTACAATTTTTGTCTCACTTAAGTTGTTTAACATTGAGGCAATTATTATCTCGATATATGGCAGCTATGGGTAGTTACTTATACTTGATAATTGCTATGCTATTCATTCAGTTTTACTTTTGTTCAATAAAACGCAGGGAAATGGGTTCGCAATGCAACCACTGAATACTATTTCGTTTACAGAATGCTAGTTATTACCCTGAATCACATATGTACCAGTAATTGATTCCCGTCGGATTTATACTATTCAACACGAACAAATCTGAGTAATGGAACGCCTGTATTCCTATATAATCTGGCAAGTTTCGGTACCAGTTTTTGACCGATTTCCTCTTAAAATTCGGCATCATGTGAAAATCTTTTATAAAGTTTTACTCAAGATGAAATGTTATGTGAATGAATTCATTGTGATCTACCTTCTTAATTGGTTTTATGATGGATTTACAAAAGATCATTTTTCATATCAATGTGAATTATCCAGTTGTTGAAAAATATATTAACAATTTTCTTGAAATTAATATTAATAAAATTATATTTAAAGATATTTCATTTTTTAATGAGATACATTTCTTATTGAACATAATTGATGAATCAATTAATTCGATAAAACTTAACCAATTTGAAAATGAAACACATTTAAATAATGATTTTTTTTAGTGAATTATTTTCATCGGAAGATTTTTATGATGAAATTCTTACAGAAAATAAATAATAATCAATCGGATTCTTTAACTTTAGAACAAAGTATGAATATTTTTGATACACCTCCACCAAATTATAGTGAAAGAAAATAATTGGTAAGTTAAATAATTTTGTTTTATTTAAAAGATTTTAAAAGTTGTTTATATAAAATTAGGGTGTGGGTGTGGGTAGGTATGGGTGCTGGATGAATACAGTATTCATATTCACACACACACTCTTAAGAAAAATAGAAATATGAGAATTAATCTATCCAATGTAAAGTTAGATACTTTCAACAGATTCCACTTCTAAATTGCGTGGTTCGATATTAAAAGGTTCAATTCGATTATTTATGGAGCAACACCAATATTTCCATCGTTGCCAACATTTTTTTACTAGAACAAGTTTCATTTGACGACGAAAACGTGGTGAGAATATTATGAAGATATAAAAACTGATCTAAATGAAAGCAAAATCTTACAAATATGAATTACAATAGAAAATTTATTTACAAAATAATTGATAAGGTTGATACAACTAAAAATTGCTTGAAACAATCGACCAATTGCAAATGGCATAGGCATACTTGGTGGTATAGGAAAATTAATGGCATAGATACGATAAGTAATATAAGGTACTAATAAACAAACGAAGGCAATTACACGCATGAGAACCATTGCTGTTATTTGTTTATCTAGTTTACGACGAACAATTGGTAATTGTCGTCGAACTATATGACGAACATTACGATAAGCTAAGATACTAAATAATGATGCAGTTACAATAGGTAGGAAACCACCTAAAACTGGGTAAAAGAAATATGTTGAATACTGAACCGCTACATAATTCGATAAGACACATCCTAATGTTGGTTGAACATTGTAAGAGGAGCCAAGTGCAATGCTATGAATGATCACAAAACAAATGAATATAAACGCAAAATAACGACCAAATTTCAATGTGCACATTTGTCTTAAATGGAAACGATGATTTGTTGAAAAGAACTGATCAACAGCAGAAAAACATATCATCGAAAAAGGAATGAGTGCACATGTTTGTCCCACTATATATTTTATTTTACACAGAGCATTAGAATTTCCTATGGCAGCATTTCCATATATTAATGGTAAAATAGTTATAGTAATATTAAAACAGAAATAAATTAAGTTGGAAATTGATTCGATGGTTATATAGAAGGCACATCCACTAGTTCGAAATAATTTCAATTGAATAAAAATGAGAAGATTTAACGTATTACCAATAACTCCAAAGCCAAATGTAATAAAACCACTATAAAACGAAAATTGTGTTGCAAAGTTGAGAATTCCATCAGATACTAATGACGATGACATGATACTTTATTATTTGTGTTTTTCTTCTTTTTCTAAAAGATTTAAAATTTAATATAAAAAAAATATGAATTTTGTTTTTTGTCATTTCTGATTTGTAAAGCATCTTAGCAGAAATTACTGTCACAATTGATAATAAGTCTTTCATTACTGTTATGACAATGTTTTTTTTTCATAGAAAAGTTTTGTATTTACGCAATGTGATTCAATCCGACCTATAGATCCTGCGGAAAACTATCGAATACGATCGCAGACCGATTAACGAAAATTTGTCCCGTTATGTTCACTATATATCGAGCTTTTCAAAGGTTTCGTCACGGGCTTGAAGGATTTTAGTAGATTTCTAAAGATTTTACCAAGATTCTTACAATTATTCTACTAAGATTTGAAAAGGTTTCTTTTCTGTTAACTCGATTTACTTTTATAATAACACTATATATACCAGAATCATTCCTAGTATGTCGATGTAGATTAAAAAGGTTGTCAAATATAGTTAAAAAAACAAAAAAAGGACTTGTGTATACAGATCGATCTCTGCAATACAAAACGGTAAATGTTACTTGGACATAATCGAATTTTTAACATTTTTTCAGGAATTTCTCAACGATATAAAATTTAAAACTAATTGAAAAATTAGAAAAATAATCCAGCTAAATTTATTCTGCATGATGAATGTGTGTAGATAGAAGACATGAATTCAAAGTAGAATTAATCTCAAAGAAATTTTAAAATGCACTTGAAAAAATAAAAAAAACCCACTAGTATATATACGACGATCTCTGTAAAAGAAAACGGTGACAATAATTTGAGTACTATCGGATTTCTAGCTTTTTAAGGTATTTTTACGAACTTCGCAATTAAATAAATTTTCAAACTAATTAACAAATTACAGAAGTAATCTGTGTGGATTTGGTCTGTATGATGAATTTGCGTATATAGAAAACATGATTTTATAAAGAAAAGCAATCACTTAAAGTAGAATTAATGTCAATGAGATTTAAAAATATACTTGAAATGTCTATATAATAATATAATAAATTTTCATGATTAATATCAAGATTATTTCAGCATTCTAATCAATCAGATGAGTTGTTCATATTCTATAAGATTTTCTTCTATTTGCTTTTTTAATAAAAAATTATTTTCTACATTTGTTTTTAAATCAGTATGAAGTTTACGTTGTTTTCTTCCTATTTTCATAATATTTCATTGATCTTTTCAACAAAATCTTTGAATAAAAAAAATAATTGAAAAGTTAAAACTATTTCATTACCGATATGTTTATATTCATATATCTATCTGGAAATAAATGAAAAAGAAAACAAACTATTCAACATAGTAATAAAAATCTTGATCTTTTTATTATGGAAACACATTCAAAATCTCGAAGTTTGGGGTGTGGGTGAGGGTGTTTGTGTGCAAAATACGATATCAACACCCACACTCACACCCTCAATATAAAAAATTATCTACTATGTTCATCAATTTCAAAATGATTAATATATTTCCGTGCTATTCAAAAAATCATTGCCAATACTTCCACCAGCAACTAATATTTTTCCATTTGTTAAAACAGTTGCAGTATGCTGAAATCGCGAATGATGAAGTCCATCAGTAATCAACCAAGTTCTCGTTGATGGATCATATAATTCTGAACTATTTGAAAAACCACTTGAGTTATATCCACCGGCAACTAACACTTTTCCATCATTTAATACAGATGCTGTGTGAAAAGATCTTGCATTATGCATTGAACCTGTAATTGTCCAAGTTCCAGTCGATGGATCGTACAACTCAGCTATATTTATAAACTTATCACTAAATCCACCAGCAACTAATACTTGCCCGTTTGTTAATATGGATGCTGTGTGACCAAATCGTTGTGTGTTCATGTTCCCTGCAGCTGTCCAGTTTCCTGTTGATGGATCATACAATTCAGTACCTTGTCCAACATTCTCATCAGTTACTCCACCAGCAATTAATACTTTTCCATTTGTGAGTACGGATGCAGTAAAATCAAATCGTGCGACGCCGATCTTACCAGTAGTTGTCCAAGTTTCAGTTGATGGGTCATATAGCTCAGCACTATTTAGAAAACGTGTACCATTAGATCCAGCAATAACTAGTACTTTTCCATTTGGTAATATGGAGACCATATGACCGAATCGTCGAAAATTCATTGTACCAGTCATTGTCCAAATGCCTGTTGTTGGCTCATACAATTCAGCAGTATTTAAAGTATTTCGACTATCATCTCCTCCAGCAACTAAAACTTTTCCGTTCATTAAAACAGATGCTGTATGCATAGCTCGTACACAATTCATTCTGCCACTAACTGTCCAAGTTTCAGCCAATGGATCATACAACTCAGTACTGTTATTATAATAATCAGCACCATTCACTCCGCCACTAACTAAAACTTTTCCATCCGTCAATAAGGATGATGTATGCAGCGCTCTTCGATAAATCATATTTCCGGTATCGGACCATTCTAAAAGGAAACACATATTTTTGGACCTTGCAGGTCATCTGATTATGTGCAAAAAGTTCTAATATAAGAAATCCTTTGAAATTGTCTACATGCATCAATACATCCTCAAGATCTTTTTAAGTCAATATATGATCTCATCCGAGACTATTTATGGTGCCATGATATCGTCAAGATATAATTAGTATTTCTGTGATTATTTCATTAACTGAAGATGACTGCTGTCTACATCATTTCTCTTGACTTGTTGAAAACATAATCGCAGATATCACTCTAAAAGCATCACGGAAGGAATAACTATTATTTCATTTGTTTTGTTTATACTAAGCATTGAGTAACTTACTTCGTTTTCAAAAATCTTTACAGGTATTAAAAACAATTAGTTCAAAGCTTACCTGATAGATGTACAGTGGTTACGGGTAGAGCTGGCGATATTAATATCTTTTTTCTTGATCGTACTAGCGCTTCGATGGTTGTAGTAGTAGCTGCCAACTTTCCTGGGGCAATGATGGCGAATAATGAAACCAGACACAAAATGGCTACAAAAATTAATAAAATGATTAACAAATGTGGAAGCTGGCAAACACTATGTCATGGTGACCACTCTCATAGTCTAAGGATATGTATCGATGCGTCAGTGTACATAATCACGTACATCCAGAAAATGCGAAAAGGATTTTAGGGGTCGATGACTCTAACTCTTACGAAACTTGTTCAAATTTTTGAATTTAGTTCGCCCTATCGGATGCAACCAATCCATTAACAGTGTTGTTTTTACTATCTTTACATTTAGTCTATGCATGTATATCTAAACCGATGTATTGAAAATACTTACCGTGCATTTGATTGTTATGCATGTTTTCTTCCAAAACTGCCTTAAAAACTTTATATTATATACGACACAACAGTAACCAAAAATGAGTAATATTATCTTCAACAAAACAGATATTGCTGTGTTCTTATCTTTATATGATAAAATTTGTTTATGAATAATAGAAATAGGGCCGGTTTGGTTAAAACCACTCTTACCTTCGATGAGTAAGAACACATAAAATAGATTGAAGCGTCGGCAATATGACCATCCCTTGTATACTCATTTTATTTTGATTAATTCATGGGCAAAGTGTAAAAAATTCAATACAAAACTATTCTTTATCTTTAATTTTTTTCTCACATTAAATACTCTCCTTTGAATGTTTATTTAGTAGACACTACAGTTGAGGATGGGTGTGGATGTATATTTTAGAAGGACGCAATAATTTCACTCTTTTCCTCAAATCGTACTAGCTTATATTTTTCGTTTTAAGAAAACAAACGTTGTTGGGTTCGTCCCATGCATCTAGATACACAAGTGATATGCCTATTTGAGAAAAGTTCTGTTCTTCGCGTTCGATTGTCATTCTAAGTAGACATATATCCTCGTCTTCAAGAACGTGTTCTACATTCGATGTTATATAACATTCCATACGTAAATCAATTCGAACTGTCGTAATACCAGTTAAAATGTTTTGCCATAGAGATGAATCGATGCCTCGCGTGATCTCCAAGAATCCATTTCCCTTCAAAGTCATATTGCTCAAAGTGACAGGACAAATCGCTCGAAGTTGTTGAACCACATAAAAGTGTGCTTTCTCCAAATATATCGTTAGATTTCTTAATAGTGGTAGTACTCTACCATAAACATTTAAATAAGTTCCACACCGTATGGTTAATGTGAGAGAATGAATGTGGGGAATAATGACGAGAAGAGAGGCGAGCGGTAAACGGTGAATATTAGCACCCAGAACCAATCGGATAATATTTGGCGGTAGACAAAAAGTCAGACGGCCGTCAATACTACCACCAAAGTTGATTGCGAGCGTATGAAGATGAGGTATACGACAAATTTGTTCAAGCAGTTTAACGGACATACTTTTATGAATAGATAGACTGGTCAACTGATGAGCCAAGGGAATGAGACACGAACAAATGAAGTTTGTTTTCACATGTTCAAAATGGGCATGACATAAACGAGACTGTTGAGAGATTAAACGGAATAGTTGTTCTGCCTGATCCTTGCGTAATCGGGTTTCGACACGTAGTGAGACAATATTGTGAAACGAAGGAACGCGCCTCTCTAGCAGTTGCGTAAGATGTGCATCACTATGAATGTGAAGCTGAAAAGAAGTGTGGGATGATCGAATCAAACGATCGATGGTTCTGTTGAGAAATGAGAAGGAATACACGATTTCAAGTAGATCGAAATAGCGAAAAAGTAGTAACCATAGTTCAGTAGGCAAGCATTCGAGGCGAGTAGTAGACATTCAAACGATATTGACGTGAAAGAATGAATGAAAGCAATGTTAACAGTCATTTATTATTCACTATTCGTTCTGTCACTAGAGTGGTGCAATAACAAGTGTGTATTTGTCTTTCTTTCCTTTGTGTAAGAGTTTATTTTTTTCGACAGTCAATAAATTGCGTATACAATTTCACAAGACAATGAAAGGAAGATAAACTTGAGAGTATAAGAACTACACATTTGATAGACGCTTATGATGTTCATTGTAAAAGAAGCATGTGGATGTGGGTATTCTTTTACATTCATATCTATATCCATACCCACCCTTAGAAATGAAATTTACATTGACATAAAATTTTATTAAACAAGAAGCTGAAACTTGATATGAGAACTTTTTTCAAAAACAACACTTTCGAAATTTGTCAGATTTCGTCTTAGTACTTCCATCGATAGTTCAAAATCAAGGCTGAGAATAAGGACGTGTGCATGCGAAAGTGGTTGAACATAAAGAATAAATGTTTATCTTCACCTCAAGTATTTTTTATTTGTCAACATATTAGAAACAGTATTATCTTTTTTCAATACTATCGCAACAAATTAGAGAAATTCGAGAATAATGAAGAAATATTGATTATGGATGGCGTTTGTCGTCGCCATCGTTTGAGTGATTCTTGAAATGTTTTTCTGTACAATTTCGAAGGAAGAACAAAAACAATAAAGATAAGTATTGATGGAGTAAACGAAATGAAGTAACCAAAAAGAAATAATAATCGATGGTTTGATGGATTGACACATTCTGATAGCATTGACATTATCAGACGAGGTAAGGACAGAATCAGAAGAATGATCGGGCTAATCAATAATTGTTTGTGTTCACTAAATTGATTGTAAACATGTTCCCTTAGAGTTTGTCTCCTCTGAGCTGTTGATCTTTGTCGGGCTGAGCCAAATATGATGAATAAAGCAGAACCAAGATTGATAATACATGGACCAACAAGATGAAAAAATAAGATGACTGTATTGTATTGTTGAACAGAAGGAGAATAACCAGTTACACACCATCTATTGATATCAACTTTGATTGTCTCGGTATTTACCACATGCAATTCTCGATGTATAGGTTCATGGATGATTGAACCCATGACACACAATGGTAAAATGAGAACTGTCCATCGAGCAATGCATTGACTTTTCTGTTTATTGAAGGTGATTCCTTTGAAAACGAGAATCGCTCTTTCAATGGCTACACAAGCATTGAGCCAAGCATCTACATATAGACAAAGCTTGAGAAGTGGTTCGATCGATACACAACCTCCTCGAACAACAGAAAGACGAATTGATAGATTCATTTGAGTGAGAACAACAAACCAAAACTTCACTGTAAACATGCTGATCGTAAGAAAAGAAGTAATGGATGATGTCAAGAGATAGATACCACATCCAACTTGTCGTAGATCTTTATTTCGAAATGTTAGTAGGGATAAAATACTATTAATCAAACCTCCAACAAACATAATCATCGTTAAAGCGACATTGATTTTCACTAATATTGTTTGGTCAGTCAATGTCATATTCGATCGAATTTCGTCACGTAAAATATCATCGAGAGTGACACCAATACTCTTTTTGTAAAACTGACATGTTTGACCGATGAAACAATTGATCAGAATTGGAGCTAAAGAAAGAAATTGATGGGTATCAAGAGATTAAGTTAATATTTCTCAACTTAATAAAGCCATATAGGCGCAAATTCATAAGCAATAATAGTTTATGAAAGTAATTTATCTATACATGATGTCCAGTCGAGATTTGATTTGTATATTTCTATTTTCTATTCAGTATCTCATAATGAAATTACTCATTTTTGTGACGATGTTTCTACATATGAACTTGATAAATTTTCACAGACTGCAAGGTAGGAAAATCTCAGATAGTGTGAAATCACTAAAGAATAGATCTTCTTATATATATCGTTGATGCAAGAAGAAAAGCTGACTTACTTTACCCAACTGATTGAACTCACATAAAGAAGGAGTTCCAATTTGATCCTATTTTTTGACAATAATTCTATTGAATTATACGATCTATTTCAAATTCTCAGATCTTTTAGTATTCAAGAGTGAAAATGCAGTTCAGTAGGATATTGTACTTCTCTGTTAATGATTTACAAATAATACAAAATACTTACTGTGAGGATCAAGAGTGATGTTATTTGGTCCAGATGTTAGAATGGAGAAGTTTCCTGTCATATTGGGAGAATATGTTGTTACTACTAATATATACTTAGTGCCGGCGTGAAGGTAAGTGATGAGCTTGAAATCTTTATAACTACAGCTTCGATAATTTTGTAAGAGTAAATTCTCGAAAGGATTCAGAGGATTAAAATCATCTTCGTAAATATCACCATATGTGTTCATACTGCTACCACTACTCAGAGCATAGTATCCGGTTTCCATTACATGCATTTGTATAGTTTGATAGTAATAATTCGATTCTCGACAATTTCGAGAATATGTTTGACTGTATGTTGTCAGCTGGAATAAATAATTTGATTGTACGGCTGATGAATATGATATTTGAATAACTGATGGAGAACCTATATGATGAAAATGAAATCAATAGCCAAGATTCATGATAGATCTTAATTGACTGGGACAGAGAAAGTTGAAGAGATAAATTTTCATAATACCGCTTTCAATGGAATAATTAAGCTGTAAATGGAGAGTAAAAGTAGAATCTGTCAACATATTTCTGTCCTCGAAGCCCCGATGATATAAGTCACATGAGATTAGCGATCGATTGAAACAGATTCGTACTCAAGAAGATTGTCTCGATCCTATTCATAATATTCTGTTATTTGATGAGTTTAGTGTAGCTTTTTGCGTCAAGCTCTCATCTTATAGTGCAAATGTCATCTCACAAAATAATTTTCTATTTGTGGATATGCCAAACTCAACTAAATACTTATGCTAACGTTGACAGATATTCATTTAACAGTTGCAGTGCAAACACTTACTAATATTCTTCAAAACAACGATGTCTGGACCAGATACAAAGATCGAAAATGCTCCTGTTTCATTAGAATCAGCCGTTGTCACAACCAATATATATGTAATACTATTTTCAAGATGAGTTGTGAATTGAAACTGATCCTCATTGCAGCTGTCATCATCATCTGAGAGTTGATTTTCATCTGGATTGGATGGATTGAAATATTCGTTGTAGATAGAGCCGTGTGTGTCCATATTGCTTCTGCATAAGAAAGTATAAAAACCATTTGTAGGGACATTCACTTGTATTGCTTCATAGTAAGAGTTTGACCATGAACATCGAGGAAAATACGCTGAACTGTTCGTTGTCAATTCTGATATATAAGTTGTTTGAAGAACTGATGAAGTATTTGCTAACGAAAATGAAAATCGATTCAATTTTGTGTAATACGGAAATAAGTAGAAACAACTTAAAATAGTACTTTCACCCTTAGATACATTTATTGAAAGCGAATAAAAGTGATTTGGCTGTTGATGTAAATAAGAATAACGATACTTACACTCTCAAGACAGTATAGAATACTCTGTGATATCATTCATATCTCGAGTTATAAAGAGAATATATTATATGTATATGTTTGCAGTATTTTTTTTATTATAAGAACCATAAGTGATACGATATGTTATAATGATTAGCGATCAATTGGAATGGATCTGTATTTAAAAAGATTGTCCCGATCTTATTCATAATACTCTGTTATTTGATAAGTTTAATGTAGCTTTTTATGTAAAGCTATCTCCTTATAGTACAAATGCTGTCTTACAAAACAAATCTTTATTTGTAGATATGTCAAACTCAACTAAATTCTCGTGCTAACGCTGAAAGATTCTCTTATAATAGTTGTGATGCAAACACTTACTAATATTCTTCAAAGTAACGATATCTGGACCAGATACAAAGATCGAGAATGTGCCTGTCTCATTAGCATGAAACGTTGTCACAACCAATATATATGTAATATTACTCTCAAGATGAACTGTGAATTGAAATTGCTTCTCGTTGCAACTGTCATCATCATCTGAGAGTTGATTTTCATCTGGATTAGATGGATTGAAATATTCGTTGTAGATAGAGCCGTGTGTGTCCATATTGCTTCTGCTTACGAAAGTGTAAAAGCCATTTGTGAGAACATTAATTTGTATCGCTTCATAGTAAGAATTTGACGATGAACACCAAAAGAAATACGTTGCACTATTCGTTGTCAATTCTGATACATAAGTCGTTTGAAGAACTGATGAAGTATTCACTAACGAAAAAGAAAATCGATTCAATTTTGTATCATATCGGAATAAGTAGAAAGAACTTGAAATATTGCTTTCACTTTAAAATACATTTATCGAAAGCAAATGAAAGTGATTTGGATGTTGATGTAAATAAGAATCATGATACTTTCACTCTCGAGATAATATAGGATATTCTGTGATATCTTTTATATCTCGAGTTGCAAAGAGAACATATTAGTTTTGTTACATCTTGTACAAAATATCGATAATATGAAGTTCATGCTCTCAGAAAACTGTGGATACGAATCTTATTCTCTATCGAACTGAAATATCTGTATACCATTTTGTAGATTGCATTTAACTATATTTTCTAGGGGTGATGGATATGTGTATTTGATTATCCATTAAAATACTATAGATACTCACAAATACGATTGAAATCGATATAGCTTGGGCCGAATACTTGAATTGCAGCGTTTCCTGTTATATTCGAAAAATGTGTTGTTATAACGAAAACGTATATTATGTTGGCATGAAGTGCGACTCCAAGTTTAAATTGACTTCGATTATAAGAGTTTCCATTAGGAATGAGCACATTATTGGACACATCGAATGGATTGAAGTTGTTTATATATATATGAGCATACGTGGTTTTCATCTCAGTATTAATTCGAAAAGTATAATATCCAGTTACAGTAACGTTCATTTGTATCGCTTCATAATGCGAATCGAACTCTGAACAATTTTGGAAATACGTTGAACTATTCGAAGTCAGTGATGCTGAGTACATTGTTTCTGTAATTATTGAATTATCTATTGAATGAAAAAAATCAATGAGTATTTACATTCAGAATAAAGAAAAGAAATGATTGCGCATATTCTTAAGTTGCTTTCTATTGTGTTTACTAATGAGAATTGAATCGTTTGTTTTAGACCAATGCTATCAATAGTGAAATGAGATAAAATGTCTATTCAGTGTCTTTACAATAAGTATCGATATTAGCCCTTAACATCTGCATGTTCTTTCCAAGAGACGTTGTAATAATTACAATAAAGTAATGTTAGAAAACCTCGTATACAAAAATGAGTACTATTCTGGACTAAGAAAGTCTGGTAAGTCATGGACTTACAAATTTAAAACTTTTTCATTCTCATATCACCTTTAAATTTTTCTTCTTTTATAAATATAATGAAGAACATTAGTTTTTTGCCGATATCGCTAACCATAACAATAAACTATCTGATGAAACTATTTCACAAAGTTCTAGTCGATCTACAAGTATGGCACAACATCATCAAGAAAACGTCGATTGGAAGTGATATTCGATGCATTGTTAAAATATTACAAGAGCGGCTCTTTAATTACTTTTTATTTTAATAAAGCGTGACTTGAATAACCAGGTAAGGATGGAACTTTTTCCTTCTTCTCGTTGTTGACATCTTTCTGTGAAGACACTGACCTACATTTAAATCTCACTCCTTTGTGATAGTCCTGATTTCATTTTCGGTGGTCAACTAAAACTATGACTGCACATATAATATGATTGTTTTCTCATATTGAGAGTAAAGGTGACATTCTGAATCTCTAAGATTGCATCACGAGTTGTGATTAACACTCGAGCATAGGGTCATTTCTGTCTCTGACAGATGTTTTATATCGAAGAAGCTGAAAGCACATTGAACAACTATGCAAAACGACTTTTTGTTGATTTCAAAGCAATTTGTGGAACTTTTTTGTACTAAAATATAAAAATCCTACATGACAAATTCTTCTTTACATCGATATTTACTTTGAAATGTTTTTAATTCGTTAAAGATCTGATGAATTTCGATGAAAATTCTACTTCTCATGAGTGTCTTGCGTTTCATAAAATCATTCTGTTCATTATTCTGTACAGTCAGAAGAAGTAAGTCAATATAAGTAATGCCCAATCAAAGTAAATTTGTGAACAAAGTTCAATGAACATATGCATCATACAACTCGCATGACGATAATATTATCGACTGACTTTTGTAGAGGATTATGAATAAACAAGCTTTTAGTCTTATAATAGCAATACAGTAGGATAAAACTCGAAATTTGAATTCATTTCACCAATAATTCAATTCAAAATCCCTTAGGAGCTTCATTTCCACCTTCATCTTCTAGCGTTATTTTTAATCTTAATTTTCCCTTAATAAATATTAACTGCAATGATGTTAAAGACTTTATTCGATTCTTCTACACTTACCACACAATTCTTCCAAATATTCAAATTTTTGAATCCGATCATTCCATCGATCAGTAACAAACATGTTTCCAGAATGATCGAAACTAAAACTAAATGGATGATCCAATTGAGTGGATTGTGATCCCTCTCCATAACATCCAACTAAACATCGAAAACCATTCACGCCTGAACCTACAATGCGATGATTGCCAGTATCCACAATGAACAAATATTTCTTAACATCTAAGACAATTCCATTTGGACAATCAAGTGGTGGATTTAGTGATTTTCTTCCAGCCACTGTGATGCCATTGGATTCTCCTAACTGAAACAACTGAACCCGATCATTGTAACAATCTGCTACATATAAATCTAAGTTTACATCGACAAAGATTCCACCAGGACCATCAAGTTCATCTGAGTCTGATCCTTCAAAACCTGTACCAGCAGCAACACGATTTGAAAGCATCATAGGATCATTCAATGATCTTTTCACTACTTGATCTTCCAAATACATTGAACAGTAAAGAGTATCATAGATATCGACAAACAAACCATCACATCGTGAACTGACATTCATCACCATGGCAAAGGCATCTGTTTCTGCACGCCATCTCTGTACTCGACCATTCTGATCACCATCATCAATATAAATATCACCATTCGGTGTCACGAAGAGTGAAGAAGGATTTGTAAAATTACCATGAATGATCTTTGTTGGATTGACACTCTCTTCATGCCATATTACAATTGTGTTGTCTTCTCCATTAGCGACATAGATTGTGTTGTTTGTATTCACAAAAATAGCGTAAGGATCCGAGCCAACTATCGATTGATCAGCGAAAGTGATTCCGTTGGAATTCCAAATGGCTGTGGGACAAAACCTTGGTTGATTGAATGATAGAGCTAAAAAACAAGAAAAATAAAACTTTTCCAAAGAACTTTGTACAAATGAAAGTTCTTTCTTCCAATGTTGAACATGTTCTTTGTCTTAATAAACTGAATTTTTCAAAAACAACTTTGAAGATGTATAGTTACAGATCTTTCTTTAAAATGTTTATTCAAAATTTCTGAAGTTTTTTCTGATAGAAATTTAAAGTCATTTTAGAGAACAAATCAGAGAAAAATGACAAATGTCTCTGTTTTCTCAGTTATTTCTGTTATTAAGAAAATGACTCGATCTGTCTTAAAAAAAATTCATTACGATATTAAAAAGATAGTGCCATCATACGTCATGTTGATACTGAATGAAAAATGAGACAGAAAATTAGATTTTTTATGATCCTTAATAATTCTTCTTTTCTCTCTACAGATATTCCTCCTATAAATTCTCACTCAAATATGTTCTATCTTAAGCAACTGCACAGGTTCATCATAGATCTCAATATTTCGTCTTTGTTCACTCTAAATGAAACAATTTTTTTTGTATTTTCAATATCATTTTGGGAAATTATAAAAATATTAACATATATCTCTATCATTGACAATTACATATATAAGACTTACAGACTGCCTTCGACTATCCAATACTTCTCACACCAATTAAATATTATGCTCATTGTCGAAAGAACAACTCATCAATCAATCATTTTTATGTGAGAAGATTCATTTTATAATATCTGATATTGAAATTTATCTTTCTCAAAGAAGAATCATAAGTAAGTTCATCCTGCAAAAAGAAAATCTAGTCGTTAGAGTTGCAACATTTCATCTGTTTTATGACTCCTTGAATCAAACATACTGATTAAAATATAAAGTCAAATCATAGAATATTTTATATTAGAAGTATATCGAGCAATATTGTTTTATTAATGAAATGTTCTTTGATATAAATGAAATGAAGCATCAAAGGTTTTTATAACATTTCATCGGGGACAGAACTTTTTCTTTCTCCTTTCTATAATCATAACAAAAAGATGAAGATTGCTTATCTTATAGAACTGAGACATAGCTCTGTCTGATCTGAACATTTTATTTCCTTATACTCGTTCTTTTACACATTAGTCTAATTAGTCTTTCATTCTCAAACAAAATCTTTTTCAACCAAAATCTTTCTCAACCATTTTTCTTTTCTTTCATTTTTCCTGTTGAAATGTATTCATTTACTCCTATTGTTTATCTATTCACATCTCATCTCACTCTTCTTTTCTTCAACTTACCAAAAGAATCATTCATCAATAAAAACTTTTGAATTCGATGATTTAATTGATCAGTAACAAACATGTTCCCAGAATGATCAAAACTGAAACTAAATGGGTTATATAACTGATTGGATTGAGATCCCAGTCTGTAACATCCAGCTAAACATCGAAAACCATTCAAGTCTGATCCAACAATGCGATGATTTTTCAGATCCACAATGAATAAATATTTTTCAGCATCTAATATAATTCCGTTTGGACAGTCAAGTGTAATTGTTGGATTTAGTGATTCACTTCCAGCCACGGTGATACCATTGGATTCTCCTAACTGAAACAATTGCACCCGATTATTTTCACAATCTGTTACATATAAATCTAAGTTTACATCGACAAAGATTCCACCAGGACCATCAAGTTCATCTGAGTCTGATCCTTCAAAACCTGTACCAGCAGCAACACGATTTGAAAGCATCATAGGATCACTTAATGATCTTTTCACCACTTGATCATCATGAAATATTGAACAGTAGAGAGTATCATAGATATCGACAAACAAACCATCACATCGTGAACTGACATTCATCACCATGGCAAAGGCATCTGTTTCTGCACGCCATCTCTGTACTCGACCATTCTGATCACCATCATCAATATAAATATCACCATTCGGTGTCACGAAGAGAGAAAAAGGATCTGTAAAATTACCGTGAATGATCTTTGTTGGATTGACACTTTGTTTATGCCATATTATAATTGTGCTATTTTCTCGATTAGCAACATAGATTGTGTTGTTTGTGTTTACAAAAATGGCGTAAGGATTCGAACCAACAATCGATCGATTAGCAAAAGTAATTCCATTGGAATTCCAAATGGGTGTTGGAGAAAACCTTGGTTGATTGAATGATAGAGCTAAAAAAACGAGACGAATAAAGGTTTTTCAAAAATACTCACAACAAAAAGATGAACATTGTTTATCTTATAGGATCGACACATGGCTCTGTCTGATCTAAACATATAATTTCCATATACTCATTCTTTTAAATGTTAATCTAATTAGTCTTTCATTTTCGAACAAAACTTCTCGCAACCATTTTTCTTTTCTTTCGTTTTCCCTATTAAAATGTATTCATTTATTCCTATTGTTTATCCATTCACATCTCATCTCACTCTTCTTTTCTTCAACTTACCAAAAGAATCATTCATCAATAAAAACTTTTGAATTCGATCATTCCATCGATCAGTAACAAACATGTTTCCAGAATGATCGAAACTAAAACTAAATGGATAATCCAATTGATTGGATTGTGATCCCTCTCCATAACATCCAACTAAACATCGAAAACCATGCATGCTTGATCCAACAATGCGACTATTGCCTAGATCCACAATGAATAAATATTTCTCAGAATCTAATATGATTCCCTTCGGACAGTTAAGTGTAATTGTTGGATTTAGTGATTCACTTCCAGCCACTGTGATGCCATTGGATTCTCCTAACTGAAACAATTGCACCCGATTATTTTCACAATCTGTTACATATAAATCTAAGTTTACATCGACAAAAATTCCACCAGGACTATCGAGTTCATTTGAGGCTGATCCTTTAATACCTGTACCAGCAGCAATACTATTTGAAGTCATTAGGGGATCATTCAATGATATTTTCACTACTTGATCTTCCAAATACATCGAACAGTAAAGAGTATTATTGATATCGACAAACAAACCATCACATCGTGAACTGACATTCATCACTGTGACAAAGGTATTTGTTTCTATGATCCATCTCTGTATTCGACCATTTTTAAAACTATCACCAATATAAATATCACCATTTGATGCCACGAAGAGAGACCTGGGTTCTATAAAATTACCGGTAATGATCTTTGTTGGATTGACACTTTCTTTATGCCATATTACAATTGTGCTATTTTCTCGATTAGCAACATAGATTGTGTTGTTTGTGTTTACAAAAATGGCGTAAGGATTCGAACCAACTATCGATTGATCAGCGAAAGTGATTCCATTAGAATCCCAAATAGGTGATGGAGGAAACTTTGGCTGATTTAATGAAAGGGCTAAAACGAGAGAAATAGAAAGAATATTAGAGAAGAACTGTAAACGAGATGAAATTATTAATTATGTTTTTTCTTGCCAAAATTCTTTGAGATTAATTTTCAAATAATTTGTAAATATGAACTAAGAGAGGGCTGACTTCATCGAAGAAGATCAATTTTATTTATTGAATTTTTTGTTGTAAAAGAAAAATAATTATGTTTGATCTTTGAAAAGATATGATTATCATTGAAGACAAAAAAATAATCGAACAATTTTTTTATTTGTCAGACGAAAATAAATTTGAAGGAAGAAAAAAGAATTGTTTGAAATGAAAATAACTCAATTGAAATTGATTGAGATCTAAACAAAATGCCTTTGAAATTCAAAATCAGTTTTCTGTTTTGTATGAAAAACATTGTGAATATATTGATGTTAAATCATTTCAATTAAATATCATCATCTTTGTCAACGATCTGCATTCACTCAATACCGCCATTGTCATCGGTCATAACAGCCTACTAAATTTCATCACCATTTATATTCTCACTCAACTTTTGTGCTCTCTAAATCTTACATTCACCCCTCCACGTTCGAAAAACACCCATAACACTATCCAATACTCGTGGAAATGGTAAATTTATGAGCGTCGTCGAGACTGATGATTTTATATTTTGTTCGATAATATACTTTGAAAATAATTTTAGATAGAAACTTAAAAGCTTCACCATGGCTTTTACGATGAAATAATAAACAATGTATAGAAACAGTCGCTTTACCTATTTGTGTTTTTACATGAACGATTCAAAAATTTTACCGATATGACACACACATAACTTATATTTTATCAATAGTAGTTATAGCAATATTTTATAATTTCAACGCAGTTTAACAATAAAATGAATTGCTGTAGAGAGACGCATTCTTTAAATGAGCTAGATTAGAGTCTAGAAGAGATGAGAACCATCACTTTTGAATATATGACAGAAATTTGTTGTCTAATTCTATAATCTTAATTTCCCTTTGTTCAACTAAAACTCTAGCGAATAATGTCATTTGTGCAATATCTGATCTTGAGTATGTGATAAATAAAAGTATTTACCTGATGTTTTATTGTTGAGAATGAACACCAGAATAATGATAAATACGTACATATTCCACATCATTCAACAAGATTTTTTTGATAAATTAGTTAAGTAATAAAATAATCTTTTTCTTCTTCTTTGTCTTCGATGAAAACAAAATGACACTCGTTGTAGCTTTTCTCTCTAGTTATATCTCTCTCTCTTTTTCTCTCATTTATTTCTTCCAACATAACAAAGAGAAAAAATAATGTTCTAGAGAAGGTTTCGTCGTACACAAGATAAAAAAATCGATTTCAGATTTGATTTATGAATCAAATTCATCATTTTATTTGACATTTTCCGATGAGTTTTATTCTCTTCAAAAGCGCAAAATGAAATTTAAATTTGAAATAATCATTTTCTTTTTTGATTGTATAGAAAAAAACTTTGATTTAAATAAAGAAGAACGTGATAAAGAGAAAGAAGAATTGATAAAAATCTGCATTAATCATCGGACGTGTTTTCAGTGAAAACAAGATATCAACTATCATCGTCAATAAATGATAGACGTTAATGAATAAGTCATGATTAGTCTGATGTCTTTTTCTGTTTGACTCTGTTAAATAATCTGCTTTGTCAGGATCCATTTTTAATCACGTTCTTTATTTCTCTATGCGCAATAAGTATTTTAGAAAAAAAGTACTTTTTTTTGAGTATTTTGATCTGTTTTAGAATGAAAACTTATCAGACATATAAAATGCAGAATTGTTCAGCGCGATACGATATATTTTTCTAAGAGACCTCAGAAAAAAATGTATGAATTAACTCTAATGTCAATATTCGTAATGATAACACTCTGAAAATGGGCAGATCTTATCAATTAGTAGCAATAATTGTATTCAAACATAATCACAGTTGTGATATTCAAATCAATTATAATATCATGTCAACCTTAAAATAATTTCAATAATATTTCAAATAAACAAATATTAGACAATGAAGGTATTGGTAAATAAGTGAACTGATCTTATGATGGGTGTGGGTATTATCTTACATTCATATCCACACCCACACCCTGAAAACTATCTCATACAGTAATTCTGAAATATTAAGCAGGTTTGCATTCTATTTTGTCGTTAGTTCGACATATTTTCTGATCACTTTCGATTTAGAAATGATATTTTTAGAAATGAAAACTACATTGACATAAAATTTTATTAAACAAGAAGCTGAAACTTGATACAAGAACTTTTTTCAAAAACAACACTTTCGAAATTTATGAAATTTCGTCTTAATACTTCCATCTATAGTTCAAAATCAAGGCTGATAAACGAAGATATGTGCATGCGAAGGTGGATGGACATAAAGAATAAATTTTCATCTTCACTCCAAGTATTCTTCATTTGTCAACATATCAGAAATAGTTTTGTCTTTTGCCAATACTATTCCAACAAATTAGAGAAATTCGAGAATAATGAAGAAATATTGATTATGGATGGCGTTTGTCGTTGCCATCGTTTGAGTGATTCTTGAAATGTTTTTCTGTACAATTTCGAAGGAAGAACAAAAACAATAAAGATAAGCATTGATGGAGTAAATGAAATGAAATAACCAAAAATGAATAGTAATCGATGATTAGATGGATTAACACATTCAGATAACATTGACATTATCAGACGGGGTAAGGACAGAATCAGAAGGATGATCGGACTAATCAATAATTGTTTGTGTTCATTAAATTGATTGTAAACATGTTCCCTTAGAGTTTGTCTTCTCTGAGCTGTTGATCGTTGTCGGGCTGATCCAAATATGATGAATAAAGCAGAACAAAGATTGATAATACATGGGGCAACAAGATGAAAGAACAGAATGATTGTATTGTATTGTTGAACAGAAGGAGAATAACGAGTTACACACCATCTACCGATCTCCGCTGTGTTCGTTTCTGCCTTTACCTCATGCAATTCACGATATATAGGTTCGTGAATGATTGAACCCATGATACAGAATGGTAAAATAAGAACTGTCCATCGAGCAATGCATTGACTTTTCTGTTTATTGAAGTTAACTCCTCTGAAAACGAGAACCGCTCTTTCAATGGCTACACAAGCATTGAGCCATGCATCTGCATATAGACAGAGCTTAAGAAGAGGTTCGATCAACACACAACCTCCTCGCACAACAGAAACATGAATCGATAGATTCATTTGAGTGAGAACAACAAACCAAAACTTTACTGTAAACATGCTGATCGTTAGAAAAGAAGTAATTGATGATGCCAAGAGATAGATGCCACACCCAACCTGTCGTAACTCTTTACTTTGAAATGTTAGTAGAGACAACATACTACTGATCAAACCTCCAATAAACATAATCATCGTTAAAGCGGCGTTGATTTTCACTAATATTGTTTGATCAGTCATTGTTATATTCGGTCGAGTCTGGTCACGTAAAATATCATCGAGAGTAACACCAATACTTTTTTTGTAGAACTGACATTTTTGACCAATGAAACAATTGGTCAGACTTTGAGCTAAAGAGAGAAAGGGATGAGATTAATCTTTCTTTACTTAACAAAGCCACGTCGGCGTAAATTTGTAAGGAATAATAGTCTATTAAAGTTATTTGTCTATACATGGTATGTCGTGTTGAGATTAGATTTCTACATTCTTATTTTTATCTGATTGTAAGAAAGCTATTCGATTTCAAAAGGAGGAATTCCGATGTAATACTATTTTTGGACAATTCTCTGTTAATGATTTACAAATAATACAAAATACTTACTGTAAGGATCAAGAGTGATATTATTTGGGCCAGATGTTAAAATGGAAAATTTTCCTGTCTTATTGGGAGACGATGTTGTCACCACTAATATGTACTTAGTGTCACTGTGAAGATAAACGATAAAATTGAAATCTTCATAACTACAACTTCGATAATTTTGTGAGAGTAAATTCTCGAAAGGATTCAATGGATTAAAATCATCTTTGTAAATATAACCATATGTATCCATAGTGCTATCACTACTCAGAGCATAGTATGCATTTTCCACTATATTCACTCGTATAGTTTGATAGTAATAATTTGATTCTCGACAATCTCGAGAATATGTTTGACTATTCATAGTCAACTCTGATGAATAATTCGATTGTACAGTTGACAGATATGGTTTTCGCATGGCTGATGGCGAACCTACATGATGAAAACAAATATAACAATCGAGATTCGTGACAGATCTTGGTTGACTGAAAGAAAGAGGAATCGTCTGGATGTAAGAAAGAAAATTGAGCATCATAAGTCGTCTCTTATACATCGTGAGTATCGAAAGGCATGTCGAAGCTGGGCCTAGTTTTCTGAAGAGATAACTTTGCATAATATTACTCTCAATGAAATAATTAAGTCGTAAATAGAGAGTGAGAATAGAATCTATAAACATTTTTCTGTACTCGAAATCTCGATAATGTATGTTAAGAATGAGTTTGGAATAAGTTCTTTATTGTCCCAACGTTTTAGACAAGAAAAATTGTGTATTTACAGGCTAATTCTGCTACTCTTTAATTTATTCAAAAATTTAAGTATGTAAAGATATTTTTAGATCTACACAAAGTAAATTTAACAAAAAGCAAAGTTTTTTTCCATTTCATGAGCACCTGTAGGGATTCATACCGATTTGTGTACTATTCACATCATAATAGCGATCGATTAATCTGATCCTATTTACAATATTCTGTTATTTAATGGATATGATGTAGCTGTTTGTGTGAAGCTTTCTCTTTATAACACAAATGTTATCTTACAAAACGATTTACTCATGTTATCGTTGGCATATATTCACTTAACAGTTGTAATGCAAACACTTACTAATATTCTTGAGATCAACATTCCCTGGGCCAGATACAAAGATTGAGAATTCACCTGTCACCTTGGAGAAAAATGCGGACACAACCAATATATATGTAATACTACTCTCAAGAGCAATTGTGAATCTAAACTGATCTTGATCGCAGCTATCATCATTGTCTAAGAGTCGATTTTCAAATGGATTGGATGGATTGAAATATTCATTGTAAATCGAACCGTATGTGTCCATATCGCTTTTGCTGAAGAAAGTGTAAAGACCACTTCTACGAACATTCACTTGTATCGCTTCATAGTAAGAACTTAACCCTGAACAGTGAGGGAAATACGTTGAACTGTTCGTTGTCAATTTTGATATATAAATTGTTTGAACAACTGATGAAGTATTCACTAATGAAAAAGAAGATCGATTCAATTTTGTATAATAAGGAAACAAGTGTAAACAATTTGAAATATTATTTTCTCTCTCTCGGATACATTTACCAAAAGCGACTGGAAGTTATATGAACCTTAGTCTCTATTGAACAGAACTAATTATGTATCATTTTATAGATTGAGTTTATCTTTATTTTCTACCGATGATGAATATGTGCACTTGATTATCCATTAAAATACTATATAGATACTCACAAATACGATTGAAATCGATACAATTTGGGCCAGATACTTGAATCGAAACATTTTCTGTTAAATTCCGAGAAGATGTTGTTATAACGACAACATATATCATGTTGGCTTGAAGAGCAGCTGTGATTTTAAATTGACCTTGATTATCAGAGTCTCCACTATGGCTCAGCACATTTTTGGATACATCGAATGGATTGAAGTTATTCGTGTAGATATAAGCGCCCATGGTCTTCATCTCGCTGTTGATTAAAAAAGCATAATATCCAGTGATAGTGACATTCATTTGTATCGCTTCATAATAGGAACCTAATTCTGAACATTCTTGAAAATAAATTGAACTATTTGGTGTCAATGATGATGAATACATTGATTTTATTAGTAATGAGTTATCCACTGAATGAAAAAAATCAATGAAATTTAATTGATGGTTATTAACATTCAGCCTTAACAGATTAAAATATTCTAGCAGACAATTAATTCTTTAGTTATATGTTTTTCGATAAAGTGTGTCTTGAGCATATAGGTAAAGACGGAACCTTTTCTACCTCACTGACTTCGATTCAAATCTCACTCCTTTGCACGAATAGTTTTTGTAAATTTCAAAGCTATTTGTGAAACTTTTATTGTATTCTGCAGTATTGAATTGAATGCAAGAAATTTTTTCTTCTCATGAGTATTAAAAGTCAACGTATGAAGAGAGTTATGAATACACAAGCGTTTAGTTTTATAACAACAGTACAGTAATTTTCTCTGAATAAGTATTGATTAAAACGATGTAAGAGACTGTATTCAATCATTCTAAACTTACCACATGATTCTTCCAAATATTCAAATTTTTGAATTCGAGAATTTGATGTATCAGTAATAAACATGTTCCCAGAACGATCAAAACTAAAACTAAGTGGACTATTCAATTGATTGGATTGTGAACCCATTCCATAACATCCAACTAAACATTGAAATCCATTCAAGCTTGAACCGACAATGCGATGATTGTTATTATCTACAATGAATAAATATTTCTCAGCATCTAATGTAATTGCAGTGGGATAGTAAAGTTCGGTTGTTGGTTTTAGTGATTCACTTCCAGCCACTGTGATACCATTTGATTCTCCCAGCTGAAACAACTGAATCCGATCATTTCCACAATCTGCTACATATAAATCAAAGTTTACATCAACAAAAATTCCACCAGGACCATCAAGTTCATTTGATGCTGATCCTTCAATACCTGTTCCAGCGGCAACACAATTTGAAGTCATTAGAGGATCATTCAATGATCTTTTCATTACTTGATCTTCCAAATACATTGAGCAGTAAAGAGTATCATTGATATCGACAAACAAACCATCACATCGTGAACTGACATTCATCACTGTGACAAAGGTATTTGTTTCTACTATCCATCTCTCTACTCGACCATTCTTAAAACCATCATCAATATAAATATCACCGTTTGATGTCACAAAGAGAGAAGATGGATCTATAAAACTACCAGAAATGATCTTTATTGGATTGACACTCTCTTCATGCCATATCAGAATTGTGCTATTTTCTCGATTAGCGACATAGATTGTGTTGTTTGTGTTCACAAAAATGGCGTAAGGATCCGAACCAACTATCGATTGATCAGCGAAAGTAATTCCATCAGAATTCCAAATGGCTGCTGGACAAAACCATGGTTGATTGAATGGAAGTGCTAAAAAACGAGAAAATAATAGAAAGAATATTAGAGAAGAAATGTAATAGAAATGAAATTATTAAGCCATGTCCTTTTGAAAATTCATTGAAATGAATCTCACTCACCCACAGCCTCTAGACATCTATAACACTACTCAATACTCGTGAAAAGCGTTAACTTATAAAAGTCATTGAGATTATGACAGATGCTGTCAGTCTAACGAATAAGACCGTTTGTGCACTGATTGATCTTTGATATGTGATAAATAAAAGTATTTACCATATATTTCATTGCTGAGAATAAATAGTAGGATGTTAATGAATACGTGAATATTCCACATCATTTAAGTTCAAGATTTCTTTGATAAATCAGTCAACTGATAAGATAATCTTCTTTATCTTTGATGAAAACAAAATGATATTCATTATGAATTTTCTCTCTAGTTATATCTCTCTTTCTCTTTCATTCATTTCTTCTAACATAACACAAAGAGAAAAAATAATGTTCTAGAGAAGGTTTAGTCGCAAATAAGATAAAAAATTGATTTCAGATTTGATTTATGAATCAAATTTATCATTTTAATTGACATTTTTAGATGAACTTCATTTTCTTTGGAAACATAGAGTGAAATTTAAATTCGGAATGATCGCTTTGTTTGACTTTATAGAAAATCTGCATTAATCATCGGACGTGTTTTCAGTGAAAACAAGATATCAACTATCATCGTCAATAAATGATAGACGTCAATGAATAAGTCATGATTAGTCTGATATCTTTTTTCATTTGACTCTGTTAAATAATCTGCTTTGTCAGAACTCACTTTTAATCACGTTCTTTATTTTTCTATGCGCAATAAGTACTTTTGAGAGAAAATACATTTTTTTGAGTATTTCGATCTGTTCTTCAATAATATTTCAAATGAACAAACATTAGATAATGAAAGTATCGGTAAATAAATGAACTGACTTCATGATGAAATGTAAGAAAAGAACAAACTTATGTGTTTCAATATTTTGCTATCGTAGAAAAGACTAATTTTTCTAATAATGATAGGTAGATATTATTCATATATAATATCGAAATAATATTTTGATAATAATTTATATAAAAAACGATAAATTGGACTTTAATCATGAAGAAGATCGATATCATCAGAATAATACAAGAGTTCGAGAAATAATTCAAATGCCTTTGGTTGATTTTTTTCTGTAAATAGAGATTATTTTGTAAGTCTTATACAGAATAACCGAAGAACAAAAAAGACCGAACTAATAGTTAATAATATTAATTTCTTCAACCGAGTAAATCAATGCATAATTCATAACTTGAAAATCTAATCAAAAATAGAAAAATATATTTAGTTTTTTTGAAAATTTAACAAATTTAAAGTTGCAATTATTTCTACCATTAGAAAAAAATGTCATCGCGTATAACGATGACGGGGAAATTTATGCATATACAATACTGATCAATGTGAAGAGGGTGTAGATCTAAATAGATGTGGTTCCTAGTTGATACTCACAACTAACATTCATAAATGATATATACTTCGGTACCTAAAAGTATTTCAGATTTCATTGTGATTTTTTGATGAATAAATAACGAATGTATGTTTCATTAATATCTGTAAAGTTCATATTTTCAACCAATAACTATATTGATTAGTTTTCTTTCTCTCAATGTAATTATAACAGTCTGGTAATGCGTTAAAAAATGACACATGTTTAAGAAACGAAAAAATAAAAAAATTATCAATACATATTTATTGCAAAAGTTTTACTACACAGGTGACAATATAATATATCATATTAATTTATTTTTTGATGTTTATCTCATATTTTTCATAGCATAGTTTGACCAATAATTACTCATTATAAATATATGATTATAAAATACATATTTATAATAAACAGTATATTAATCTTCATTTACAGAAAATGAATCGAAACAAAGCTATCAAATATATGACTAAAAATAATATTATTTCTCGAAGAAAAGAGAGCATGCAAAAAAAAGATAAAGGAGGACAAAAATGAAGCAGTAGTACATGATAAAAAAGCTTTTAAAGATTATGTCTCAGTTTTTGATATCATGGCCATTCTCATTCGTTTCTTCTTAGCCTTTTGTTCTTGCATAAACTTGTGTACACCAATAAATATAACACTTAATAAAATCAATGCACTTCCAAGTAAAACCCATAAATTAGATTTATTCTTTGTAAATAAATTCTGTAGAAGAACAGCAAAGATAATATCTGATGCTGCAACAATTGTAGTAATAGAAGGTGGTTCACGACTTAAAGCACGAATTCCACAGATTACTCCAAATATTTGTATTAGACTAATTAGTCCAGCTATCCAATATTTCCATTGAAAGATTGTTAACGTAAAGAATGTTACATCATTTAGAAGAAAATATTTATACAATTGATTAAATATCAGACATACGAGAATGGCAAAAGATTGTTGCAGAATTAAAGCACTTGATTTAATTTTTAACGTAATCAATTGTTTGAGAATTAGAGTGCTAAATGCAAATACAAGGCCTGTCATTAGCGCAAGAGAAGTACCAATTGTTCGATCATTAAAATAATACATATTGTGTATATTCGTTTCATTTAATATTACTCTTGTTATATTTGGAGTAATCTCTACTACTCTGTTTTGTCTAAAAATAAATGTTGGTTGTGCTACGAAAACAACACCGATAAATGTAAAACAAACAGATAAAAGAATCATTATTGTCGATTTTTCTTTATATAGAAGTATACCAAAGACAACTGTCCACATTAAACGTGTAAAAACGAGTGTTGTGAAGTCAGGAAAAGGAAGATAACGAAGACCAATAAAATATCCAAGAAATAGAGAACAACTTAGAATACATAAAATAAATTGTAACCATTTTTCTTTTAATGATCCTATCCACACTGTATAGTCATGATAGATAACGAAGATTATACATAGAAGAATCTGTACTATAATACGTATGATAACTGCATCGAGTAAATCAATTTGTAATTCTTTAATAATGAATGTAGGTGTAACGTAGAAAAAAGATCCTAAAATACCGTATAAAATACCAGACACAGAAGATAATTTCGATACGGCTACTGTCTCACCATCATCATTATCATCTTCTTCTGTTGCTATTAATAACAGAGCTGGTTCTACCAATGTGAGTATAGATGAAGTACGTCGAAGTTTGACAACATTATCATTGTCAATAATAGAGGAAGATACTAACAGATGTTCTTGATTGTCATTATTCTGTTCTGTTATATTCATATCGATGTCTAATAAACTGAATTTTTTTCAGTAGAAAAGGTAAAAGTGAAGAATATATATTTTTTACTTGTATAATTACATATTCAGAAAGGTGTGATGAAAATAATAACAACATGAGTTTGAATGAGAAAAGAAACAATCAACCTTGAAGAAAAAAAGAAAATTGATTGCCATCTGAATTGCTCTCAACGTGTACAAAAGTTAGTGAGAATATGGAAGAATTTTTGTTTCAATATCGGCCAGGAAACAACTCGAGAAAAATAACATTTCTATCAATTTAGAGAAAGTTCAGCAATTGTCACAGATCATTTGATAAAAAATATATATTCTCACTCATCTTACTTTTAACAAAATATGAATGATGATTAGCGGGTACCGTTTTCCATGATTTTACACTAATTGCAATCTATGCTTATATCTATCATCTGTGTGAAACAGCACAACAAACAAGTAAATAATGACTAGTTCCTTCTATTCCATCCAACAGAAATAATGTATATAATAAGTTTTTTTTTATTAATGATTAATGTAAATATTGATATAATAAAAAAAACAAATTTTTTCTAGTCTCTGTTTAGCTGCGCGCGTATTGTTCTAGAGACTCTCGAGTCTAAAACTATGAATTTGATTTTTTTTCTGTTTTAAAAAATGTCCATGCTTGAAGACCCGCTAATGCATTCACTTGTTTTTTTTCTATTATTTTCATTGTATCAAATTCTACAGTGATCGCCCAAACACTTATTTGGATTTGTTGTAGATCACTTTGTTGAATCAAAAATAATATTTGACGAGTTGATTCATCAAAGAGTGCTTGAACAGATTGAACAAACCATCCAAATGGTGTTTTCAAAAGAGATGCTTCATTATGAAGTTTACCGGTATAAGGATTTATATAGATCATCATAGTATCTGTAAAAATCGTTCCATGTTTCCATGTTACAAGTACAAGTTTTGTCTTTATATCATAAGTCATGGTATACGGTTCAACGAATTCTGGTAATTTCTGAAATTCAGTAACGATATCTTGTTTTTTTCCAACAAGATTCAAATCCATTTTCATATAATATGCATCGTAATGTTGACCAGCAGATACTATTCGAATTTCTACAATCCAGTTCTCATCTGGATTAAATACAGAACAACCTTGACAAGCAAAACCATATTGTGTTCCATTTTGTCGTGTATATTCTTGTATAACTTCTAATGTCGTTGTATTATATTCTTCCATGATATATGTAGGTGTATACACATCACGTAAACCAAAAAGACGTTGACGATGTGAATCATAATAAAGATAATAAAATGTTCCAGTTTTTAAATACCAGGAGCTTTGCGCATAAGTTTTCTTTTGTAAATCATATTTTAACAGAAGCAAACGTGATATTTCAGCGTGACATTGTAAAGGCATAAATATTGTTGAATATGTATTATTCATAACAGCAACAGGACCTGGTTCAAAACAAAAAACATCTGTTGTATTATCCGAAACAACAGAAAATGAAAAATTTCCATAGAATTCAAATGTTGTTGATTGAGGATCATAAGTGTTGATATCTCCATAATATGGAGGTCTATTAGATATATATATATAAGAGAAATATGAAAAAAGAATATACATATATATTTTGGTTTCTATACCCTGAATATCCTGAACATGGTGCGATAGCATAATATACAATTGATGAGGATAAAGTAATAGTTTGAAAAAATAGAAGAGTAAACAAGACCAACATCATGTAGAATTGATGCATGTTACTCGAACAAAATGATGATATTCTTTTTTTATTTGACTTTATATGTCTTATCATTAGAAAAGATAACATTTTATTTTTATTTGACTATATGTTCTTATCTCGCTACCTAAAGATTCAATTTTTGCTATTAAAAACAACTATGTTGTTTTGTTCTTCCTAAATATCTCGAAGATGTGAGTGAGAATGTGCTAATGTTTATGTGTGAGTGTGGGTATGACTTTGGTTAGTGACCTTTTCTTTATCAACACCACTCATCCCCATCTTCACTCCCACCACCACCTACACACACACTCATCCACACCCGCATTGAAATATAAAATCAGAACAACAAAAATAGTGATTCATACAAACATCTTTCTCTTGTTACAAAACAATACAACATGCGCTAGAGTGTGTGATGATTCTATTTTGGGTTGCTACTGAGCTACTGTTTGTAATTGCTCCGGAGCGTGCCATTTCAAGATCGGTTTCGCTTGTCATCTGTGTCTGATTGACTTTTTGTACATCATCGTGCCTAGTTGGTCTTTGGGGCTTTTCGGTCTCTGAGTTTTCGCCATCGCGTATATATCTTCCGACAACATCATCATAGTTTAAAAGCTGATAATCATCATAGTTTAAAAGCTGATCATCATCATCCTCTTTGTTGATACTTAACTTCCATTCATCTGTTGTGTGCAGTTCATTCGAGGTTTCAGAATCATTATCGTCCAATGTATTCCCGCTGTGCTCCTCTTCTAATTCTTTTTCAAACAAACAAGCAGCCAATCGTACCGCTTTTTCCGAATTGATGAAGTCAATATCCTCTTCAGTTAGGTCTGCATCGACAGTCATCGGCGTTTTTGAGGGCACGTTATTGTCAGCATCACTGATCAAGTGTTTAACAAGTAAATTATATACGGCATCTTTTAGCCGGCCCACATTATTATAGATATTCTTCGCATATTTTTCTTCTTGTTCTTCGATCAACCACAGTTCTTCACTAGATGTCGGATCAGCAATTACTTCGGTTAACGCTTCTTGTGTCTTCGCTAATGGAATAATAGCTAACTGAGTAAGACGAATCAACAATTTCGACACCACATAGCGTGTATTCATGGAAACAGACTTTAGATACATGAATAGTTTGCCGATAACTTGTTGATCTTTCACCGACTGGATGCGCCCTAAACAGCGATAGCAAGTGTTTTGCACATATTGTTCGTCCAGAAGACCTTGAAGGAGCATTTCACATAAGTCAGTTGTCAATTCACCAAACGCAGATAGGATAGTGAGACACGCCGCTCTTCGAAAAAAACGCTGTTGTTTGCTTGTGTAGTAAAGAGCACGTTTGAGCTTTTCACCATAACCGCACTCATTGACATAGGCACAAAAGGCTGCAGGTATGTGTTCGACTAGTGCAGCAGCCATGGGGACATAGAGAGGACGTTGGTATTCATATTTATACAAGGCAGAGCTCTCATGGACGATTTGATCAGAAAAATGATGAATATTCTGGTACAGATCGGAGACAAATAATGGAAGTAAATCCGGATGTTGTACAATAAAAGAGGCTGATGTTTCAACCAACTTCTTCGACTTTTCAGTATTGAATATGTCCGCCGTAGCTGCAATGAGAGCACGGTAGCATTCAACATCATCAGATTTCATCAATGTTAGCAAATGATCAGTATCATCAACAGCGCGTGCCAAGGCAAGACGTGTCGCTTGGACAATGTTTGGTGACGAATGTTCGAGCAATTCGAGGAAAATATTTCTATTTTCGTCATCATCAAAACTCTCTTCAAATTCCGAAATGTAGTGGAAATAGCCTCGAATGGCAGTGCATAATACTTCCTCTGAATATTCAGCTCCAGCATTATTTTCAGACTTTGTAGCAGTTTGTATCACGTCTAAGAGGGTTTTTTTCCTCATTCGCGAGAAACTAAGCGCATAGACGGCTGCTTGCTGGATTTCGTTCGATACTGTTTTCTTTATTACATCAGCGATCGCCTCAACTAAAATGGTACCATCTATATTTTTGCTAATTAGACTGATGCCAAGAGCGATGAGAACATTAACTACAAATGTTTGATGATCTTCCTTTGAGATTTTTCCATTGCTAGTACCGATTGGTGGTAATTCGGAAAAGTCAGATTTCAATAAGTCAGCTACGTAAGGAAATAACTGAGGCGATAGTCTTTCGAGAGACACACACAACGACACATCGATATAACCACTGTTCATTACTAACGTCCATGCATTTCCCAGTTGTTGATGGCCGATAATCATATCTTGTTGCGCTCGATTATTCACTATGGCGACACGATATCGCTCGAGTTGCAGAATGGTTTGTAAGTGATTGACTTGGTCGATTGATACTTTAAAAAGCCTTCTCAACAAGATTATTTCACAGTACGAAGAATTATGACAACTCCATGAATACCGGCCCAAAAGTACTAAAACTGCGTCTAAACCTAGCTGCGTACTCGTTCGAATTTGATCATCACCGAATGCTTCTATTAATGAGTCAGCTCGTTGTCGGAATCGATCATGGTCATTACACAAGAGTTTGGAAACGATCATGGTAGCCTTTGAACTCCATAGATTTAACTGAAGATGTAATAATGCTGCATGCCAAGACAAGAATTTAAAAAATGGGTGGTTCTCGAAGTTCAGCCATTGTGCAATGACAGGCAACGCATTGTTTTCAACTGACATGACCGAATGTAGAGATGTGCTTAGATTAACCAAAGCCTTTCTTTCGTCCTCTTGTGAAGCGTAAAAGTGACAAAGACGTTCAGTAGTAAAAGCTTGAGCGTATGTGAGAATGGTTTTGTCTGTGACATTCAGAATCTTTTGCTTTTCGTGCAGAAACAAATTCGGCGAGCTTTGAGTGAATGTTAGAGCGCTCCAAGTAGCGATTTGGTGGCAATCATTAGTCAACTGTGCTAAATACATAGCACTCAATAGTGATATTTCCGACAAAGATAGTTCATGCTTTGAGCTTTGCATGAAGTAATTTAGAAACGAATTAGATTGAAGTGATAGAAATGACTGTGACGCTCCACCTTCTCTTAGATCGCTCTCTTCCATAAACTTGTGTAGATGCGAATGGACATGTTGGCTCTCATAAGATATTTTCGATAACGCTGCGTAAATAGCTTGCCGATCAGAATAACTTATTCGAGAATTTTGAGAGTTTAACTTCGTAAGTAGATCCTGTACGAAACTATCCATATTAGGAACTTTCCTCAGTATTGGGAAACAGCGCACAATAATTGTAGTGTGCAACAATGGTGTCAAATTTGCCTGTATTTTGACCAACTGTTGCTCGAGTTCATCACGTAAAGTTCGTCTGTTCTTAAACTGCAATAGATCTGGGTGAACTCGCGGATGACAAGCAATAGCACACAGTGCATCGAACCGAAGAAGTGGTAGTTGAATACACAATGCTGCCTCGATTGCCTCCCGAAGAAGTGATATTGGATCGACTTCACGAGCATACCAACAAATGTAAACCAAAGAAACAGAAGCAGAGTATAAGTTCACGTTACCTTTTTCATCATGGGGTGACTGCTTAACTAATGCAAGAGCATCTTGGAGACGCGTTTGCTCTTCTTCTTGACTACGTTTGATTATTTGTTCTAGTGTTGATTGGGGGAAATCATCAGGTGGATTCCTTAGTTCAATTACATCATCGGTATACTGATGAGTGTCAGCATCCATTGGCCGTTGTCGTGTATAATCGAAGTCTACCAGCCAATCAGCATCTGAAGTGGAAAGCGTCCATAAAAGACTGACAGCAAGATTTTCCAGTTTATAAACGCGTAACAATGGAAGTAAGCCACATAGTGCATATAAAAGAGACAGTCGTTTGCATGTAGAGCTCGATAATGTCATTAGACATTCAATTAAAATATGTCGAAACGATAGAGTGTTGGGAAAGAGTTGGTTGTCGTTTATTATAATCCCTTGCTGCTGTAATAATCGCGTGAACAAAGCACGCAGGTGTTTAGGTACGAACGACAGCGCATACATAGGATCTTTGTCATTGTGATACATAAGAATCGCTGGTATAGTATCAGATGCAACAGCCATTCGATATTGAGTATCGGTCTCTTCGTCATCTTCCAAAATCCAGAACAAACTGACAAACTGAGGCAGGTGAGAGCATGATTGTTGTTTCGAAGGCAGTGTCATATCACGAGAGAGAAGGCGTTGTAAGCACTCTTCACTTTTTAGTGATTTTGGTAGACTAAATGTAGGATCAGAGCTAAGACGAGCAAAACCCTTTACAGTGGCTTCAGTCATTCGAAGGAAGTCTCCTGAATGTATTTCACTATCACCGGCATAGTCCAAGAGACCATAGATTTTCATACATTCACATATAATCTTTTTTGTTGCGTCTTCAATTTTGCACTTGGTGAAGCACTGGTGTATAATAAATGCGACATGTTTAAGTCTAGACAGTGTGAACGCGAAGATCTTACTCTGTAGTAGATGATGATAAGTCCACAGTTTTTCAACGCCAGAAATACACAAGATTGCCATTAAAGTATCAGCCGTATTTGATGTTTCTTCAGATAGAAAAGATGAAGACAATATGTCATGACATTGCGTTTCTAATCTGCATAGTTTCTCGATTTGTGAAGTTTTTGTATCAATAAAATAATCGATTAGTAATGGAGTGAGCAGTGACGAATTTCGGTAGATATGTCTTGGATCGAATATAACAGTTTTGTCATGACGTTTCAGTCCACCATAGACCGCAATCAGTATAGCCAGAATACTTGGATGAATAGTGCTTAGTTCAAATTCTTTCTGTCTCAGAAAAAATTGCAGGCTACCTTTTGGACTAGACAAGAAATCATGATTCTCGAAAGCAATCTTACTGAGAAGAGTGTCGATTTCAAAGTTATCATTTTTGTCCCGTTTGGACGATAGCTGCAATAGCAACTCAAACACTGAGAAATCGATCCAGCCAAAGTTACGATCATTCTCTATTTTGCACCGGATTAAACGACACAATGCCCGGACGGTTTCAGACTTTTGAGATAAATGTTGAGATAGAAAACGGTGAATGAAATCAGTAACACTAGCATCTGGTAGTTTGTCCACTGATTTCAATAATTGTGTGAAAAGATTTGGAGAAGTCGAATACCAGTTATCGCGACCAGCCGCTACTAGCAACAGATCAAGTACATCAAAAAGTACGTCTGAAGATAGTGGCTGACTAAGATCATTTCCACATGATATTAATAATAGCGGTGCTAATGGTACGAAGAAATTTGCCGCTCGAGACTCACTCAGGAATGCAGAACATATGCTGTCAAAGTAGCCTTTTTTCTGATTTAAACTCAGTTTACCAAAGGCAAGTGATAGAATAACACGAAATCGTGGATCATAGATATGCTGATGAAGCGATTGTGCTATCAACTGCACATCAGTTAATCCTGCTGAATTAGATTTATGCTTCAGCTTCTGCTTATTCGTAAGATTGAGACTGGCGAAGTATTCTTGAAAGGTGAGATGTAAAAATCCATACATTGATTCGCCGCGAGCAGCTAAAATACCAACATCATCACGAATGATTTGTGCAAACTGAAGAGCTTCGTTGTCAAATCTTTTCAGATCGTCAGCTGTAGGATTCTGCATATTTTCGTAAGATCGAATCGATAACGCACATATCTTCTTTAGATCTTCTTCTTCAATTAAACCAGAGGACGAATTCTGATGAATATGCTCAGCAATATCACCCAGTATAGAGACGAGTTTCCCTTCATTGATACTCGATCCCTTATTATTCCAAGCTAAAAGCATTGAATTCACCGTTTCAGAATATAGAAGAATCCTTTGTTTTGGCAGTGACATTTCTTTAGATCCGAAAGCGATGCCACATATAACCGTTATTAAGAGGGCATTGGATGCTAACTCCAGAAGGCCTACGTTGTCATTATTATCCAGTTCAGTTTTTAGCATACGTGCATGCCTTATCCACGTATACTCGCCGGCTGGAATCTGACTATCGATCAACTTTAACAAATCAATAATCTTCATATGCACAGCATGAAACCAGAAGTCAACAAAGGCTTTCATAGAATCCTGGTCCATGTGTTTTATAATGAAATGCGAAAAGTGACCAGTCACTGGGGCAGCATGATAGCCGACGATACGACTAGTGATTAGTAATTGATTTCCACCGGACTGACTGGGATTATCATTTAGATGCATAGCATGCAGATTATCGAGTGCTGATCCGAACAACGGAGTCTTAACATGTTCATCAACGAACTTCTCGACAAGGTTGACCAGAGCACTTCGTTGTTCTGATGCGGGAATCTCATCGAGGCCATCGAGAATAATCAGAGCTTGACCTTTCTTTACATAGTCCTGTAAAGCTCTTGAGATTTGCCCTGCAGTTGAACTGTTTATCATATTCGGAGGAAGAACTGGTTTTCCGAACCATTTATGATGCCCGATGTAATCGAACAACGTCAGTGAATTATTTTCAGCCAAAGCCTCCGCAAATTCTCCAATTCGAATCAGAATCGGCATTCGAGTGAATCCAAAGATGAGTTCATCCTGCCCATCACGAAAAGCCTGTGCATATTGAAGCATAAGCCATCGTACAAAGGTTGTTTTTCCACTACCGGGATCGCCTAGAATAACTATCCATCGATGTTTGCGAAGGACGTCACTAATTTCGAACGAATCGCCTTTGTCCTCTAGCTGAAATCGATCTCGTTTAACCATCGTAGGCATGTAAGGTGCGTTGAGAAGACGACGCACCCAAGTTCCTCCTTGACTGTGCTTGTGCTTGAAATTGAAAAACAGATCTAATTTATCATCCATTAGCATCTGGCGTGCTGCTTTCCTCTCAAACGATGTTGATTGATCGGCTCGCACCTGAATGGAACAATGTTCCAGAGGCATCTGAAATGATCTCCAGTTCTGTTCAAATGCACCTTGCTGAGCAGGCGTTACCCCGTAAAACCGAGCAACGACATTGCCAACAACTGCTGCATCCAGGCCAGCGACTGGAACGGTACCGTGTAATATAAGACATTGTTCCAGATATGATGTGATGATATATCCATGCTCTTGATGTAACTGAAAAAGGAGTTCCTTACAGGTTTTGCTTGCATCTACTTTAGCTGCTTCTTCACGCAATTTTAGCTCTTTCTCGAATATTTTTCGTCGGAGCATTTGTTGTTCGAAATATCCTTCGGAGAGAAGTTTTGCTCTCGGTTCTGGATCTTTTATTAGATCAGCCTCGTGTGATAACAACCTTTCAAGTGCATCGAAAAGTACAGTCTGAATGTGTCTTTGATCGTACTTTAACTTTTGACTTTTGTTTGTTGAAGATATTTCAAATTTGTGATCTTCTTCTAAGCATATACGAAGTGCTTTTATCGTTATTTCCAGATTTGGAAGTACACGCTTCATAGCGTCATCATCGATCGATGATTCTTGGGTATTCAGAATCTTGGCGATGTTCGTTAAACGTTTCATAACAAGTTGAAATTCTTCTTGATGAATAGCGGCCGAACCAATCGCATCCATTAAAGATTTGATATTCTTTCGAAATAACTGTAAGTTTGTCGTTTCTGACATCGTTGTTCAAAAATGAAACTATTAATTATTTCGATTTCAAATGAATAAAGCACAACTACGAAATGTTCATCGAAGCTTATACGTTAAAGACTAAAAGATGACAAATCTGAAAGAATTCGTATTTAACCACCGCAATTTTCTTAGGACATAGATCAAAGGAGACTAAAAAATGGGTGTGGGATAGGTAAGGGTTTGACTGATGTTGTGTGTAAGGGTGTGAGTGTGAAGGAAAGAAAAGATTGGTTAATGGTATGGATGGAATCTGTGTGCACAATGAAAAAAGCTGTTAATTAAAGTGAGCGGCTGATTACGACTTTTAAGGTTGTAAGATATTCTCTTGAAGCCGATTCAGCTCGTTATCAGATCTCAATCGCATCCAGTTGCTGACTGTGCAATGTATACGGGTATCTGCTAATTCATCGATATTGCACGACGAATAGGAGACTGTTAAGATGCATGTCGTCATAGATGGATCATATCCAAGCTATATACAGTGGTTTTATACACATCTAAAATAAAAAGATTTCTCAACAAAAACACTACATGAATACATGACAATAATGCTACATTTCAAAACCGTTTGTATCTTCATAGAGCGTAATCAAGTCGCATATTTATAAATATTTACGTAAGTGATAAATGAATAACAGTTCGATTTTCTGATCCCACATTTTCTTCAACGTTCTCGACGCGAAAATCGGCGCCAGGATAAAGTAGCACTTCTTCTTCCGCTGGATACTTTGATAAATCAGAAATATCTCTGCCAGGATATCGTTGGGAAAGATCGCCTTCAAACTCGATTACAAATAAAGTATTTCCTTTAAAAGACTTGATAGCTTTCTTGTTTCGGCTTGTTGACGAAAAAGCGAGCCACGATTTGACTTCACCAATTGATTTTTTATACATCTCAATATCTTCTGCTGATAATTCCATAACTCGGTAGACAACAATCTCTCCTAAGCGCTTATTCTGGGGTGAATACAGATAGCTACGAACGAAGCAGCAAAATGGACCAAGGCTGTCGACTTTGCTCATATCGCCTTCTCGTAAAACACGGTTCACATGTTTATACAACCACGATTCTTTTGTGTAAAGACGGACACAATATTTCGCTATTTCGTCGTGAGAAGCACCTTTGTTCTTTCTAAGACGATTAGCAAGAAAGTTTGCATGGTCGAACATTCCTAATAATTCTCCTTCCCGAAGAAGTCCTACTGCAAGCTTTTCTATAGTGTCCTCCCTAAATTTATAGTTGGGATTTTTCCGAATCCACTCATTCACAAATGGTGACATGCATACACTCGAGTTGCTAATAGATTTTGCTGCTGGTTTTTCTACTTCGCTAAACCGTGTTTGACGTTTGCTTGGTGGTGTATCCACGCCTATTTGCCGACGACGGACCGGTCGTTGTCGACTCTTGTCTGCTTTGTTAACTTGTATAATTTGATTGGCTGTACATTTAATGTAATAAGCGTTGATTGAGATCATATCTTTCTTATCTTGAAAAGCTTCCTCAATCATCTCGTTAGTGATATCATCATATGAGACCCATTCACTATCCCCTGGGTTGCCCGACCATGGATCTCGACCTGCATCATACTGCCATTCTATCATTTCCGCACAGTCTTCAAAGCAAGCCATTATATCGACGCAAACGACTAAAATATAAACTCGTTTTGGTCAGATCTTTGAAACGACACTTCTTAAATGCCTACTTAGACAAGTTTAAAAAAACGACGTCTAAGAAGTAGAAGTTGAGAGGTGACGTAAGCATTAACACCCTCAGTAACGCCTATAATCAGAATTCAGAGTATTTAGTTTAGGGATCACTATATTACCCCACTTAAATCATTATTACTTTTGGTGGTGGAAGGGTTGGGCACTGACAAAAATGGCTCGCTCGTAAGGACGGCGGGCAAATGTTGTGACTACACAATATAATATGAGGATCAGTGCGGTAACACTTAGTGCAACCCAAAAGTAGTGTCATTTCTATCGTATTCTCTTTCTCGTAGAGAAGAAACTAGCAAGTACAAACTGCGTGTTTTGTTGTGTATCCGCACTTATCGGATTGGTTACACAAGATATAAGAACGACGGGGTTTCGTTCACTATACAATTTGACCGAAGTATAATCATGATTGGGGCACTCGAATTCATGATCCGGTTTTTAATCTTCTGCCGTCGCTTATTACACATAAAAAATGAATTTTTTGCGAGACAAATCTTTTTTGAAGGGTTAATAGATTAGTAGTCCGAAGTTCATTAGACCAAATCGTCTATATAAGTATTTTACTGATAGTTAAGAAATACGATATTTACGAGAACGAGATGATGACCTCCAAAGACAAGCGTTACGAGTTTCGTTTCAGTGGGCTCAAAGAAACTTTCTTTTTCTTCTGTACTGATAGAAAAAAGAATGCTTTATTGTCCTACGCTATCTGACTTAACTTCGGTTGCTATCGTGATAATAATTGATAAGAAGATGCTGATGACCCAATAAACGATAGAAATAGAAGTTCATTGAACGGCAAACGATCTTCTCGTCAATTAAATGCTATGCCTTGCCAATATATAATGATCACAATAATTGATTGATAAGATCTGTTCTGTTTGCGTACGAGATGGTTTTATGAATGTGAATATGTAGTTTTTGAGTAACTTCGATAGGTCGTAAGGAGTGACCCAAAATTGGCGTCAGCCAAACTGGGTTCCAGCAGTGCATATTTTAGCTATCTTTTATATATGGATAATTTTAAAAAAAGGTCAGATACCGAGTTTGTGTCTGACGTTGACTGTTTAGGTGTTCTCTTTCTGGACTAGTTCTTTCAGCTACCACTCAATCAAAACTAATTAATTAATTAATGAGAAGCTAATTTTAAATAGTTTTCAGCTAAATGACAGAAAAATTCGAGCGTTCTAGGTGAATTTCATCATCCCCGACAGTAATGAACTAGCATCAATAAACAACTTCTGAATGCTCCTTCTAGTTTTCCGGGTATATTTAAGGATGGTTCTAGCAACCTTTTGGAGAGTATACGGTGATATTCGCTATACTTCTCACGACATATCTGTATGTGTCGTAGGAAATGAGTTAAACATATGCTGCAGATAAATGTAACTTTCAAAAAGAGAGTACATACTTTGTAGTAATTCAATCATTTGCTTTCCTTCTTCTAGCAATGCTACTAGAATATTGAAAGCTTTCGTTAGAATAAATACATTTAATGCTTTGAGAAGTAACTGAACAGCATACCTGTCACTTGCTGAGGACTACGAGAGCATAATATTTATAACTCTTTGAACGCTATTTGAAGATGGCAGCTCTAACTTTTGTCGAGCTGTCTTCTGGTAGTACTTACGATATTTCAACGGTTATCTGAAGATCATATCTATAAGTCTCATTAGTTGCATCTAGACTTGATGTTGCAATTTATTATAATATTTTGGATTATTACTCCATGTGTTTTCATTAGCATACAACAATTATTGTTTTCATGTGGATTTAGTACAGTGTTGTGTTTTAGTCTTAACTAGATCGGGTAGCATAAGAGAATTGTCTCGAATACTATGCAACTTTTTGCATACTTTAAGCTGTGTTTTATCCGTTGCCCAAAAATTAATCATAGTTGATAGAGTTAGTGTGGTAAAGTTCTATTACATTTTCAATTAAGCTAGTTCTTAATTTTGCTAAATAAATATCATGTTGACGAGGTTTTGAAGAATAAGTCGTTAGTTAATGCGAGGTATAATGAAGATTTAATAGTGACAACAGATAACGTGCGCGAGAGAAAGTTGAAAGAATACTTTGCGTATAGTATAGAGCTAAGAGCGTCTACATGCCATTCAATCGTTCACTGATTGAACTGTTCGAATATTTCACTTTTCACGTATTTAACGAAGTATTCAAGTATTTATCTGTTCAACGTTTCTGTTACCGTTCCACTCAACGAAGATTTTAACCATCGAAGTATTTGGTTGTCTAACTTTTCGACTTTTCTGCTGATCACATTTGTAAAGTTTTAGTGCGATTATTAGAATTTGAAATTAATATCAGTCTTAAAATTTCAGTTGTAGTTATTTATTATGATTATGAAATGATTTCCTTTCACCATTACATTACGGGATGTAGTCATGTGATTACTGTCTTCACACTCATTCTTACGGTAAATTCTAAACTCTGCAAGGTACTGAATATGGTGAAGTAGATTATTTCCTTTATATTGACGCTAAAACATATGAACATTAGATTGTTTTACCCATCCTTACTATCATGACTCATTGAAAACTCCACATAATCGATAAATACTCGCATTCATCTTCGATCTTCACATCTATCCACCGAAAGACAAAAAAATAACACCATACTTACTAGTGAGTTATGGAATCATTTCCTTCTCTTCGCAGGGAGTGGCAATAATTTTTTTCTGAAAAAGAAAATGTAACAATAGTAGTAAAGAATATACCTTCCAATACTGAGAATATAAAAACGATGACAGACAAGTTTTTTTTTGCGTAAAAGACTAAAGTAAAAAAGAAATATTTTTTTTTTCAGGAAGGAAAGTATAGGGTTGAGAGCAATGAAAATACGTCTGCCAATGAAAATGCAGGAATGACGATGGACAAGTTTCTTTTCTGGGAAAGAGTCTGAGGATGAGAATAAATAAGTTTTTTTCTGGAAGGAGAATGCAGAAATGAGTGAAAAAAATTCTTCCAACAAGGAGAATATAATTATGATGCTGGACAAGTTTTTTCCGGGAAAGAGTCTGAGGATGAAAATAAATGAGTTTTTTTTCTGAAAGGAGAATGCAGAAATGAGTGAAAAAAATTCTTCCAACAAGGAGAATATAATTATGATGATAGACAAGTTTTTTTCCGGGAAAAAAGTGTAACAACACAAACAAAGAACATGTTTTTCAGGAGATAGAATGCTGGAATGAGGGTCAGTTGTAATCGCAGAAAATACCTGCATGCTTTGGTCACTTCCTGGAACCAAAAGCACAAGGAATCCTTGCAGGATCTCTGCCAAATTCTCAAGGATGTAAAGCGGAGATACTAACGAGGTGGCGTAGGAAATATGACTCATTCTTTAAATTGATTAGACTCTTCGCAACATACACATTTTGAACATTGTGGATGTGGGTGTCGGTGGATCTTCTCCATCCAAATCCATTCAGGTGAAAAAATCTGACGTCAGATCTTGCAAAATCTTACAAGATCTTGCAATATGAACGAAATTTTACAAGAATCTGATAAAAAATCGTGGTCTCTGAAATCTTCTATCAACTCATACGACATTTTTCTTGAAAGATCTAATGCGCACTGTATTTTTCAGTACAAATTTTAAGTGAAAGTTTAAGAAGATGTTAGTTTTAATGAAATATTTTGGTGACTTTCTACTGTGTAACAGAATCTTACAAAAAATTTTTAGTACGATTTAGTGCAAGACATCAGAGACCACGATTTTTTGTACGATCCTTGTCTGGTTTCCTCGGATCAGATATGATCAGGCGAGGGGTGTCCAAGGACTGAGATATGGGAATTCCTACGATTCCCAGTAACATCAGCTAAAACAGCTCAAATCCTAGAGGAATTGAGAACTGTTCTTCACACCCTTCACAATTACCCATCAATTCTTCATCGATATCTC